TCTCCTTGTGGCCGCATGCGGGAAAGCGAATGCGAAGGATCGAAGGAATTATATTACCGCTGAATTTATTTTGACTGTTTTATAGTGTATGGTCCGGTTCGTTAATTATAAAAATGGTGAAAAGTGAGGTTCGTGTATAAATTTTATCATTAAAAAAGTTAGAAATTATCTGAATTTCATTAGAACTTGAATATAAACAAAAGTAATTACATATACTTATTAATAAAAATTGAATAAACCATAATTATATTAATCATCATTTTTGGATAAGTAATGTATAACACTGCAACCTGATGCTTCATCGAATAACTTAAAAATAAACAATTCTTTTCTGGTATTACAACAAACATACATATTATAACAAAAAGATGATGAAAACAATGCCTTATGTTCTTATGAAATTTATGATTTAATTAGCAATATGAAACTTTCACAAGAAAATGAAGATAGCTAATAACAATTAGCGATAAAGAATTAATTTGCCATCGTATTATCAACGAGAAGAACAACGAACTAAATAGAAATCGATATAGTCATCAAAGGCCAAATTTCGAAATGTTAATATTAGTGTAAGTACAGTACCTAATAATTGTAGCTTGTGGAAAATAATTCATGCCATGTTACTGAATTTAAAAAAATACAAAGTTCTATGTTATGTTCTACTATCCAAAAAATGTTGTGTGTACATACATAATTGTGTAATGTCTAAAGCAACAATTTCTAAACGCATATGTCGCCGACAAAAGAGGTTAAACTAAAATTTATCTAATCCCAAAAAAATCGTAAATCTACCGCTTGTACCGGCTTAATATACATACATGTATGCAGATCACTTTCTCAAGTGGTTACTTGAAGCACTTAATTGTTCAGAAAGTGCACTGGTAGACGATATTTATGACACGACACACATGTCGCAGTTTTGTTTACAAACTCATTGAAACCTGCAGTTTGGTAGCCTTTTAAACAGAGGAAGTTTATTACAGCGTTAAAATTATTTACGCCCCCGATCATCGTAAAAGGATATATAGCAGGAAATAAACATTCTTTTCAACTCGGCGAGTTTTAAATGGGTCAAAGGCGCTTCAATTCACACCTTCAATTACACATTCGCGCAGCGAGAAATTACGTTTACGCAAACGAAAAAAAATATGGAGGAAGTAAGACGAGCAAAGCACATTACACTTGATGCTAAGGTAAAAAACTAAACAATAAACGTCGCAAAAGAGCACCTATCAATTCCAACAAGTCCACTTTTCCATTTCTATCAATGATGGCTCATATTTGGCTTCCTTTGCCACCCGGCTCTTGCGTTTATAACACGTGTCGCATTACAATACGTATTACATTCTAAGCAAAAAAAACTCGAAGAAGCAAGAAAGAAAGAGCGATAGATAAAGAGTAACGTGGAACGAAGGGGAAACGTTCGGGAGGGGAGACAGAGAGAGCGAACCAACGAATTTCGACCGGACATGGAGACACTTTTGGAATGCAGTTTCGTACGGTTTAAGGCAAGGAATGTCGGCGTTTAAATTGACTATAAGGAAATTAAAGGTACGGCAATTATACGTATGTAGGTATTCTCAATTTCTCGTGCCAAGAGGGAGTTACTAGAACATGCACTGGATCTGACGCATTCACCATTTTTTTAACAGCCAGGTTCTATCAATTAATTATTCTTGAACAAATAAGTGGAGATAAGGAATTATTATGTAAGATCGAGGTATTTACAGTGCTTTTAGGTAAATGGCAACAAAATTGGAACAAGCTTCTGCCAAATTATTTCATAGATTAAACAGTGTGAACGCACGTCAACAATGTATAGGCCTTCTCAAGAAATAATTAATCGTTTCGTTTATCGTTTTTGTGTCAAAGTTCGTAGACACTTCATTACGAATCGTGATTATTGGTTTCTTTATGAATGGACGCGAAGAAAAAATAAAAATAAAAGTGATCAATCAGTAAAAGTGCGATAAAATTATCAAATTCAATGAACTGCGTTTGAGTAACAAGGAAAAATAAAAAAAATTGTAACACTCAGGTTGTTGCAGGCGCACTCAAATTTTCTAATTACTCGTATAAAACTAATTAATAGTGTTTGCCACAAGAAATAATTAAATTTCCATGTTCTAAAATTCAGACCCAATTGAACCTAGAACTTCGTTAGTCGAACGTCATCTTCGCGTTAATACGTGAATAATGCCCATTGGATCCAAAAGATAATTTACGTAATATAAAGGAACCGTTTTAACGCGAAACTCCGAAGACAATACCGAAACTTTCTATCGAAGCTGATAGTTTTAAGCGAAACACACGTGTTGCAATTTCTCAGTGCATTGTCTAAGATCCCGTAGATCAATTACTTATTGTAGCAAGTTTGAACGCAAATTGTTAACTCATTGTCGCCTAAAATAAGGAGTTTCCATTATTCATTTAGATTTAGATCGCTATAGATGCAATGCAAAACGCTTGGAAGACACCCGCGTTATCTCCAGATTTAATGCAGAAACGAGGTAGGTACAGAAAAAAGAATGTTCCAGGAATTGAAAACGTTGCAATAAATACAAATTCAAGTAGTTTTTATTTAAAAATCGTATAGGAATAATATTTTTAGCTTTGGTGCTAAAACCACTGACTGAGTGCAACTAACATTTATTATTTGATATAGAGTAGGAATATAGACTATAGACAGTCAGATATTGATGGTGCCTAAAGATTGGCGCGAACTTCAGTATAAACTTATTTCTTTATGGAGGAAACATAACCATACAGCTAAGGTTAATATCATCAAAATAGTTTCCAAATCCCTTTAATTTTCAAAAAATAATTTGCCTGCTTCGGTGAGCAAGCATTGCATTAGTAGTGCCACACACCAAAATGTATAAGGACTCTATGCTATGTTTTTGCGATGTTTTTGTATTTCACTTAATTGCATACCATCTGTCTCTTAAAATAACCAATAATAAACCTGTTCCCTCGCCGACAGTTAGTTAGCGTAAAAATGAGATGTGCCACAAAATTGGGTTGTTTATACATACATCCTCGGGGTTGCGCACCGAACACGTGCCATTTGGCCGAGGTACCGTTTCAAAATAGTTAAGACATCATAATTAAATAAAGACCATAATGACATTTTGATCAACATAATGGGAAGTCGCGTTTTTCGGGACCGCAGGAAAACAACGGGACGATTGGCAAGAAAAATATTATACGATGCACATTTCATTTATCACAAAACTTCTGTTGCGTTTACAAATAATGTTCGCATAATTTAGTGCGAATTTGTGTAAACTATGCATCTACCCTGGGAATAAATGCAGATCACACAAGTTTTTGGTAAAATGTACCATACTAATCCAACAGATGTTTTCAACCTGAAGGTATAAGCATAAAATTGCAAACGGTCTTGCAAAACCTGCATACCTCACAAAAGTCAAAATTCCAGGTAGATAACAAGAGAAAAATATTTTAACTGAAATTTCGGGGAAGATATAAATGAAACTATCATTAGGAGGATTAGAATATCAGAATTACATAGCTAAAACCCAAAAGAATTGTTGTAGATAGAGATATAGTTATTAAACAATTAAGAAATAAAGGAGGCTCTGGATGATGACAAAGGTAAAAGTGATGACATTATTATCGTTCCTAATAGAAGTTTTATTATTAGAGGCATACATTAGAGCTAGCATTTATAATGCTAGCACATTATGCTCCAACTATAGGTAACTACTTGGAATTAAACCACATTATGGACATGGAATGAACCAGGAATGCTTATAGTCTTTGGTTTCTCTTGATGTATCCTAATTAATATGAAATAGTTTACACTAAAATACGTTTGACTTGTCTTTCAAAGGACCGAAGAGCTTGAAGAGTTCAACCAGAACCAGAAAGATGAAGTAATTAGAAACATTTTGATTCTAGTAATCTGGTTAATCATATTCCCTCCGGTCCAAAAATCTTCACATACTCAAAAATGTTTTGCATATTGTATAGTTCGAATGCCACTGCCCATTTATTATTTAAAATGTCTTTTGTTAAATTGTTTTTATTGTTAATTTTAAATGATGTTTATGCCTTTTGCAAACTAATTTTGATGAGTTATTTTACAAATAATTCGTTGTATTAAATGTTTATTCTTTTATGCAAAACACTTTTGAGAGTGTATATACAGGGTGGTCCGTATGTAATGGTCCAAAAGTGGAAGGTAATGTAGTAAGGTGGAAGGTAATGTAGTAATGGTTCAGAAGGGGAAGATTCTGGCCCTCAAAATATTACGATCTGACCCAACTTGCGTTACTAAAATATTGGAAATAAAAATGATACAGAGTGTCAAAGTTGAAATCAAAAAAATGATTTTTCGCAGCAGTTTGAAAGATTTTGGATGTGCATGAAGACAGGTGTTTCAATGAATAAAAAATCATAATACGATAAAAACAAAAGACATTTCAAATAAATGGCCAGTGAAATCTCAACTTTATACATAATATGCAAAACATTTTTGTGTGTGAGCCTCATTTTCGCATAGTCCAGCAAAAACGAGTCTTAATTGTATGGATTAAATGGTAAGTAAACGTTGGTTGGCTAGAAAAATAGGGTAAAAAGACTACTTGATTCTATTATAAGCCGATACTCATCTTGATATATCGTTACCACCATCTTCTTATGGTGGGTCGTTGTGTGCGTCGTTTTTGTAAGGATATAGAAATAATAATAATGTTTTAGATATTAACTTATATACATGGCAATATGTAATCGGTAAATGATTTGACACATTTGTTTAAACACACAATAAGTATTTTGATTTAGATTCACCGGTTCCAAAAATCTTCAAGATAACCGATATCGCATAGGCTTTCTTCGTTTCGTTTAATTATCTACGGTTTAAATTAATGTAACGTTCGGATGAGTCACCACAGTTTGTTTTTCTCTTCGAGTTCGTCGTCACAAACGACTAACTTCGAAAACGTTAAATTATGGCATTTGGAAAATTGTCTCACCTCGGCTCCGGTTCTTCGGCTTCGAAAACCTGATCGTGATCGTCATCTCCCTCTTGGAACTTCTCCATGACAACCGGTGAGCGCAATTATTCCTCGGATCCCGAAAAATCACAACAATAACAAATCACTATAGCAGCACTTAAAATTAGTCAGTCTTAGATGTACACATGCAATCCTTCTATTCCCACATCTACCTGCTACCCTACCAAACGAAAGAAATCGGGTAAAGCAGCGTATATAAATTTAACAATGTCGATTCGACGTGAACCAAGTCGTAAAGGAACGGAAAAAAATAAAAATTAATCGGTAAACAAAAAATAAAAAAAAACTTCAATAACAAAAATTAGGAGAAAAATTCGTGGCCGAAAGTTGGTTTTTTGAAATGCCGAAATGGGTCACTTTTGAAAGCGAAACCAAAATATGTTTTTCTTTATAATGACATAACACAACATATCACTCTAGATAGGAGCTAAATGCGTACTAAAGCCCCGAAAAGCGAGCGCCGTTCGTTCGGAATTGCGTACGCGCAACCCGCGACCACGCCCACCCCCCGTTCGTTCAACTTTTTCCTCCCTACTCTTCCTTATGGGGTAAAACCGACCTCACCCTCCGCTCTTATGAACTTTCGATACATTTTCATAAGTCTTTTTTATTATTTTTCTGACTATGCATATACAAGCGGTACTATGTCCGTTTAGTTAATTCCATTACATCGTCTATACGTGCTTACTTTCGTTTAGCGTGAACCGGTTTTCCGACCATTTTCCTTTTTAATAGAAAAACTCTAATGGTTTCCATTTCATCAAAACGTGTTCAAAAGTTTCTCTGTCTTCATTATGTCTGATTGTTTCGCTATCGTTATTATATTAGGTCATTATTCTTAACGATTCATTTACAAATTTGAAGCCCAATTTTAAAAACGATATTTAATTGTATAGAATTGCATAGAACTTTTCTGTATTGATTGCATGCTCAATGTTTAATGACTAAAACTAAAAAAATAAAAATCGACTACCAAAATCCTTATTGCCAGTATATCTATTATAATCAAAACTTTGATTGAATTGAAATAGAAGAGATAGATAAATAATTAAGAAAAAGAATAATTTCCGTTTTAGATTTACGATTTTTTATTCTTGAAACTACATATACCAATTATTAGATCTACAAAAAGTGTTATGTTCCTTTATTTACTTCTTCTTTATTAATAAAATGGAAAAAAGGAAAAAATTGCTTAATCGTGAGGACATTGAATGGGTGCAAACGATTTTAAATATTCATTTTCATTTTCGAGTTTTTCCAACTGATTTTATTATTTTATCGCCTTATTTTTTTGCTTACAATGTCACTTGCGGCTTGAAGGTGGTATTATACCTACACATTTCCATTTTGTTAGAACCATCATCAACTTCATTTTCTTCGAATCGAATAAAATTGTACTGTATGAATGATAATGAATGAGTAAAGACAATTTATGTTTCAAATGTAATTCAAAAGCAGTGCGTTATCTAACATGAATTAAAACTTTTATCCACATTTAACGTTTGTCTTCCAATATTTTTAACGTCTTTTATTAGTTAATTTCGCATTAATTACTAAGGTGAACCTTTACAAAAAAAATATTGGCATTTCAGCATATAGCAAGCTTTATGTAGGTTTTAAAACCAAGCCCACGAAATGGTCCTATAGCATTTTTCGGTGTACCTACGTATGAAAGCAAACGACCCTTACGATAGCATACCTGACACATAACTGTTTGTATCTCAGGTAAAAATTTGTGAACAATTTTAAAGACACGGTTCCAGAACCGTAGATACCGATAGTTTATTAAAGAAGTGGTCCAAGCAAGCATCTGATGTATTTCTAAATACAGGGTGTTTCAAATAAATTTAATTTCTGCGCCATCTGAGAGAATAAAAACAGTTCCGTTTCGGAATTAAAAAACCAAGGAATCACCCCCTAGTATTTACCCTGACTTATTTTAAAATACCTAATTCAATTTACTTAGTCAATCCATCAATGTAGGTAATGAAAAATGAATATTTGATGTGTTTTCTGCTTAGTTGAAATATACAGGGGGCGCAGACCACCGAAATTGATGGAGTCCGCATTCACTTGTTAAAACAGTCCCAAGACTTTGTAATTCAGCGGATACACAACGGATGGCACTGCCTCATCCCACAGGAGCATTATCCGAGTTGATAAATAGCCCTTATATGGCATAATTATCATGAAAAAAAAAAGAACTCGTGCTCTATACGAGAGTATCACCTGTAAAACTCAAAATACCTTGCCGTTTTATGGGAGTTACAAAGAGAGCAGGATGGATTGACAAAAGAACCCGATTGAACGAGGGTTAGTTTCGGTCCACTCGATATACACATACAATTTGAGGCGTTTATAAGGGAGGTCAACGGCCATTAATAACCGTAGAAAAAATATTCCACGTCAAGAGGATAATGAAGAATAAAAAATGGCGATTCGCAAAACGATTCGGGAAACGGTCATCGATAATAATTTTGTTTTATCATGTATACTGAAACGCGCCGCCGACATTCGAATAAAAATAACCAAGAATCGGCCGCAAATAAAAATATCGCCTCCTAAAGAATTACACGAGCAGTTCAAAATTAGAATCGAGGGGTGAAATTCCAAAGCTAGCCCTGCAGTGAATTGCTTTATAAACGGAGAAGTTGAATTGAATTTTGAATTATTGAATATATTTCACTGTAAACTTTTCAACAAAATTTGAACAAGTAAAGAGAAACTATTTGGACAAGGCGACAGCTTTTAAAGGTTTAGAATCCAATGAAAACGTATATGGGACCTTGTATGAAAACCGAAAGAGAACATAGACCAGTAATGGAACCCAAATTATGAGAATTCTATCCATATAAAATTGCATTTCAATTACTTTTGTATTGAAAATAACTACCACAAATAATTACCAATTGTAGATTAGAAATCAGTAGATTTTGCTTTAATAAGAGAAATCGTTACGTAGAAAAGAAAAGTTAGAAAAGTTCTGAAAAAAAATATTGATGCAATATTGCAAAATTAGAAAATCGTAAACTCGAACTTTCGTTTAAATGTTGTCAAATACCTCTTCAAACAAGATTGAAATAGTGTTATGATCCCGTCCCATCGATTAATTAAACTCCCTTATCCACCAGAGTGGCGCCTAAATGACAAATTACCAATAAGATGATTTAGCAAATTTCTTATTCAGTTGCGACCAGTAGACAACATAACGTTAGTTGTTAGTATGATAATTCCCGTTTTAATTTATACCTATGTACAAGACAGTCATAACATAGAAATAAATCCCATTATCTATAACAACGGACATTCAAGGAAATTAAATGATAAGAAGATAAAAAAATATTCGGACGTGGATAGGTACGATATAATAGCTCTCAATTAATAAGTATTAATGAATATTTAGTTAATGTAAATTCTTCTTATAAAAATATTTTAATACAATTCTTCCAATAATTTTAATTTCAAATTACCAACACACTTAATTAACATCCACATCGCCAACCAAAATATAAAAATTTTACGCTTCCTAGTACTTAGTTTAATTAGCGATATAGTTAAAACGGTTAAAAAAATTATACATCAAACGAACAAAATGTATTCGTCCTATTTATAGAAGCCGAAAAAATCGTTGGGTACGCCGCTGAACCGGCACAACAGGAAGTAGTTTAGGTATTTAGACAAAACGCCAGGCCTTGCCGTAGCGAAAATTCTTCTACACACACTCTTCGGCCCTCTTGCTTGGCGCGACGCCCCATCTAATTCATTCGCCCAAACGATTCGTAACGGATTTAGAAAACTCGGCGAACTCTAAGGATTCTAAAGGACTCTAGGGAATTAGGATTAGAGCAAAATTTCTATGGTTTGAATTACATACATTTATAAAAAAAACAATTTTTTCGTATAGGACATTCTAAAAGCTGTATCTTTAAAATTCGCTATGTAACATAACTAGTGTAACAATTGTTTAATATGGGAATTATTCACTTTTTTCATACAATAGGAAAGAAGCCTTGTTTAGAATATCTTAGATATACAGGTTGCTCCATTTTTGATCGCAACATAGGTTATATAGGCCATGAGTGCGATAAAGACAACTTCCATTAGATACTTACAAAGGAAAAGTAAAGAGTGACATTTGTGTCATTGCAACTTTTCACTCTGACAACTGTCATTTTAATAATCTTTCTTTGTTCCACTCATAGAAATGACCATGTTGCAATCGGAAATGGAGCAAGGTGTCACTATTCACAAAAAATATTTTTATGCTAAAGTAACATAATATGGCTGTTTAATTATAGGAAGTTATAACAAAAATAAATAATTCACTGAAAAATACTCTATTATGCTTCAAAATGCTTCAATATCAATGTAAAGATAAAATGTACAAATTTTTAAAGTGCTTTTGTTTTCTTCTTGTTATCTTCGAGAACAATATAACAAATAATAGTAAATATTATTGGTCAATATATCGATCGATTATATAAGATATAATCATAGGTATTTTCAACAGTTTTAGGTGGTAAATTATCATTTTTCGTCGAAGAGTTATTTAACAACACAGCCTGGTAAGTCAAGTTTTGAGACAAACTTCTTACAGCAATTTCTGCAGCACTCAAATTTGTAGATTTTAAGACGTAACAATTCGTTGAAATTTTCCATAATAAAATTATAAAACCAATAAAAACCACAGCGCTATATACGAGTAAATCGTCAATATTGAAACTATTGTCTTTAAAGTACATTACATATTTTTCCTCCGTTTTCCATAATTTGGCTACCACTTTGTCTTCCATTGCGTAATAAGTATTTTTATTAGTTTTCCAAAGAAATTTGTTACACATCAGTATTATTTCTTCTGTTAGCATTAAATCAACCAATGTGCTATTTTTCCCCTTTTCTTTTACTACTAGCTTAACAATATTCGCCGATGAGCTATGCTCCACTATTTCTAACCGAGATTTTTTATTCAATATATTATTGCAATTTGGTTTCCACGTAAACTTGTGTGTTTCGTTGAAACACTTTTTCTCCGAATAGATGCAAAATTCACCGTTTGGCAATTTTATTGTATTGTTTCCGAAATAATATGGAACACTGTGCTTTTTCGGATCAGAATAATATACCACGGCAACGCTACGCCTTTCCTTGTACCATTTCACTAATTCTTCTCCCTTAACCAAGCAATTTGAAGAAGATTTACTAGCGCAGTCTCTACCATTATCCAATGAAATAGTGACGCCATCATAAACTCCGCTGACAATATTCACCTTAGAAATCGTAACATTCGTATGCCCATCGGGAATTATAAAAACGTTGTATTTACTTATCACATAACCACTAGAGTTAGAACTGCAGAAACTTGCGACGAAAATTAAAATGCCGTATTTTAGGGAGAACAACATGTTGCTAGAGTGCTAGACTGTCACTTCGTTTGTTTCTAAAGATCGCTAATAGTCGACGATATAGAGTGGTAAATTGTATACCACAAAACTGATGGAGATATTCGTTGTATTTCCTCTGTGACTAATGAGGAGAAATGGCGATAAAAAATAATTGAATATTATAAGAACATTCACAAAATGTGAATTTTAATATTTAAAACGCACTTCTCTAGATAAAACAATTACTTAAAGCGCATTTAGAAAAAGTCAACAACTTACAGTAAGAATTACATCAATGTTGCCTATATTTTAGTACTTATATTAAATTTTTTTTTAGGTATACATTTTTTTGAAACTTTGTAAATATTATACAGTAAATATACATAATTATACTACGTATTCTGGGCTCAAAATTATGTCGATCCTAACAGCTATACAAAACAATTTAACCTAACAAATATACAAAACAATATAACCTATAGCCTGTAGTGCTAACTGAAAATCGATTTTTTTTATTATAAATAACTCCAATAGTTTACAAGGAATCTTCATGGTTTTTCGCGTTTTCATGTTCACTATAGTTTAATGTATCTACATATTACCTATGACCCAACTTTTTTTAAACCTTTATAAGAATTTTAGCAAAATTATCTAGTCAATTCTTAATGATTAATTTTAGTGCTAAAGGTCGATATTTACAAACTTAATTGCTTGTAATTTTCGTTAAAATTGTTGATTGTAGTGCTTACAACAACCGCAAATAATAAACAAAGCTAATGATTACGTAAATAAATAAACTAAAAGTATCTATATGTAGGTACATAAAAAATGTAATTTTATTTAAAAAAAGTTAATCAAATTGTTATTGCTAAATAAGATACATTCTTTAAAATTCCTTTGACCATCTTGATAATGACAAAATTAATAAATGTCTTCTTTTAATTATAAGGAATAAAGTGAAACCGGAGATAAAATTTATGTCATGTTTAAATAGTGTAAAACAAAGCAGTAAAATGGGCCTTCCAATTTAAAGAAAACTAGACGAGAACACGGTATATGGGATATACACAAGTTCGTTATAAGATTGGAAAATTTCTTGCTGGAACACCTCGAGCAGTTGTTGGGTATCCTATATTACGGAAATGTTCTTTTTCCGTATATTGAAGAACGCGGTTTCCTCGATATATAATTTTTATTTTTGGCCTCTGTGTTTCTTCCAACAATTCTTCAAAATCGTCTTCCTATAATTCATCATAACTAATCATAACTACTTTCGCCCATAGCTCCAAATAAGTCAATAATTTCCATATTTTAAAACTAAATTGTAACTATACAAATATTTATGACCAACAACAAACTAATATAATTATACTTATTTTCGAATTGTTCTAAATGTTCTCACTTCAAACGAGAACAATTTGGCAGATCTCAAACATGATCCAAACAAAAAACGAATTCTTCCGGAACAGCAACCATTTACTCAGAACACCAAACAACACGCTGCTGGAACGTTTTAAAATTATTGCGCAGGCTCACAATGTTCGTAACAACACAAAACATGCTGGTGGAACAAACCTAAAAAAAGAGGTAATGTAACATGAAAATCGTAGGCGTATTCAAACAAATAACACGTTCTGTCGCTTTTAATGTACTTACAATTTTTTCACACGCAACCAAGTATAATAGCAGCTCGTACTAGCACATAATCATGAATTATGTTTTCACACCCTCCAAATTAAGGATACTGAGACCCTAAGGACTGTCGTGAACCGTCCAATAATATCTATAATAACTGTAGTATTAAAATCGTACTCATATGAATACCATCAATAGCCGAAGCAGTTACGCATTAATTCAATTAATAATAAGCAATTTTCGATTATAATCAAACGATTCAATCGTAAGACCATCGGATTCAGTTCTACCGGAGCCAAGGGCAAAATTACATTCAACTGATGCCAACGAAAGCATCCAGTAGTCAGCTGCTTCTTTTCACTAATCACTAAAGGATCTTTGGAAATAAGCGAAAATTATTAAATTATCGTTGCACTGAAACAAACCATCACAGGAATAATAATTCCAACTCGAACCGCAAGATTGTCTTATCAGTAAAAAACATTACGAATTCGATACAAATTGCATTCTATTCTTGTATGATGATTAAGAAACTTTTTTAGAGGTGAGCAAGTTAGATAATAATTATTATGTACAGATATGTAACTATAACCAAAAGAGCAATTCATCTGGACACGTCTTATTTACTCAAAGGTATCTAATAAACTGCTCCACAAAAGTTAAGGAAGTTTGCAAATTTTGCGATTATTTTAAAAGTTACAGACTTTTTGATCACCAAAATTTCAAATATGCGAAATCAAATGTTTTCTCTCATACCTGAGTAGATTTTTTACTCCTACCTCTACAACTCATACTAAATTTGGCGATCAAAAAACCTGCAACTTTTAAATTAATCTCAATATTTGTGAACTTCCTTAACTTTTGTGGAGCAGTATAATTATATCCAAGAATGTTTCTATAGTATATGGATGTGGTACCTACACTATTTCATATCTTTTCTATACTCTACTCGTATATCTGATAAGATAGAACCTATGGTTTGTGTTTGACAGAATTTTTGTTTCAAACTAAACAAATAATAACATATAGCATCAGGTATAAACATTTAATAGCGAATTTAATTTAAAATGGTATAATTAAAAGTTGTGTAATGTTAAAATTCTCGTAGAAGTAGGTAGATTAAATTGTGAAAAAAGGTAAAATAAAATAAAAATCTAATAGTGTCAGGTGCCGTCCCATATGGTCCTTCCTCAACCCTATGCCTGTCGTGATGCGTGGTTCCAAAAAACGAAACCAATAGAATATAAAAGAATAGGTAGAGGAGAGCCGAAATAGCGGTAATTAGCGAATTCGTTTCCAGGAAAGGACTCCCTAAATATAGGGCCCTGATACGCAGACACACTTATTTATTGGACGTCTGTCGCAACTGAAATACCAAAATCGTTTCCGGGTGTCGTGACCAACGGCCCGACATCGTATCGATAAATACTGGGTGTAATAGAAAAATGCATTCCATTTTCGAGGATTTTTATAAATAAAAAGCATAATAGAAAGTTTATTTTTAGTGTACGCACGAGTTCCGAAACACACAATTCAACCAATTACTGTGGAAAATTGTGTCGGAAAGTTTCTTAAAAAATTCATTCGAAAAAGAGCGCAGATTATCTTATAAAAGCTCGATTTAATAGCACTTCGTAAATTAAAGCGGTAGAAATGCGACAAAAAGGGAAAATAAATATCTTTCAAACACCAGAGAACAGAGAACATCTACCCCTCAAATCTCTAGCATTGCGTAATTAAGTAATTAATTAAGGTAATAAAGCCTTCGTAGAATTAGGAAATTATTTTTTTAATAAATGCTTGCATGGTTATTCTGGAACGAAAATCAAAATTGATTATAATTTCATCTTCTATTTTACACAATAGGCGACAAAATGGTCTATTTTTGATTTTAGCATTCGTTAAACCATATATGCAACTTTATTTTTTAAAGGTTTTACTGTTATGACATAATTTATTTACGTTTCTAAAAAGTGTTATGGTAATAGGTCAAATGCAAAATTATTCTATAACCACTTTTAGATAGATCTATATTAGCAACGTTGGTGCGAACTGGATACTCAAAAAAAATGCCCAGAAGCTTTTATTCAATCAGTTTCAAGACCGTTCATGGGGTGAGTTTTAAAATATGAAACTTGGAGAATGTGGTGGGCCAAAGTGGGGGTGCCAGAATCGGGACTAAACCCGAATAACACAATAGCAACGTTGCCGATAAATCGTACATAAAATTAAGAACGTGCATGCACCTTATTGTATAAATAATTGAAACAAACCAACTAAATATTAAATATAATCAACATTGGAAATTAATAATATTAATTTAGGTACGATGTAATAATTAAAATAGCTTGGTCAAAAAGAATTGATAAGGCTTAAGCTAAAAAATCCCACTGATGCTTTTCTGGAAATTTATGATTTACGTAAATTTCACAGTATGAACTAAAGTGTGATACTTAACTAGAGAAATGAGATTATGGCGGCAACAACGTATATGTATCCAGGACGATGGTAAGCAGGGGAAACGCTCAGAAGGGCAAAGAGATCCTTTTATTCGATCGATATTCTACAGCCTCGCCCTCGTCACATCGTCTCCAAGGACGATGACACAAATTATTAACGAAATTTCCTACTTTTCTTTATAGAAAAATTCAACGTTAAAACGTTAACAATTATGTTGAAATTTCAGAGGTAGAGGTGCGTTATGGAAGATCAATAGAGTAAAATATTTATGTATGTACTTACATCCAACCGTTCCCAACTTGCATCGGAAGAGTAATGGGAAAATCAGTAACAGATCTGTAAAAAAACATTAAATTAGGTACTCAAACGGTAATATCTGTAAGTAAGTAACATCACTTTAAGGTACTGGTAAATTAAAATAAATGAGTGGATCTAATTGAAGTTTATTTGAATGTACAAAAATTATAATCAAGAACGAAGAGAATTGAGCCCAGGAGGGCACAAATTTATGTATGTTCAGTAAATGCTAAATAATTTTAATGTATGTGGTGAAATTAGCATTTTTAAATCAAGATTAAAATTTTTTAATAAAATTTCCGTTCTTACTGATAAAAAAATACAAAATCTTGCAACGAAATGTGTATAGTTATATCATTTTAATTTAACTATTTATAAGTTCTACCTATTGAATACGTAAAAAATGGCTTTTTGTACCAATTTGTAAAAAAATGCACGATTCGGTTCTGTTCCGACTATTTTGCATCTAAAATGTACGAAGTCAGACGGTGGTCAATGCCACACATATGTCCTTAACGAATTCTCGGAAGTAGACGGCCAAATTGCCGACTAAACGTGAGGTATTTTCTAACGTTCTTCGTCGATTTAAAACACCTCTTGTTGCTTTATTTTGCACGTTATTTAGCTGCAAAGGAAGAAGGAAGTAACTGTGAATTTGCCTAGTAGGAGTAGATGTATACATATTGCAGATGTATAATTCAATGAAAGCATCAATCGGTTGTGCAACAAATTGCACCGGACAGTTTAATTTAATTTTTGAACAAATGTTTTCGATTTCAAGTTATTTGGACTTTTAACAAACATTTTTTATTAAAACCGAAATGAATAGGTAACGAATGGCATTCACTGTAATTCTCATTTTTCTATTTTACTATCTAATTATTATTCAGGGTGCGTTATAATCATATCCTGAAGTATCGGCGCTTAATTAATTATATTTGGGTATTTGGGTAATTTTAAGAAGGAAAGTTTATATCAATATATGTCCTAAACCTCTTAGTTTTCGAGCTATAGGGTGTTACAATTTTAGAAAAAAATTACTTTTCTATCATAACTTTCTTATTACTTCAGATATTTTTATGTAATTTTGTACACACTTTTTAATGGGCTCGTTCGACACTTTTTTTTATTTGCTTTTTGGAAAGACCACACAATTTTAAGTCACTATGCAAAAAATCAGAATTAAATTCCATGTAGAAGTCACTTAAAAAGGCCTTAAAAACCGTCGCGCCGAGCGTTCGCTCGAAGTGACTGTGACGTCACTGCATGCGTTGCGAGAACAAATTTGTAATATAGGCTGTCGATTGATAATATTGAAACGCGCTTTTAGGGTTTTAAATAGGCTTAGGGAGTTTTAAATAATGACGGACAATAAATGAAAAAATAGTTATAAATATTGCATTGTTCCCAAATGTCGAAGCACTAGTTTTAAGACGCCTAATAAAGGCGCCTAAATACCTAAATAAGACGCCTTCCGCGCGATTTAAGAAAAAACAAATTGTGGCAAAAATCAATGAAAAGAAGTATACATATGTTGGTTAGTACAAAGTCAACACATTTTGTCTGTGAAGATCATTTTAATATAAGTATTAAATATAATAATTAGCTTGCTTAGTAAAAATAATTAAATTTTTTAGTTTGAAAACGATATGGAAAATTACATGTATTTTAAAACAATGGCTAATTCCCAATAAAGCAAGATGTTGTACCTAATATCTTCGACTGCCAAAAAGTTCAAAGCGTTAAACACACTGTACAAGCAAGAAAAATATTTTTAAAAAGACAGCGGTAAACTACTATCGAGGATTTGTCTAGTTGTTCTAAAAGTACTCGGAATGAACAGAACGATGATATGGATGATGTGAATTTGACAATGGATAAAATTTTAAACAACACTATTACAAATAAAGCCTGTCATAAAAAATTCAAGTTTATATAAGCATAATGCCCAAACTTTTTTCAAAACAAACTCAGTGTGATTTGACCCGTTCGGGACAGTTACCATCTGATTTTACTAGTAAATTAGATGACACTCTTCCTATTTCTTCAAGTGATTCTTCAGAATTTGTGACTACTTGATCAGGATCATTTTTTTTAATTCTGAGTCAACTTGGTCTAATGAAAAAGAGAACATTATAAAAAGGGTAATACATGTTATAGAGCAAAATCCAAAACTTACATAGGTAGGTATTATAGTTATTATTTAGGTATTCCTAAATATTTTTACGTAAATAATCTCATTAATCGATAACCAAAATATTATACTTACAATAAGCATTAATTATTTATTATAATTACCCTATATAATCAATTAAACATAGTCGTTAAAAAGACGAAACGATCGCGAATGCAATGCAAGTTAAATGAATGCGAAGCGGACAGCGAAGAGATCGCATGCAGTGACGTCATCATCGTACTATCGCGGAGACAAATAATCGCATCTTTAAACTCGAATAATCAAAGAACCGCTGATCGGATCAACTTGAAACTTTCAGTAACCATTTTTTTTGACCTCTTCTTTATGTATATAAAGTTTGATCAAATTCTAAATTTTATCGAATGAGCCCATTATTAAGGAACTATTTTTAAGGCAAAAGATTTTTAAAAATTTTTAGCAGTGACGTCCGTACGGGGTTTGAACTGAATATGTTTTAAGAAAAAATGGTAGGCCACTGCTTTTTCTAAAAACCAAAATTATTTTTAAAATCATCATTTATTTTGGAGCAAATTCGGTCCGAATACTTAATTTCATACGACGTGCCAAAATATCTGGAGTAATAAGAAAATTATGATAGAAAAGTTATTTTTTTCTGAAACTAACACCCATTACCTCGAAAACTAAGAGGTTTCGGACATATATTGATATAAACTTGTCTTCTTAAAATCATCCAAAAATTCACATCCTGAAGTGTCGGCACATAATTAACAACCTGTATTTATTCTAATTTCTTCATTCCTTGTTCTATCTTATTTTCCTATTTTGGTTTCCCTATACTACTCGTAATAATCTTTACGGTAATTTTACTTATCGAAGAGATAAGCAATAGAGATATAACGTACCTAATACAAGAATGCAAGAAAGCGAGCAAGCATTTACAAATAAAAAAAACAACTTCCGTGTACTATTTTACATGTATTTTAAATTCAAACGGTTACCATCTTACTAACAACTAATAGCTACATCCATCAATTGAAAAGAACGGGACGGTTATCACCTGCCGCAGATGCCAAAAGTTAAGCAAACCTTTTCTTCGGCCTTTTTTCGGCCGACACTTAACTGCATTTATGATTATTGCGATATTCCAGGCGAGGAATCCGTTCTGATTTGCTCATTTTTTTTCTTCGACATCATCAAGCGCAGCAGATGCGATATCGCGATTTTCCTGTTTACCTTTCGCCCATAAAGAGATACGGATTCAACAAAGGGTAAGTAATTATAAGTTTGCAATTAAAAAAATATGTGCTATTAATATTTTATTTGCACATGGCAAAAAAGTGTGTTAGGGTACCAAATTTCGCACAGTAGATTAGATTTTTAATGTGGCAATTCCATTGAGCTCGTAATGTTGAATATGTGGAATTGATTTGCTATAATACGTCCAAATGCGGTCATATAATTTTTTTTCGATTAAGTTATAACAGTACTTGGTTTGTGTAATAGCGCTCGCACCCCCGCAGGCGATGAATTAGCGCCACAAACGCTTTTTAACCAAATAATGCGTTATTAACGGTTGCTGCTTCGAGACTTCATTTTTATTAATAACAATAATCTCAAACAGATTATCATCTTCAGGTGGTGCCTAAATTGATAAATCGCCGGATTGTTTCTCGAGACAAACATCGGCACATTGGATTAAAAATGCAATTCAGTCGGTCATTATATTCTGGTAAAAGGTCGGTTTTATTTTTTAGATGCATTTTATGATTGGATACAAAAAACTAAAAATGATGATTACACCGACATTCTGCAAGTGAGTATTAAAACCGTATAAATTTTAAAGCTCTTGCTATTAATTAATCTCAAAAAAATAGCATCCTGTTCGAAATTATACCGAAAGAAAACACTTTTATACAGCTTTTCACAAACATCAAGTATGCCTACATAAAAAACGGGCTATAAAATTCGTATCTCAATTAAACACGCTTTTGAATTTCACGGCAAATTTTTAATAGCAAAAAATTTAATAAGCTAAAATATTAAGTACACGCACTATCAGCCGCATACAATCTAAGAACACAATTTATATTATAGCTCCGAGTTATTAATGCTGTATCTCCTTCCTTCTGTGCAAATATACGATTAACAGAACAGATTACTGCAACTTGCACTACCTTCTTAATGAATTTTAAGCGTATACCAAGTTATCTTTGAGTACAATCGTAAACTGGGTTTTTTGATTGTTATATACGCGCCTCGAGGAGTATAAATACTCCTTGGTGGTTCGTTGTAAGGTCCATTCATATCTATACCTAATAAGCGAACTATTTTATAGACAAATTCAGTAAATGTTAGGGCTCTTTATGGAGATATAAGATGTTTTGGTTGAAATTTTAAAAAATGTTTCTGTTCATTTATATTTTCTATAGTATTATAGTAAAATGACACACTCTATATATGACAAATTTTGAGCTAAATATTTGGAGTTAATGTTTGAAGAGCAATGTTTGCCCCATTGCTATACTGAAACACGACTATTCATTAATGAAAACAAGTCCTAAAAAGGTGATATACATAGGTTGTAACTTTTAATAGAAACATATTTATCTTAAACTATGTTTAATGATTCGAAAATTCAACCGGCATTCGGCAAGCCGTTACCAACAGAACACCCTGTATGAAAAAAACGTCCGTTTAATTAGTTCGAGTATCGTCTTGGAGCACGCGCACGCATACGCACGCATTCAAAGAGATTTAACGACAACATAATCCATTGAAATCAAGATGCGAGTACTTCTTTTTTTCGCCATGGAAATGATCGAACGACCGAACGAGGTTGCATTACGGACACGTGACTATATCGAGCAGGTGTTTTGTTCCTTCTGATGCTTCGCCCCGTCTTCTTTGGTTTAACCAGAAAAACGCACGAGGTCGAAATCGCGAAGTAGCTGTACGGAATTTTCGAAATTTAATTTCCGTAAAATTTACTGGACATTCACCGGGTTCCTAATTAGTAACGATAGTAATTCTATGTGACAAAAATCGCCCCATTACATCGTTCGAATTGAGTGCCAAACATTAATTTATTCTCAATGATAGGATAAAATCGATACTCCAGAATGGCTTTACTAAATATAAACACATATACAGGGTGTTTTTTAATAACATAATATTGAAGGGGGTGTTTCTTTGACGCATTTTAATAAAAAAAAAACTTGAAATGACATATGTTCTAAACCTAAAGTTTATTATTATCTAATTTCTGCACAGCGGCTAATGCAGCGGCAGCGCACAAATGAATGCATTTAATTTTTTTATGCGAAACGGTGAGTCGTACGAAAAAAAGTCAAGAAATCAAATTTGTTCTAAATTGAACGGGCCTCCAAAAATAATTTTTATATCAAGAGAAAGAAGTGGCGTACCACTTTTACCCTCAAAAATATTTGACCTGAGTCCAATACGGACGTCACTGTTCAACGGTCAAAAAATTCTTTTTAATGCATAAACGCCTTACACCAAAATTCATAAAAATATTTAAAGTGGTCTGGAAATGACAGTAAAAAATTGACTTTTTTCCTAAAACTTTAACACCTTATATATCTTAAAAGTTAGGACTTTTAGGACATGCATAGGTTCATATGTTCATAAGTTTTTTTTTGAAATGGGTCCAAAAATTACCTCCTTCAGTATTAGCATGTTATTAAAAAACACCCTGTATTTTAAATACAAGCATTTGCAGTATTCACAAACTGAACAAAGAACAATAATACATATAACAAAGAATAATAATACATAAAGTAAATTCTCAAAAAAAACGAAACATGTATGCAAGAAGTAAAACAAATTTAATTAATGCAATGCCAAATTACACGGCTCTCATTACGAATACCCACTTACTATATGTATGTGTATTAAAAAGAGCGCAAATACAAAGTGGAAAATTTATGCGGCACGGGTCAAAAATCTGCAAGCAAGGTGTAAGAAGAGATGGAAGTGTGTCTTCCGATTTAGTGCACTGCACTTTACGTATTATGCATCATCAGGTGCATCTGCTCCGGTTGCATTGCAATCTGCGATAAACGAGTTATAACCATGGGCGCTAATTTCAAAACGCCAGGAGCTAATGTGTAGTGTGGCCGGCAAATTATCGTCTTATATTCTTTCGACAAAATGAATAAATATTATTTTGTAATGAAATAAGATTTGCCAATCACGAAATTTAGCTCGATTGTAACTGATGTGTTTGTATTAAAAATTAGACGTTACAGGTTAAAATGGGGAACATTAGATAGGATTTTCAATAAATTTTAACTTACTTCTTTTTACCAGCTACCGATGGCTCTACCACCAATGACACTCCGTTGAAGGAAAACCCTATGGAAAATGAAATAAATTAATAAACAGGCACTTAATAAAACAAGTATCCATAGGTAGTAATTTTAAAACACTGTCGAACGTTACACTATAATTTTCTCAAGAAAATTCAATATCTAAATATCTATTATTAATTGTGATAGAAACTAGGAAGAAGGCAGATAATTACTTAAATATTTATTTTTTGTCTATTTCAGAAATCACTTATTGTTAATTAAGTTAATCGTAAAAAATCACAGCTTTGTGTCTAGTTCGTTTTGTATTAAGAAACAACTTCTACTAGTTTCTACTAGTTTGAATGAATGATTGATTCATGAATGGATTCGTGCGACTATTATGCAAGCCGGTTCTGCTTCGTAGTATTCACGATATTATAATAAAGCGCGGGAACGTTTCAGGGTTAAATTTCTAATTTGGCGCTGCTTCTTCAATGGTAACTAATACCTGGGTTTGTCCCTCAGCCATTTCTTACCTTAGTTTTAGTGGGCAATTAGGTCAAAGATATATTCTCTGTATAGTATGATAAACTCGAGATATTTGAATAGTATTTTTTTGTAATAAAATTAACAATTATTTTGTAGTTATAATCGATAGTTGCATTATTCAAAAACACGGATTAATTACTGATGAAAATATTGATAATAATATATAAATATCGATCAGATGAATTGAAGTAGTACACACTTACAACAAAGATCAAAAAAAGGTAAAAGAATTGAATGAAATTTATGTGACAGCTTTCCTTATTCCTTTATGTAATATGCATTCGCATCGTGTCCCGGGAGAATCAAAGAACTTGCCATTCTCAAGACATTTATTGAATACGTGACCAGGCGCGATATTTTGCGGTACGATCTAAGAAAAACTGTCATCTTTAAAATTTTAATCGAATGAATAAATTTCAATAGAGAAATTATCACGTAGCGATAATCTTTTTCTAGGGGGTTATAATCTAACAGTGCATGCCTGTCCAATTAAACTGGGAAATTACTATCAATATAGATCGCATTGCACAAACTTTAGTTTTGTAACTTTAGTTTAGTAACAAATTGTTAATGTGACAGTTATTAAATTTTAGCTTATCTGAAGAACTGGAAAAATCGTATAACCCCTGTATAACAAAAATTCCTTTCTTGCTAAAGGAAGAATAGGGTTGGGTAATATCATTTCAGGATCTGCATTAAACTAGAAACTTGGGAAAATTTGCTTTTAAAATTTTTTAAATCTATATACCAGAGGAGCTAAAACTTTGGAATTTAATTTGTTAGACAATTTTTTTAGTATATTTTTTTAATAAACAAAATCATTTACAAACTTTATTAATAGTCTGATAAGATATTAAGATAATTTGAAGGTAAATAAAGCGTAATAAATCCTTTAATTACGACTACGGGAGGCAACAAAATGTATTTGAGTAATATAAAAAATAGCAAATATCTCATTGACGAGATTTTTGTTTCTATTAGACCAAGTTATCCGATAGACCATTGTGAGATGAGTAATTTAGGTATATTGGACCACTTTCGACGAATTCTTCCCTACTTGGCCCGGTTGCTCGGATCAACCGAGGATCAAAGGCGGATCAACTTTGATCCGGGATTAAGCCGAGATTATATAGGGATCAAATATGGCCGCCCTATTCCAGTACTAACTATTGATCCGACTTTGATCCGAAATCAGTTGATCCGACTTTGATCCGCGTACGAGCAACCGGGCCCATATGTTTCTATTATCGTTGCAATATTTTATCTACCCATTAAAACGCTTGTATTTTAACTGCAATGCAATAGTGCAACAATTTACTGCTGCAATATATTGGGTGCGTTCAGGGAACTCAACTGTTGGCAACTGTTGGCAATAGTTGCTCCGTGAGAAATGCTCGTACAGGTTTATTGAGCTTTTCATTTCAATACTAATGTGCCACCCTGTATACAGATTGCTTCAATTCAGACCGCAATATGGTCATTTCTGTGAGTTGAACAAAGAAAGATTAATAAAATAACAGTTGTCAGAGTGAAAAGTTGCAATGACACAAATGTCACTCTTTTTTTTCCTTTATAAGTGTCCAATGGAAGTTGTCTTTATCGCACCTATAGCCTATATAACCTATGTTGCGATCTGGAATGAAGCACAGTGTATATGAAATTAGTGTCAATGTAATCCGAAAACATTTTTTTTCTATCGCAATGGTGAGTATCAAAAATCGATATAAAATGCCGGAAGTGTTAGTAGAGCTTCAGTAGTATATTTTGCTCAAAGTTTAAAAAAATAGTATCATTCGGTAAAAATAAAGTGTAGTGGTACAACTTAGAAACCTGTTCAATACACCATTACACCCTACTCTCCCCTATATACGCGTTTGGGGGTCACATCTCAACGTTTCGTTTACTTAAAATAAGCGACCAAACGGGGCGAGTACGGTCCTGTTCCTTGAATTAGTTAAGCACCGAACGAAAAACCAGTTTGCGAAGCATCTCATCTCATTGTCGGTGGAAACAATTTTGACAATACCCGGTCCTAACCTTAAAATTTCCGGCGCTAATAACGCGTGTTTACTCGAAAAGAATATCCGCTTTTCTTTCCCACAACAATGCCAACGACAACAATACCACTGAAACAATAATTACTTCATTTGCCGGCGTCTCTGCGAATTAAAGCCGCATTTAAACTTTAAACTAACGCAAACCGATAGGAAACAAGCACGACAGTAGAGAGTACGATCGTAATTATTAGAGTGACATCGGTCGATATATTTGATAATCGTACTCACCGTTGAGCTTGTCGATCGCTCTATCGGCCGAAGATTGATCGGTGAAATCGACGAAAGCGTATCCGGCCCTTTTAATTAAAATATTCGTACAAGACAGATTCTGCTCGACGAACAGTTGCCGGAGAGAATATTCGCTCGTCTCCTCCGGCAAATTACCCACGTACAACTTGCTCATGGTTATCGGCGGGATTTTGCCCGTCGTCGACATGTCGCCCGATTGCTACCCCAACTTAATAAATCGAATTTAAAACGCCGAACAACAATAAAATAGTTCACGCCGGAGTCTTTAAACTTAAACACCACGTCCGCAACGCTTAGAAACTTCGCTGACATGCGCACTCTATTCGCTTATTCACGATGCACGGAATGCATGCACCCGCACCGGGAAGACGAGACGAGACGAGACGGAACAGAAGAGTCTCGAGACGAGAGCCGGTCTTTTTTTTCCGTTTTTTTTTTACATCTTTTTCCCGAGGTTTCTGGTAGGCGTCACGGCGGCGTTCGATGGCCGGTTATCGAGGCGACGGCGGTTTCCGGATTTAATTTGAAGTTTGCGTAATCGAATTATGATGCGAAATTCGCGCGAGAATCGAGCGGTTGGTTAGCATTTAAGCGAGTTTGGAGCGACTTGTGTCAACGGCGCCGTGGCTTAGTTGGTTAAAGCGCCTGTCTAGTAAACAGGAGATCGCGAGTTCGAATCTCGCCGGGGCCTTTGTGTGGATATTTTTTGTTTTTTTTTTGATATTTTTTTTCTTATTGTTAGTTTACTTACTTTTTATTTGACATTATTATACATGGTATTCTTTTATTAAAGGACGGTATACAAGGTAAATACAGTATGGGCATTTTTTTGAAAATGCCTGTCGAGTATACTTTAAAATTACTTACAAGGAAAATTATTTTTGGAGAGAACGACTTTTTATTATGACACGAGTCACGACGAATGACATGACAAAACTATTTGACTTCTTAAAATAAGTTATATTCATACATTTCTTACGAAATTTTATTAGGTAGGTACTATAATTATGCCTAATTAATTACAACATGTTCATCATTCTAGATTCTGGGAGTGTTCAAAATGGTTCTGGACCTTTCTAAATGGTTCTAGACAGTTCTAAATGATTTTGGAGCGTTCTAAATGAGTCTAGACCACTTCTAAATGTTTCTAGTAAGTTCTAAATGCTTCTGGAGCGTTCTAAATGGTTCTAGACAGTTCTAAATGGTGTACTAGGAGACTATTGTTGGACATTAATACGCGAAATCAATCCAAAATCCTACAAAAAAAAACAAAAATTTAGTGCTCAGCATTTCTAATTTGTATTGTGCCTTTTCATACATTCCGTAGATATTAAATTCCAGTAAAACAAACTATTTTATTAATATATTTCAGTTATGTGACGTGCTATATTAATTATTTCTACAAATTTTGGTTCATTAACCAAAACTAGGTACCTACATCGCTCCATTATCCGAAGTTATTTGCACAAAACCTTGTAAATTAGTAAAATTAGATAAATAATTAATTAGTTTCCATTAATAATAAGGTCGTCATTTAAAGGGTTTCAAATGGTTTTAACCCTAAAAATATCTAAAAAATCATTTGAAACACTAGAAACTTATACAGGGCGTATCTAATAAATAAAACTTATAATAAATTTTCGCAACTAGCTCGATTTCCGATGCAACACCATCGACTGGTTATGCGAATTTCGAAAGCAGATCAGAATGATTGTAAAAAAAACGTCACTTTGCGATATGCAGATATGCTAATTGCGATACGACACACAATAACCGGGACTTTTGTGTCCGACAAATGACACCGAAAAATGTTTTGATGCTTTATCAAAAATCCGAACACATGTTTTGGCGATACCAAAAGGCATTGTATTTTTTCGCACGGTTAAGACCTAAAAAATATAATAGCGGCCAGATTAAATCCACAAGGACAGGTTAGGTGACGTAAAATGTTATTATCATACATTTCTAACGTTTATTAACGTCCTAACGCATTGACATATTTCCATGGGCGTACGACAATCTTGCATCATGATGATTTTTCTTTGATATTTTTCTAGTACATGAGCTCTTATTAGAGGAATCCTGAAATGGGCTATCATCAAATTCAAACTCAATAATATCAAAGTCAACCTTAAAATATTTTTACATCAGCATGCTATAGGCAATGTAAATTATTCTACAGTTGTCTTATAGTTAAACCAATATAGGTTGGACCTTTAGTTCAAAACAATGGTGGTTCAATGAAGTTCCTAGGATTTTTGGAATGTCTATGCCTATTTGGCATGTGCTAGAATAAGTTATGAATAATTTATGAACAGAGAAAGCTTCATATTATTAAGCTATAATAATTCCAACGAAGATGTAAAGAATAAAAGTGGAGAAAAACCTATAGTACTGACCCACATCATCATCATAAATTCCACCTCTTCTTTATTTGATCTAACTCTATAAATCTGATATGTATTCTTGAACTAACATTTAAGAAGACAATTTTCTTTCTAAAGCTTTAGATGTTTGTTGGGATTTGGGATCGTGATTGAAAGTTTTTTACTGGATAAGAAATCGGTTAAACCCACTGAGAAACGTCACTGGGGACGGTTAAGGGAAGACGAATTAGAAATCACTTCTAAATTTCACCCTACGCTTCTATGTGAATAACGTAATTGTGTACCTCAGAAACGAAAATTGAAAACTCGTTTCGGATATCGGATGGTGCGATTGTTACGCAGCGAGGTTCCGGTTCCGCGTATTGCATATTATTGACCTTTTGACCGGGCGACAACGAGGGCCCTTTGTCCATCGGCTCGCAGATTTTATATAACGTGACGAACTGGTGACTTCTCCGTTGCACCAGAAAAATTTACGGTGTTCCGGTATTGTTAAGAAACCATAAACACCAGTTGCCAGGACGTCGATAATTACCCGCCTAAACTGGATTCGACCTTCGACCGATATATCTCTCAAACTGACTATAATTGGTAAAGTTATCGGATAATTAAGGAATGCTTTATGATTAGGATATTGTAGGGTTGACTGTTTTGAATATATTAAGCGATTCTATCGACTATATATAATTTAGATTGGTTTTTTTGTGGCCCTGGAAGTATATTGATCCATAATTTTAGATGACTTTTTTTAGAACTTCTCAATGGACTTTAAAAGAAAATAAAATAATTTTTTCATTTACATATTTTATTACGATTTTTTAAGTTGTTTTTTATTAAAAATATCCGAAATGGTTTCGTTAAATGTAGTACGTATTTTTTAATATTTTTTTAACACTTAAGTATAGACCTATTATTTTATCGGCTCTTTTTTTAATTGTGTTTTACTAATATATCAATCTGAAATGAGAAAAAATCAATGAACCTTTCCTAATATCAAAAGTTCCATAAATACATTTCAAAATGTATTCAAAATCAACCTTTTATCAAAACAGGATTGTGTACCTACTCGTATAAAACAATTCTCGTTAAGCTCCCAAAAATCTACTCTATTAATATTTAATTACTAGGTTCTCTATACTATACTCACTTTTAACATCTCTATTAAAAACCGCTGGATTTGCAATTAATTATTCAAAAAAATCTCCCCTGCTTTTCCCTTTTATATAATTATTAACGACAAATAAAATAAAAAATCGCTTCTATAATATTACCACGCTCTATTTTTCTCGTTGAACTCTCCTGTACACTTTTTTATAACCCTTTTTTTATTCCAAGCCTGTTTTTGCCATTAATTTTTTTGCTTTCAAACGTATGAATTTATTATAGAGCGTAGCTCAAATTATTCTAATAAACCATTCACTCCGAATGAAAGCTCTTCCTCTGAAACTAGACCCTGCCTATTTATGATTTTCGACAGTTGCGTCTGTTGAATTCTATAAGAACAGATAAAAACTATTCAGTAAGCTCTTTCTGATTTCCAATACAAACATTATTACTCTTGTTGTGTATTATATTAACAAATAAAATGGTTTCTTCTGTTTGTCTGCTTCAGTCATGCAATGTATAATATAATTAATAGTTTATAAATGCACAACTACAAAAAGCTTCTTAGATAATAGAGCTAGAAGTATTCATGAGCCCCTTTATTTTAAGTAAAACCACTGGTTTTGGGAATACCCCGACGAATCAACTTTCGTTTGTATAGTAATGGAAAGCCCCTTTCATCCTTAATTATTCAAATCCATTAAAATTTTGGTACTAATTTCGAATTAACCGTTAAATTTGTTGATAAGAAAAGTCGTCCCCTTACACAAAACTGGAGGCCCTATCGACATGGTTTGCCCATTGTATTTGTGTCATAGGTTAGTAACCGCTAGTTCTATTCCCAAACGGGACCCAACTTTCGGCAACTTTCTCATGCGAACGAAGCGCAGATGCAATATGCCCGCTGCACATTACACGCTAATCTTGATATAAAAAAATCAAACTGGTCGATTGTAGACGGGGAATTGTGGATGGAACTAGCATTAATTTAATTTTGCTGTCATTATCGGATCTATATCGATTGAATTAATTAAGCGAGTTGTTGCTGGAAGATAGAGAGAAATTAAATGTATTGGGTGTTCCAGTCCAGTAGAAATTTTCTTTAGCTTATACACAGATACCAGGATTATGTGCATTTATGAAAGTACAGTCTATATATTTTTTATTTTGATTGATAATCAGAATTTACATTCTATAGGTCAGTGTATATTTTCTAATTTAAATATCATTATCTGTACCTACTTAAATGTTTATTAGATAAGCATTTGCTATTTATTTTATAATATTTTAGTAATTAATAAATAAATAGTTCAATTTTCTTAAACATAATGTAAATTAATTTAAGCAAATCAAACGAAAAAATCAGAAAAATTTGATAGATGCTTTTAATAAATACGGGGACAACGACCAATGCAATTTAACTTTAACCCCCGACCGTCCGGTCAGTAACCAACCACTCATTGTCACTCCCTTTGCACCTTCGATCGTGCATCGCATTCGTAATTGGATTCGGAATTGCAAAATGCACCGATGCACGCGACGCACGGGCACAATTGCGATGTACATTCGCATGTACTTAGAGGTTTCATACACGCGAATTGCAGTACTTGCAGTTAGTCGATTGGCGGCAGCGATTTCCCGACCGCGCCAATCGCGCTTCGCAATTTATGCACTCGCCGTAATGCAAGTGCAAGTGCACGATGGAATATGCAATGGTCACCCGACATTTCGTGCGGCCCGCGCAGTCGAATTCCAATTTTATTGAAATATTTTTAGAGAGATTTGAATGTTATCGAGTCGTATAAAATGCATAATAATAAAATGAAATTTATTGGTATAGTTCCAAGTTGTGCATTTTAAAATTATTTCGACTTTGCATAATAGAGTGGTGCGTATTTCCTATAGATTACATTTTTAACTACTTTTATTTATAATAAAATAATACTTTTGTGTACTAAAAATTTTTCGTTTTTTAAAAATCTGGTGTGTCGAGTAATTATATTGGAGCTTGGGATGAATAAGAATTGGATGGAGCATTTGTAAATTATTCTAATAGAGGAAGGGAAAATTTAATGAGTTTAAAAAGAATAAAAACTTCGGGTCTTTGTGAAACCATTAGGGCAAGTTTTAGTCAATTAAAAACTAACCTACCCATCCTACCCTTGCTTCTCCATTTCGATCAATATTCTCTATAATTAAATTCAGCAATTTAACCTAACTTTTAATGGCTCAATGGTTTTTATCTAACAATAAATAACAAAGAAAAGACTGAGCTTTTATGAGAGTATTTCATTCTCCAATCTTTATAATATTCGAGTATTGAGGTATTTCGTCAAATGTCCGTCTATTATTTTCTTTTTCTGGTAGTTCTAAATCAGTTCAAAATGTTTTTGGAGCGTCTAAATGATTCTAGACAGTTCGAAATGGTTCTGGAGAATTAAAAATGGTTCTATAGACAGTTCTAAATGATTCTGGAGCGTTATAAACAATTCTAAATGTTTCTAGACCGTTCTAAATGGTTCAGGAGCGTTCTAAATGGTTCTAGACAGTTTCATTGTTGGATATTACCTAATTCGCGAAACCGACCCAAAAAAACCAAAATGTAACGCTTAGCATTTCTAATTTGTAGTATCTTTTTATGCATTGCATAGATGCTAAATTCCAATCAAACAAATGATTTTATTAGTGTATGTAGAGATATTCAACAGCTCAAATGAGATGAAAGAGATGTTTTCCATTATAACATGACTTTTTCTCGTACCTATAATTGTATACCTAGCTATACATAAATACATAGGTGTAGCAAAAAGTATTGCTGGTTTTAGCTAGTTAAGATATAAGGATAACAATGTAAGCTATCACAACTATTTTTACAGGATTAATACTGTAAAAATGAGTTAAAAAATATTTTTTGAAATTCCAAAATCTGCTACAAAATTTTAAGTATTATGCAGATTGAAATCAGAAACGGAGATTAAAACAAAGAGAATCCTTCCTAAAATACGAAGAACACAAATAATGCATCTATAATTTTTAGAGATCAAAAATATCGAATCGGTTATTGTATAGTGGGTAGGTGTACCCCGCTCCGTCAACAATCGACGTTATAAATATTCCCGTAGGTATACCGACAAAAAAATTCCCAGCCAGTCACAATAAAAAAAATACCCGACGAGAAACCCGTAAAAATTGGCTCGGTCAGATTCAAATACAAATTCATTCGGGTCTAATACAAAAATATCCTAAATTATAGACGTCGCGTCGGGGTGAATGACTACACCTTTCCCGCCCGTTTCGTAATGGCTGCCTCCCCTCCAGGCCGGCGGCGTGGAGGGCCCGTCAGGGGCGGCAGGGGAAGCGCGAAAGGGGTCGATTCCACCCCGGGCGTATCGTATCGTACGCATGCAGAAAGTGAAACTCGCCGAACGAGAGGAAAAGTAACTAATTAGTATGAAATATATGTGATATTTTTGATGAACAAGCGACGGCGTCGGGTGCGGGGGCGGGGTGGCTGATGGAAATAAAACAAGTCGTTTGGATTTAGTTTAATCTTTCTCTTTCTGACTTTTAGTTGGTTTTAGTCTGGGCAATCGATAATCGCGGGCAAAGGTAAAAAACCGGCATGGGGTAGGTGCTTTTACGAGCCGACATAGCTAGGTAGAGGTATAGGGTGTGTAACGAAAATGAGGGTGTTTAATTTCGATTTGAGTTATAACTGATATGCTAATTGAATACAAACGGAAATACAGGGTGTCCCGCATAAGAACCGACACAGAGCAGGGACGTGTATGGGGAGCACCAAATATGTTGATTAACCCAACTTAACTTAATAATAAAATAAGTTACATTCCTAAGAGGTTATACGAGTAGGCCCTTTGACGAAAAGTTATAAAAAAAATAATATCTCAATAATATTCAAACTTTAAACAACTATATTTGGTATGCACAATGACAGTACAAAAAAGTACAAAAAAGTACAAAAAAGTACAAAAAAGTACAAAAAAGTGACAAAATTTATAATCCTTAATTTTTCCTGAATCTCCTTCAAAATATGCGCCTTTTGAAGCGACACACATAGTCAGACGCCTTTTCCAATCATCGAAGCATTTTTATAGGCCCTTTTTGGTACGGCTTTCAGCTTCTTCTACGAATTTTCTTTGATGGCATTTATGGAGTCAAAACGGGATATCCGAAGTGGCAATTTGAGTTTGGGAAATAAAAAATGTCGCATGAGGCTAAGTTTGGTGAGTATGGTGGCTGGTCGATGGTATTTCACACTAACCAGCATGTATGCATCGACCAGTTGACGATATCGCTATTGAAGAAAAATGAGCTCTACCTGGAAGAGCTGAGCCTCAATGCGCAGCATGTCTGATTGATTGAGCAAAATCAAACGAGCGGTTTAACGGGAGATGTTGAAGTCAAATGCTACTCCTCTAATACTAGCATGATGATTTTCGAACTCAATTTCCTTTATTTTCCCGCCGTTACCGTTGGTTGAAGGGTTGGTTGAAGAGATTGAAGACTGTTCGGAACGAGGCAAGTCTTTAGCGATCTCCCGACTGTCTTTCAAAGTTTTGTTCCATTCGTAAATATGAGTTTTCGATAAAACCCTTTATTCATTATTTTTGTCAATTCAATGTTTATTCAATGTTTGCAAAATTCGCAAAGCACTACTGAGATGAACTGATTCAATCAGATTCAAGTGCAGGTAATTTGAATCAGATTTTCCGGGTACTTTTTTTGTCAGTATGTATATGAAAATTATCTAATAATTTTGTATTCTTTGTAAAAATGTACACACGAAAAATACGATGCATGAAGATAGCACTTGAAGGAGAAATTGATTTTAAAAGGTACCATACTAAAACAAATATTATTATTATTTTTTAAACACTACTTGTAGGATATTTAATACGACAAATAAACAGACAATTATTATTTCGACTTCGTTTAATTAATTAAATATGCTTTTCTAAATTATTTACATTCACTCTATCGGTATATAAATTTTGATTGGTAAAAATGCAAAAAAAGTAAACGATAAATAACAAATAGAATACTTTGCTATAAGGATAATATAAATTAGCCACACATATAATATCACATGTGAATTTACTTACATAATGAACAGGACTGATATTTCTAGCGGGTTCTCAAGTTTTGAAAATTCGTTCAGCTTTCTACTGATATATAAATTTAATATGAGCGTTCGCACTATGTACAATATCCCGTATCCCGACGTTCCATATATCAAACGACTATTCATCATGGACATTTCATCACGGCGACGATTCATCACTACCGCTACCACATTCACTCGCTTCTGCACTCTATCTCAACCATGTAGAAAGAAATGTGTGATGAAATGATTATTAAAATGTTTAAGAAAGCATCCAAAAAACGATTAAAAACTAATGTTTACCCTCATCGGAACACGACCATGAGATAATTTTGTCCCCAGAAGTCTTGTTTTATTTTACATATTTTTTCAAGTAGGTGTAATGAATAGTGGTAGTGATGCATCGGCGCCGTAATGAAATGCCCATGATGGAATGTCGCGTGATGAATAGTCGTTCGATGGAAGGTCGTGGAATCACAATATCCAGCATCTGAATTTGTCTAATAACACCAGACGCTGCTTTAAAGCTTATTAAAGAACCCTAAAATCGACAAATATCTACATAAATCACGAAAATAATCGTAAAACATTTAAATTAATAATGGTGATAATGTGCCAAGTTGATTCTTTTTAATCGAAATTAATATTAAAATAATGCAAACTGTATAAATACGTGTAAATTTGAAATAATTAGCCATAATTAAGGTCTCCCTTGATCTTTCAACGAAATCTATTGCAACTAGTCAATAATTTGTTGGAGAAATATTTTTTATTTTGGTAAATAATCTAGTTAATTGGAGTCAATTGGAGAAGAATCTACAAAAACCAATCATCTAATTAGAGTATCTCGAATGACTAATATAAATATTTCGCACGAATAAACAGCTACTAAACCTACGAAATTCCAAATAGAAAAATATCCACTACTTTTGTGCTTCGTTTACATCTAACCCACTCGGAGTCGTCCTGAACATTACATATTAAAAAAAAAAACTATAACGTCACTTGATACTTATAAAATCTACTCAGTAAATAGGAATCTTCTTGGTAATCGTTTTCCTGCACATATGACAGATCTTCAGCGGATCGGCGCACTTCGAGCACGTGCTGTGGCCGCAGAGGAACACCACGTTCCGTTTTCGCTCCATACAAATGCTGCACGCGTGGCTCTCCTCGATCTCCTGGATCTTGCATTCGAGGTAACGCATGCGCTCGGCGCTCGGCTGTCGGCTCTTCGCCGGAATGATCCTGCCGTCCTTGGTCACCCTCTTCTGCACCGGCTGGCCGCATTGCAGGCACTTTTTCATGCGCGACGAGCAATCCTCGCAGGCCGGCTTGTGGTTGCACGGCTCCAGCCGGACGTTTTCTTCGGACAGTTCGGAACAGACGAGGCATTCCACCGGTTTGTTCGGTATCAGATTGGCCGTACGGTTGTCTTGCGAGGTACCGACTTTATCTGAAATTCAAATTAATTTTTAAGTAACACAATAGGTCGTATTTGTAAAAAGAAGCACGACTTTTTGCTTTTACAAAATGAAGGAATTGCTTCTTAAAAAGAAATGAAGGAAGAGAAGTTTTGTTTTGAGGACCCTGCTATTGCTTTAAAGCAAAAGGTGTAAAGCAAAACTGAACAGAAAGTCAGAGTGTAAACCAGGGAGAGAAAATCTTTTAAGGGTCAATTCTACACTAATTTTTTTACTCGCACTGTTAAATATATTTCAGATGATAAAGGAATTTGATGATTAATTATAGAGAGCCCCTGAATACGTCTGCTCTTTAGAAACGTGAAACAGGTACCCCTAATTTTCAATTGGTTCTTGTCATTTTGCCATTTGACAATTTTAGAAAATTCTTAGATTTTATAAACCCTATAAAAGTTCAGCAACTTTGCCTACTTGTGACGTAGTAAGAATTGTGAATTTGAGTCCTCTTACCACGGTCTATTTTTTGGCGACCTCTTCTACTGCTCTCGCTGTGATTTGGCTTAGGAGGAATTTCAGTCAAATTGTAACCCTCTCGTTGATTATCGGACAACGAGAGATTTTCTAAATTACACAAATCTTGTTGATTGGCCGTTTGTTGGTTATTTTCCGCGGCGACCGGTTTGTAACTCTTTATTAACTCCTGCAAACGTTCGTCCTGTGAAAAACAACAAACTTTTAGCACGCTTATTTCGTCGAGTACAATCGATCTCACCTGAAGTAAACCGAGAGCGGATTGTCCCTTGCTGTTTATGGCGTCCGAATCGATGCCGGTTTGCACTAGAAAACAAGCAATCGATACGCCCAATCGACATTCCTGCAAATGCTCCAAGTCTTTGTAAACGTCGTAAATCCCCGGACTGTCGTCGCGCCCCACCTCGCCGCTCAGATGATTCAACTTGGTCAGGGCCAAATGGAGCGCGTTATCCTCATCCTCGTCTTTGGCGTTAATGTTCGCTCCGAGTCTAATCAGCAGTTCAACCACACCACAATGACCTGCAAACATAAACCAAATAGCTTCCTAAGTGGACACCTTACGTGGGGAAAAGATCCAGATGTTCCAAAAAATGGACCAGAGATGGCTGATTGATTGAATGAATGATTCGTAGATACACTGAATAGCTTACCTTGGCTCACGGCTAGCAACAAAGCGGATTGATTCCGATTATTTCTCAAATCGATATCAGCCTGTCCGACTCTCACCAACGTCTCGACGACGTCCTTGTGGCCGTTCAAAGCGGCCAAATGCAACGCCGAGAAACCGTCGTCTTTTTTCACATCCACTAACTGCCTGGCTACATTCAGCAATACCCTCGTAGCGAATGTTTTACCTTTCAGAGCGGCGTGATGCAGCACGTTGAAACCGCGTTTGTTCCTCAGAGTAAAATCGGTCCCTGGAAAAAATCGAAAGAAGCCAAGTCGATTTGACAAGATCGTGCGATTCAAATAACAAACCTTGCGCGTTGCACAGCAATTCGATCACTTGGAAGTTATCCTTTCCGATGGCGTCGTGCAGAGGCGTGTCGCCGTAGAGATCGGTGCAATTGGGATGCGCCCCGGCGTCCAGTAAGATTTTAACGCATTTCGTCGGTTGCTTGTGGGCGGCAATGTGCAGGGCCGTACAGCCGCTGCGATTCGCGGCGTTTACCACATCGACGCCGTTTTTCACTAGTATCTCGAGCACCTGAAAAGCACGACGATAAGCAATCGCTCTCGATCCCGTTCAATCGCTCCGGAAAACTTACTTCAGGTCGATTGCCGAACGAAGCGTAATGCAAACAGGTGTCTCCGTCGCTATCGCTGGCGTTGACCGACGCCCCGCATTTCAATAGCAACAGGACGATTTGCACGTGTCCTTGATGGGCGGCTACTTGCAGAGCGGTTTTGCCGCTGCTTCGGGCGTCGACGGTTTCCGGGGCGTTTTCGAGGATCCTTTGCACGGCTTCGATGTGACCCTGGGCGGCGGCTCGCACTAACTGATCCACCAGGCAGTTGCTGGGCAGTTCCGTCTGATTCGCCGGGGACCATTGAACTGCGGGATTGATGAAAATGAGAATCGTTGTCAGAGGCTCCGACGAGACAATATAAAGAGCATTGTAAAAAACGTTTTAATACTTATTTTAATAGAATTATAACCATCAGAAATCCTAATACATCTTGAAATAAATGTGTCTTTTTACAAGCAAAGCAAAGTTTAATACCAGTTCTGTGCCCCTAAAGATTAGTTTGATATTGTTAGTTACTGGCGAGTATATTTTTTAAAGTAGGTTTTTATTAATTATTTATATGCTCATTGGATGGTTCTTGTCGCTGATTTGAACCATTTAGATCTATCTGGAACCATTTAAAACGTCCCAGAATAATTTAAAACTGTCTAGAAACATTTAGTACGTTCCAGAATCAATTAAAACTGTCTAGAACAATCTAGAACGTTCCAGAAACATGTATGTTATCATGTTAGTTACGACCAGTATGTATTTATTGTAGGTTTTTATTAAGTGTTTATATGCTTACTCGATGGTTCTTGTCGTTGATTTTGGACAGCATGCATGGTATTTGCTAGTTCGGCTGCGCTTCCGGGCACTATCCGTACGCACTGGGGGTGCAACGTCCAAGCGTGACCTTCCAGTTGTACTCTTAGATCGCCGTCGGAATACACTTTGAGGACTTTACCCAATTTACCAAGACTCTGAAACAATTTTTTTTGTGTTAAAAATAGATTAAAAACTTGCGGAGAATTTCATACATTTCTCATAATTTCTATCCATTCCCCGTGACCTTTTTGGAGTTCTTTGACTTTTTCGACGTCCGTGATTAACGTGACGACGTCGCCAACGGAGAAACTGTTTACTTTATGCAAAGCTATTGGGTTGAATGTCCATCGGTTGTTGCAACCTTCGTATTGCACTCGGATGTCGCCTTTTTCGGTTACTCTATGTACCGTACCAACTTTACTGATGTACTAAAAACAATATTAAATTTATTAGGTTTTCGTGAAAAACACATGGTGAAACACATACCTCAGCCATTCTCGGATTCCACCCTCCGTGACCCTGTTGCATGGCCTTGAGTTGTTCGACGGAAGCGTTAACTTGTACTTTGTCTCCTACTGTAAACGGACAGGGACCGGATCTACCTGGTCTAACTACTGGTTCGATATTTTGGCCTAAAACGAATAATTTTAGTTAACAAGTTAATCGAAACTTAACAACTGCCATCGTACCCAAAATTGGAAGATGTTCTGGGTAATAAGAACCCCCGGAAGCGGATTCAACGAATTTTATATCACAATTGCCTTTATGACCTATTCTATATACATTGGTAGATCCTGAATACCACTTTACATTGGCCACCGATCTGCTACTTTCATTATCCCAACCTCTTATATCCATTACTAGACCGATTTTACCTATAATTTACAATAATTAGCTAAACTTTAGCTATACTTTAAAAATTGTTAGGAATTATACCTTCACCACCATCCTGATTTCCCCATTCCCAACTCAAACCTCTCACGACCCTGGCTCCAACAAAAATGCCCTTTAACTCGCATTTTCTACCCTCAGATCTCGGCGGTAAATCAACACTAAAAAATTGACTATTTCACATAATGGACTATTTGTATTAATGCACTTACCCTAAGGAATTCAGACTATCGAACCTCTTAAATATGTGACCGGTATCATGTTTGTCCCCGTGATAGCACATGTAACACAAATCGTAATCGCGGCAATTTGTGCAATTGTATCTCATTCCGCTAATTCCTTGAACTCTACAACCATCGCATACTATGTTCGGTTGCTTTACACCTGGAATATTAGTTAGGATATAAAAATTAATTGAGGTAATAAATATGAATCGAAGTACATTCTTAAATTGGATGTAACTTAATATTGTAGACATGCAGTAATGAATTGTACTAAATAGTGTTTTGATTCAAAAGTTATTTATTACCTATTTGTGCGTTATCGATGACCCTAAGATCATATTTGCCCAAATAGCCGACTCTGTAGTTCGTACGGGTGCCGTTATCCCATTGTACTACAACAGTTTTTTCAGGAGATCCAACCGTTCCGGCTTTTCCGATTTCACAAACTGTACCCACATTTCCCTCTCCGCCGTCTAGAAGTGAAAAAATTGTTTAGAAATGTAAATGTACTCAACTAAACGAGTAAACTAAAGGTGCAGAAGAGCCTTGACTATGCCAAGGTTCCAGCACTAAGGCCTCTGGAGGATCCAATGTGTTATTCCTGCTGCTTACAGATCCGTGAATTCTTCGATGAAGGGCTCAGTCCTTCTCAATGGATGACTGTTTGTGTCTCCAGGGGCCAAAGGACTCTAAGGACTAATCTAAAGTCCAATTCGGACACTCTAGGAGGATATGGTCCGATGTAATGCGAATATAGATTAAATAAGGGAAGGAAAAAGCTGCAAGCAGCAAAATTTCAAGAGGAGAAAACCACAGAAAAATAAATACTTGAATATAAGAAACTGTAACAATAAGAGATTGTTTGAAATGTACCGTTTTAAAGCAAATGTGTTAATGAAAAACTGTTTAAGTAACAACGGTGTTTTTGATTAACCTCCTTGAATATTGAGTAACTGGGTTATTTTTCTTATAAGTAAAAAATAATGATTCAGTTCAGTGACATGCTCATCACACTTTTTAATGGATCGAATTAAAACATTTTGCGCCTACTGAACATTTCTTAAATAACTTTCAGGACGTTTATTTTCAAAAAAATGTATTATTCAGATTTTTATTTTCTCGTTTAGGCACACATTTTTAATCTTATCACATACATTGAGATATTTTTAAAGCGCTATACAAAAACATAAATAATTTTTTACATGATGCAAATAGAAAGTTAAACAAGAATTAGGAAAGTTCATGACACTTAAATATCGTATAATTTTTAAAGTTTAATCTATTTAACGTAAATTAATTGAATGCGAAATTCCATTTAAAACTTTAGGGCAAAAAAGAGGTGAATATTTACCTTGATTACCCCAGGACCAGTCAGGACCTCTAACAATCCTTACACCAGGCGATAACATTTCGACAGTATTTCAGATCGTAAATACACTCGTTAAATACATCCCACTTGCATTGTTGAAACTCACATAATTAAAAAACAGTGAAAATAAGAAAATTCGACACAACCCACTTCACAAAAGAAAAATTTTTAATCCAAAACATAAATTTGTCATCCGTCATATGTCAAGCTTACTGTCAATGTCAACAAACGTCAAGAAATTAACAGAAATTTGCATTATTGAACAATGCAAATTGCTAAGTCTACATTAGTTTGCAATATTTAGCTATTTGTGAAGCAAACGCTAGTTTTTTAGAAATATTACGAATATATTGAATCTATTACATTTTAGGCACAGTCTACTACGATTTTAAATTTATTACGTCGTATGTCAAATATTTTATGTCAAAATCAGCTGGAAAATATTGGCAAAATTTATCATTACACTTATCGTGATCAAATTCGGTATTCATTCTTCAAAGGAAAGAGAAAATAGTTTTGATATAAACATTAATTCAGATTTATCAATTATCTATTTTGTACAACCAAACACTGACTAACAAAGATAAAACCCATAGTCACCGTCGAACCTGCGGTAAACCTATAAACCTGTTATTAATTTTACTACCGTTTGAGGATAATGGGTGAGTATAAATCATGCTTTAATGAAACAACTAATAATCATAATTCCTGTTTTTAGCGTTCAAATTAAGCTACAGTTTCGAGGGCAACTCGAGAACTAAACCCGAGCAAAACTTATCTGGAGCCAGTAAGAAGATGACAAAAGATATACTGTTACAAAAGACACACGAAGAACGGAGAAAAAGACAAGTATGTGCGTATTGAAATCCTTTTTTATATTTTACATTCGTCGTTTTAGGAGCAAAGACTGAAATTGCAGAGCGCCGAATTGCTTCAATCGCACATTCGCAGTTACATCGACAGAAAACACAAGAAGGAGGAAGAGAGAATCCTTTTCGACGAGCTCGAAGGTTCCGGAAACATTCAAGTGCTTCTGTCCAAACTGCTATTCTTTTACGATCCTAGGGAGGATAAGGCAAGACTGGTAATACTTACATTTTGTAATTTATTATTGGTTTTAAGTAGATTGATTTTAGTTTAAATTGGCCAATAAGCTTGTACAATTGAATGAAGGCATTTCAAATCGAATGGTAACAGATTCATCGTTTTGTTGGTTAATAAAAAGGTTCCTCGTACAGTGTTTGAAAAATATGAAGGATAATGTGGAAACGATGATTTTATTGCAGTGTCTTTATATCTTCACTACCGATGCTAATATGTTTATTTATTTAATCCAAAAAGGTACCAGAAGTGCGCGTTCTTTTGTACTCATTTACTTTACATATTTAACTGTTTTAGATTATTATGGGTATTTAAGGAAGCAGCTGGAAAATGGGAAACATCACTTACAGGAAATTATTTTGTTGATTTATAAACCGTTCAAATTCACGAACGATTCCGATATTCTAAGCAATTTGGCTCTCTCCGAGTTTTGCACGCATTTTTTAAAACCCTCTTTGACTCACAACGTCAAAAGCATTCTCATTCCGTACATGAAAAGTCAACACCGGGACTTCCCGTTCGAGAAGTTAATTCTATACCTGAACGGCATCAACCATTTCGAGAATAGTTATAATTTGCTGTACTGTGTACTCGATTTAGAACCTGATGATTATGGTATGTTGTTAATTTTTTTATAGATCTGTTATAAATGTTGTTGATTTTAGAACCGAATTGCAGTAGCATCGAGGTCCTCTCGAAGCTCAGCTCGAACATACACGAATTGAAACCTCCACCGGACCTGACGGAAATGAGCGATGACGATGAAGAAGAGGAAAATCCCGAGACTGTCGAGAAGAGATTTTTGCTATCCGATTACCTGAAAATATTAAACAGATGCGGGAAAGTTAAGAAATGGCTGAATTTGTTCGAGAAAAATAATAACAACGAGAAGGTTTTAGTAGCGTTTACTAATTTATGCCATAATTTACTGTTGGTTTATAAGGATTCCATGAGAAAATATTTGTAAGCAATTTCATTGTAGGCTTATAAAGTACACTTAAATATTTCAATTTATTTCAGATTGTTGTATAAATTCGGTTTGAACAGTACATTCCTAATAAAACTTTGGGAATATTTAAATAAAAACAACAGCAGACAATTGGAGGCCAAGGGAACTTCTTTGGCGGTTTGGCGCAATTATCACACGGCATTATCCGTGTTCTGTGACATGTTTACCTTTTACACGGCAACTCTAACCGATAGCGGTAAGAACAACAATTACTCGCGCTATAAAACTGAAATAAATACTATTTCAGAGAAATCCGATACCAGCCACACCTTTGCTCAGAACGATTTGTTCGAAATGTCGAAGTTGCTTAAAAACGTGGCCAGAGGACTGATAGAAGTGGCGTTTCCCATGAGCAGAGCCAGCTCGGTACCTTCTACTCCGGAAGTGATTCATCTATACAGGGCGTGTCTAAATTGCGTCCATATATTGTACACGTTGGATTTGAGAAAGAAATTTTGCCCTGTAAACTTTTGGACTCTTGACAAGATCCACATTCCTCCAGACTTGGCGAGGAAAGATTATTTGTCGAAGAAAATTTCGTCGTTTTATGGATCTAGAGAAGATGGTAAGTATGCAATTGTGATATATGAATAATTGCACTACTGTCTAGAACCATTTAGTATTCTCCAGAACCATTTAGAACACTCCAGAACCATTTAGAACTGTCTGGAACCAGATTTGTACTCTTTCTGTGTATCTCCTTTAAAAACACTTTTTCTTTTTTACAGAAGACGAGCACATTCCTCCGCTTTCTACGATTGAACAACGTTCCCTGGCTATTCTCGAGGAATTGCCGTTCCTCGTTAGTTTCAACACGAGAATCTTACTTTTACGCGACCTATGCAGAAATAGCTTAGGAGAAGACGATTACCAGAGACTTCATCACGAATTGATGCACGACAATGTGATTGTAATTCGTCGGACACACATCTACGAAGACGCTTTCGATAAAATATCGCAAAAAAGCGGTAAGCACTTTTATAGCTGATACTTCAGGATGTGAATATTTGGATGATTTTAAGAAGAAATGTTTATATCAATATGTACATGTCCAAAACCTCTTAGTTTTCGAGCTACAAGGTGTAACAGTTTTTGAAAAAAATACTTTTCTATCATAATTTTCTTTCTACTCCAGATATTTTTATGAAATTTCGGACGTGGACTTCACTGGTAATAGTAGAAAATTAATTTTTATCCCCGAAGAAAAGTGTTTCCATACATGGGGGGCGTCTACCAAATTTCAACAAAATATCAAAAGCAGTTTTAATGAACTTGGGAAGGTTTTGGTTTTTATTTTTTTACACAAAAATGGTGCGTCGTACGAAAGTAAGCCTTCGGACCGAATTTGCTCTAAAAAAATGAGGATTTATTTGGTTCATAATATCATAATAAAGGATAAAATATGAATAAAGGATCATAATAAGAAAATTTTGATAGGAAAGTAATTTTTTTTCTAAAATTGCCACACCCTGTAACTCGAAAACTAAGAGGTTTAGGACATATATTGATATAAACTTTTCTTCTTAAAATCATCCAAATATTCACATCCTGAAGTATCGGCACTCAATTAATTAACACTCTCTATATTAATTGTATTGCTTTGTTAGAGTTGGATCTCAAACACAAAGTGAGAATTCAGTTTATAAACAATGTGGGACTGGAGGAAGCGGGAATCGACGGCGGCGGTATATTCAAGGAGTTTTTGAACGAGGTTCTCAAAACTGCGTTCGATCCCAACAGAGGATTTTTCTTACTCACCGCCGATAATACGCTTTACCCAAATCCTAACGTTCATCTGATAGTAGAGAATTTTACCGATCATTATTACTTCATCGGGAGATTAGTCGGAAAAGTAAGTTGGTATTCGGTAATAATTTGAGTTGTACTTATGGAGTATTTCAGGCTATATTCGAAAATATTCTGGTGGATCTTCCATTGGCCGAGTTCTTTTTGGGGAAGTTACTCGTAGAAAGGGCACCCGCTCATTATTTGAAATCGCTGGATCCGGTTCTGTACAGAAATTTGCTGTATCTCAGAGATTACAATGGCGACATCAGTGATTTAGGACTCGATTTTACGACTGTTAATAACGACTTAGGAGAGACTAGAGTAAGTACTACTATAATTCAAAATACGAAGCTTGTTTTTATACAAATTTGTCTTTATTTTGGTTTAGGTGAAGGATCTCAAACCGAACGGTTCGAACATCCCAGTTACAAACGAAAACCGATTGGAGTACATCCAATTGTTGGCCGATCTCAAACTGAACGGGCAATTAAAAAAGCAATGTACGGCTTTTAGAGACGGTCTAAATAGCGTCGTACCCCTTGCATGGTTGAAATTGTTCAGTCACACGGAATTACAAGTCATCATTGGCGGTGATACCGAGGAGATTGATGTTGACGATCTACGCGAACACACCACATATGGAGGTAAAAAGCTAAGCTAGCATGTTAAATATATACTGATATAACCGCGATATTATAGCGGTAATATGGTAACATTGAAACTTTTTTTTCTAATTTTAGGAGAATTTGTAGCAGATCATCCGACTATTATCTTGTTCTGGAAAATTGTTAGTAGATTTACGGAAGTACAGAAAAAACAGCTGTTGAAGTTTGTAACCAGTTGCTCTAGGCCTCCTTTACTTGGTTTCAAGGTATGTATTCTCTATATAATTAAGAACTCTTTTTTTTCTTTAATTTAATTATTTATGTAATGTAAAAGGCCACTGTTGTGGCTTCTAATAAAATGTGCCTGAGCTATCAATAGAGGTACTTATGAAAAGTCCATAAATGACAGTAAAGAATTGATTTTTTTCTTAAAACTTTAACACTCTATATCTTAAAAGTTAAAACGTTTAGGACATAGGTTGATATGAAGTTTTTATCTTAAAATGGGCTCAAGAATCAACCCCTTCAGTATTAGCATGTTATTGAAAAAATCCCAGTATGTGTTATTTTGCTACAACTTTTTGAAATGTAGAAGAGTATATCTTTCAGAATACCTCTACATATACAGGGTGCATTTAAATTTGGTTACTGTGAATTTACAAGGGGAGATTTTGATAAAACACCGTCTACTGGTAATACAAAATTTCTGTGTCACTGTAACAAACCTTATAACAAAATGAGACAAATCTGCAAAAACCGTTTGTTTTTATAACTGTGCGTTTATAGTTGTTTTATATAACTATAACAGTTTATAGTTGTTTTTCTTATGATTGCCATATTTTCAGGAATTGAACCCTTCGTTTTGTATTCAATCTTCCGGGACGGAAAACAGAATGCCCACATCGAGTACCTGCTTGAATTTACTGAAAATCCCGATTATCACTGAGGAGGGAACTCTGAAAACGAAACTGCTGGCGGCGATTGAACAACAAGCGGGTTTCGAACTCTCTTAAATTATTAAACGAATTGTTAATACTACTCTTTTTTGTTGTTTATATTTTTTTTAGTTAATTTTATCGATGTGAATTGCAGTTTTATTTTATATTAAATTAAAAATGTGAATTTAATCTTTTTTCATTCGAATTTGCATTGGATGGTGCTTCTTCGTCATCTCACCTTGCAGAAATATACAGATTTTCCAAGCAGATAAGTCAATTTTATGCTATAAAAATAATACTTTGACAAGGAAATATAGATTATATCTGATGAGACTGGCACTGCATGATATGTTGTATGAGGGCCGTTTAAAATAGCTTCAGGGAACAACACGGCGGCATATTTACTTTATCTTTTATTGATGCAGTCACGGTATATTGATGGCAAAAATATATCTAAATATACTAATTTCTTCTATACAGGGCGTCCGGCATAAGAACCAAAACAGAACGGACGACTGTAAGGGAACTTAAAATATGTTGTTTATGTGTATATGAAGTTGTGTTAAACAGCATACTACTGTGACAAAAAAGTACCCAGAAATTTGGAATAAAACGCAAAATTCCTAATCTTCATTAATATTTCTTGAGTGTTTTTCAAAATATGCTCCTTTTGAAGGATACACATAGTCAGACGCCTTTTCCAATCATCGAAACAATTTTATAGGCCCTTTTTGGTACGGCATTTAGCTCGTTTTGCAAATTTTCTTTGATGGCATTTATGGAGTCAAAACGGTATCCCCGAAGGGGCAATTTGACAATTTGAGTTTCGTGACCAAAAAAAGTCGCACGAGGCTATATCTGGTGAGTAAGGCGGCTGGTCGATGGCACTAAAAATATTAAGTGCAGTTAATTTAAATCAGAGTTTCCGGGTACATTTTTGTCAGAAGTGCTTTAGACTCCCCTACATGCCCCTGCTTTGTGTCGATTCTTATGCGGGACATCCTGTAATATTCCGCGCTGATTACAAGAGATAAAAATGCCAATCAGACTTTTTTACTAATTCTAATTTATTTTTTGCACTAGGTTTCTGTGTTTTCGTTCAATTGAGGGCAAATCTTGGAGACGATCCCTTTTTTCCTTTTGGATGTAAGTTTTTTTATATAATCATTTAAATGTCTCACTGTAAAAGAGTATCCTTTTTGTTATCTTTCGTTAACACCCTATATCGTGTAGATATAGCCTCCTTGTATATTAATTTTCTTAAATATCTTTAACGTTGTAACACTTTAAAGTTGTAAGAAACTTATCATCATCTTCACTTTTCTCCCAAGTCCCAAAACGCGAATAAATTCATATAATTAGCATCGAACAAGCGTCCGCGACCGCGACTTTTATGATTTGAATTATTCATTCGGGCTCTCGCCCAACCCCTACAAATTTCGCTACCCTCGTACAACCGAGTTTGAGTTCTTTTCCTTCCCGAGACCGAACCTACACGTGTATCTATAGCAACGAGATTCCCGTCTGCCCGTGTGTCGCAGAAGGCAGGCTAGATTAGAAATCCGCGATTTAGTTGATCAGCGATTCCCGGTCATGTTGCGGCTATCCGGAACGGGAAAAAAGATCGACAGTCACTTCTCGGTTTTGCGATGAATCGCCGTCGAACGGGGACTTATCGCAGGCGAAAATGGTCGGAATACCCGATAGCAAATCGCATGGCCCCGATGTGGTGAATAATTTTAGTAACGCTAACCCCGTAATGAGTTTCAAATATAACAAATATAATAATAATGGTAAGATAATGCCTTATTAACGTGCCCGGTCGTTTGAACTTCCTATTTTTTTAACGCATATTTGCTTCATTTCATCCTTAATCGAACCACATTTTTTGGCTGTAAAAATTTGGCTTTATTATTTGAACGTATTGCCCTATTCAATACAAGTCATTGGGAAAAGGAAGTTGATGATTATAAAAACGATTAAAGTATATTTATATATTTTCCTTTCCTAATGCATGGTATTTCAAGTATTATGTTTGTTTTAAACTTCATGAACATTTATAATAATTATGTAATTTATATTTTGAGCCACTTTTGTAAATCCCCTGGCTTTCCTACTTAGGCATCTTACAATATTTTTGTAGTTTGTTTTTCGACTAAAATAAGTAACAAAAATAAAGGAACTATAGAAAGATGGAAATAATAAATCATAAATCAAATTGCAAACTTTTGTTATGGACTAGAGTAGTAGAGTGCAAAGTAAACTTTTAGATTATAGAATCAAATCAATAAGTATAGATGCTTTTAAGGTCAAGAGTTAGTGCCATTATTGGAAATAAAACTAAACTAAACGTTTGTTTTTTTATATTTGTGAACGATTTATTATTCAATATATCTCAATCTTGACAGATTTTTAAAACATAGTTTATTAAATCGTAAAGTAGATGTTACATGTAATTTCCTACAAACATTAATATTTTCCTCATCCATGTACCTATTAAGCGACTTTTGCGAATTAGATTTATAGTTTTATACTCAAGTTTAAGGTGAAATATTCCTTGAACTGGATTTTATAAGTATACAGTCGACAATTTACGGTTAAAATGAAATTAGTATAAAAGCTTCTTTAAATGAAAAGTATAGGAAAAATGAACAAAACCACCAAGAAATAAAATTAAAGTTTATTCAATTAATTTCATTATGGAAACACTATTATTATCTATATGAACACTTTTTCTATCACAATTTCTACAACACCCATCATCATTTTAAGTATTAGTTATACTTTTAATTTTATTATCGAATTTTTCTCCATTTAGTTCAAAGTGCATTTTTGCTAAATTTAAACAAAATAAATTCATAGTTACTCGATGAAACGTGAGATGAATTGGGGCAATTAAGTGTTCGCCTATGTTGGAGGATGTCGGGCTATTTATGATATCAATAAATTAAATTTTCTGTTTTAAGATGAAAAGATAACATTGCGCCTCGACGTCACTTCGGAAAATCTACAAAGACATTAGGCATGCGTCTGTGGCGCTTATTATAGGGGGCGCGTCTCTTTGTTTAAATTCTTAAGTTAAGCCCGGTTTTCCGAATTTCTTCAGTTGTGTTTTGTATTCTTTTAGCAACTGCACGTATTCAATGGATGAATTTTCGGGAGGTGAGCGATGTATATATTTTACAAGAAAATATTAATAGGATTACTTATGTAGGTACATCTTCCTTTTTTTGTTGGAACATTGGTTATAAAATGAATTTTCCTGTGAATGAAATTTTATTACCTCCCATAATCGACGAATATTTTCACCCTACATTACAAGCCGGGTTTGTTCAAAATATTTTTATCTTCCGCTTTATTAGACATCATTGGCACTCTTCGCGCGAGCTTTAAGCTTTCCTTCGGGCGAATTCCTTTTCTTCATAAATAGAAATTCTTCTCAATTTCACGTCCCGTCGGGCTTCTCGCAGCTTTTAAATGGCCTATTATTACCCGACAATCGATAAAGTAAAACGGTCGGGCATTCTAAAATAAAGTATCCTTAGAAACATCAGCATTTGCTTTCACTACTTAGTACTAACCTACACAATTCGATTTTATTTTAAACTGTGATGCTTTTGAATTCCTGCTTTCAAAATGGAATAAATCAGTCTGGAATCGAAATTGGTAGATAATCATTTAGTTACCAGTTCTATTTTTTCCATTTATTTTATACAACAGGAAATTGATTACCAGAAATAACGTTGCAATAAATAATTTGGAATAAAAAATCTGCCTCTGACTATAAAGTACCTATCTATTAAAATTGAAACGAATTTTATTAAAGTAAGTGCCTATCACTTGAAAAATATGGGCCACCAGATTATACTCCTTCAAATAGTTTATCTCATCTGAAATGCGCATTTTTGATACTAAATTAAACTATATTATTTTTTATTCTTAATAGGAGCTTTAAGTGAAGGGCGTAAATAACAATGTTTGCACTTTTATCGCTTTCCGGCACGAATTCTGCAGTAAACATCTGCATGAAGTAACATTTAGAAGTTTCAAAAATATGAGGATAATCCGCATGTAATAAAGTTATTCAATATGGGATTTAAAATTGTAGGTATTGCAAACTTTGCGGTTTAATTAAATTCTCAACTTACTTTTCTCCTTACATGAAATTTCATTCGTGCATTTGGTTTGAATGGCATAAACTTGGTGCAGTTGACAGGAAAATAAAAGAATGATAGAAATAATTTTAACATGTCTATTATATCTTTACAACTATTTACATCCTCTAGAATTCCACCGAAAACAAATTTAGTGGGAACCTCGAGTTGTCGACTTGTAAACTAAACAAGGAACGTCACAAAACAAAGTATATATTTAGCTATGTATATTTTTCACATTAATTTCTTTCTTTCAACGACTACTGCTCATGGATTCACACAAATTACATCAGCAGGATCACTTTTACTGGAAATACGTAGTTAAATTACGAAATTACATACGCGATAATTTTTAGCTTCAGTCGATCATGTTACTGCAATTTTTTATTTATAGCTTATATTTAGTAATTAAGAGATAATAAATGTATGTAGCTTGAGAGTGTATTATGCAGCCAATTAGGGATGTATTTATTGTTGGAAATATGGTCTATAACAATTGTGATTGCGTGATAACAAATCTGATTTAAAATTTTAATCGAAACGAGCAATAATGAACTAATATAAGAGCACTTTCAAGGTTCGTATGTTTATTGTATAAATTTGAAATTCTAACTTTATATCCTCTGTTTTTGTAAAACATCCTGCTATAGTACAGTGGGTTTACTTAATAGAGATTAATCATTTGCAGAATCTTTTTTTATAATCATATTATTTGTAGTTGATTGTTTTATTTAATGAAACTCTCCAATGTTTCAATATAGGTCATTATTGATTTTTTTATTAGAATCTAATATAGGTAGAAGAAAAAGTAACCATACAAAAATATGAAGAAAAATGATTTCATGTTGTGCTATTTTTATTTACATAATTATTTCAGGAAAGTTAACAGAAACACTATAATAAAACTGACAAAATAAGAATAATCTATCATTTACACCATTGTAATTTAAGTAAATTTACACTAAACCCGACCAGTTGTAAATACTATAATATAAGAATATTTATGGTTTTCATTCCAGTTCCTTTGAAAAAGACAAAATTGTTATTTTTTATTTATTATTTTTTGATCTACTCGACATAATAATGCCAAACAAAAACAAGCACAAAAATCTTAAATCAAACATTTAAAGCACTTTAATTGAATCGATTGATCATTTAATATGCGCACTGTTTGTTTTAATATTGATGTCGGGCATTCATAATACATTTCAGCAAAACAATTATAGTAATTAATAGATCTAGAATTTTTCCGATGAAACTAATTTAATTGATGTATGCAAAAATATTTTAACTTTAATTCTGACCTAAAACTCGTTTATTGAACACTCTACAACTCACAAAAGCTATTCAAAAGTCTCCGATATGTACACCATCGATTTTAGGGAATGGTTAATATAAAAGAACTTGCGAATATTCTTTGAGGACCTTTGACATTTTACAATATAGCTTTCAGGCTATTGAATTATAGAGAAAGACGGATGTATCACTGAATTTAGCTGCTGAATCAAGCAACTATAAAAGCAAATTATCCTTTCTCTATGAATGATTATGAAATGGGAATAAATATAAATTCAACAATCATATCAAAACTTACTTATTGGTGTTTATTAAAATATATCAAAATATACGAAAAATTACTAGATTTTTGAATACTTTTGACCATTATTTTATTTGCAGTTACATTCCAGCAAGTTCGCAAATACATAGATGATGACGACGACGATGAAGACATGGAGAAAGACGTTCAAAATGAGAGAATTAACGAGACTGATTTATTGTTCCTTAAAGAACTCATGGATAGTCCAATACTCAATACCTTAGTGAGGGTAAGCCAGATTCCTTTTTATTTAATAATGTCACCTATACGTCAAACACAACGGTGGGTTATCTTTCCCAAATAGATTATCTGTACGTCCTTCCGGGCCTTCTCTGGTGGAAACTCTAATGGAAGGAACGCACGGAATTATCGTTTGTTATCACTATTTCTATATATTTCGCCAGGGATCCCTTTCCAATTTTATTTTATTTACGACACGTCTGATTACGATCGTAAATTTATCATTTTATGGGATTTCTCCAGTATTTCCTACTTTATTGTTAAAGGATGCATCGAAAATGCAATTTGCTATTTATTGGTGCACTTATTTGAAATCTATTTATTTTTATCACGCACTTATTTAATAAATTGGTAGTATATTCATACTTCTAAACTCTTTACACAAAGTAGAAAAGGAAGAAGTAATTTAGGTTTTCCGCTCGATCCTCGCGTGTCCAGAACGTTCCAAAAACAGAGTGCTATATGGAGATAAGAAAACCCCTAATTTAAAGGAACGCAAGAAACTCGTTTAATTGCTTCTATGTATATGTAGGTACTTACCACGTTTCTTAAGGCAGTAGATTGATTAATGTGGCCTACAAACAATAATGCTAATTTTCTTCAAACAACAAACGCGACCATTAATATTTACACCTCTTACAATCATTTGTCTACGCTACTGATATTTTTCATTAAATGAATCAGTCCTCAAAGATCAAGTGAATTAACCCCATGAATGATAGAAGAGTAATTTGATTAAAATTAGGTTAATGTGCAAAAAATGGTGTGCTTGTAAGATCTTTATTTCTATCTTCAACTTTATTTTTATATGTGTCTTTAAAGGATTTTATTCAAGCGTTATTAAGGAATGATAATTATTTATTTCCACTATTATTATATTAAAATCAAATTTTAAGTACACTGATTAAAATAGGTAGACATTTAAGGAAAAAGTTACTAATGTATTTCACAAATTGTCTCAAGTTTACAAAACTTTTTAATGTCATTTACCTTTAAAGAGAAATAAACACTATTTCTCTGATGAGCTCATACTTGCACGTTCAATTATATGAAATTTACGTGTATAGAACAGTTGCGTACTTGAAATTCAAGTCGTATACTATTTTAAAATCATAAAAATCTTATAATTTGTTGATACTATGGTAGTAGTAGTAGTAGCAGTAGCACAATGTTAGAACAGATACTATACATATGAGTGCAAATTTGTACGCAATATGGTCTATGGGTTATGGGTACACAAAGATAACTTCCATTGGTCTCATATAAAGGAAAAAGAAAGGCTGATATTGTGGGATTGCAACTTTCTTACTAAAACCACTGGTTTTTTAATAAATGTTTCTTTGCTCAACTTATAGAACTGACCATATTGCAGACAAACCTGCACTTACCCATACATCTCAACTGTCCCCTACATTATTATGCATAGATTTTAGTCAGACAGCACACAGTCAGTGCTAGCGCATCACAAAGGTAACATAGATCAGTGCTAGCGCATCACAAAGATCACTGAGATCAGTGCTCCGTATCAAAAAGATCACATAGATCAGTGCTAGTGCATCACAAAGAGCACATAGATCAGTGCTAGCTCATCACAAAGATCACACAGATCAGTGCTGGCGTATCACAATGATCCAATAGACAAGCAATTGTCCAATACAAAAATCTCTGCTCAGTGAGACCAGACCAATCACCGAATATAGCAGGCAAAAACAAACTTCTATGGAGCCCCCCGAGCCGCCGGCACCGCCGCCAGTGCACGAGCGAGTCAAGAAGCCACCTCATCGGATTCCCTCCATTCCCCTCCCTACTCTGTCTTTACCTAACCTAACCTAGCGGGGCAACGCAACGGCTACGGCTTCGTTAGCGTTAATGGTTACGAATTTCACCGTATGTCAGAACAACCTGCGGACTCGAATCGGTTTCTTTTACACACAGTCACAAAAAGTATCGAAGAACACGGTTGTTTGTAGCGCGCAAACGGCGTCGGATTACAATCCGCCAAAAAGCGTATCGATTTTTTTTGTTAGTTAGAACCGTAACTGTGACAAAATCTGTGCCTATTGTTTACGCGTTTGTGATACTTTCTAGAAATCCGGGTGCTTGTGGACGAGTTGAACGTAAATCGAGTGTCTGGGAACTGCGATTTCAGCAAAGGACTGATTAGATTAGACAGGTAAAGTGATTATAGTTTCCGTGGTGATGGTGTTATTGATGATAAGACTTTTGGTCGTTTTCGCATTTTCCGTACCTTTTGTTTAGTTCCGTTTAAACTGTTAAATACAACTAGCTAGCCACACCTGTTACCGCAGAGGTGGGTAGGTAACAAAACAAATCATCATCGCTGGACAGTGGCGTTCTCTGTAAAATACTGTTGCTTTTAGCGCGCTGTAAATCCCCTTTTAATAAGGGCTCTTTGATTTTTGTTTATTAAAGATGCAGTTTATGAAATACCTATTATATACAGTTTGTGATTGTAACCTTGTGGAAAAGAAATTTATGATATTTGATGTTTTGATTTTTATTTACTTCAAGAAATATCCAAGTAAAGAAAACTTAGTGGAAGAAGGTTAATAAGCCTATGTGTGTAGTGCTAAACTATATTAATTGTCAAATTGGTGGGAAAGTGTCTTAAGATTGTGCATTACATTAAGAAGATAAATTTACTACCTGTGTAATGTCTATTACATTACAGTATAATGCATACAATGCCTTCAACTGTTTATTGTAATTGTACCTTTGAATCAAAATAAATCTTATTTACAGCCCATTGTGGCATAGGCTGTGTAGTACACCCAATGCAGTATTTTGTATATGTACTAATAACAAATACATACTATTAATACTTTATTCAAATATTACACTGAACAGAAATACTAATAATTCATTTTTAGAAAGTTTATTTAAATGTCTCAATAATTGTTTTTAAAAAATCCTCATTAAAACTAACTTAAAATAACTTAGGATATTTTAATTTAGAATGCAATTGGATTGCAATTAGTTGCACTGCAAGTGTCCAAATATTTGAAATTCTTTTAATGGTTTGTAATTTATATCCTTAAGAGCACATAGAGATGAAAATGGTGAAAGAAATGATGAAAAAGGAGAATATGTTGACTCATGTTACACAGTGTTTCAAAATTACTACAGTACTTCAAATGGGACCAACAGAGTCCCACAATGCAGTAACTGACAAGAAACAAGATCTAAAGATCCGAAAATGCTTCAAAGGGTTATTTCTTGGCATGCCATCTTTTCTCTTGTCACACGTTTTTCCATAGATTTCCTCTTGCTCAGGTCATTCCTGTTATTTAACTTCTTTATCTCGAAATAATAATACATTATTTTTATTATTCGACTTTACATTTCGAGTACCTATTTGTAACATTTTGCTTACGGTACTCTAAAGATTTTGTCATAAGATTTACTTTTTGCAGCAACAAAAAGTATTACACAAGTACTTAACAGTGCGTAACTGGAAGTTTTTCATCTCCTTATAAATTATTGACTATTGAAGCGCATAACACATTTATTTTTTGCATATTAAAACCAACTAATATCCGGAGATTTCACACATTGCAATTCGATCCATCTAAATTGAAAGGAATACAAGCTTGTGGTGGATGTAATTGCATTTCATTTGAGCATTTGAGCAAGAAATGCAATGAATAGTGTAACCTGTTTAAATGCGTTTGTCCTTTGGATTCCAATCGAAACAAATACTCTAAAGTAAAACGAACTGTATAATATAACTTAGTAGGTGTATTTGTACTTGATTAAAGACAACTCAACTGGATATTGCTAGGTAAATGTTTACAAAATTACGGAGTACTTTACTATTTGCATTTACATCTTTACTCCTTACATACATTAAATTATGTTACTGTATGTATCTATAATTTTTTTGGTTTAAGATTTACTGAGGTATTCAAAAAGAAAGTAAAGTTACGCAACTCATAAATGCTGTATGAGAAACTTTTTCTTTCGAATTACATCTTGTTCCATATACAATATTATACTACACATTGAAGAGTGTTCAATAATTTGCCCTTATAGAATTTTAGGGTACTCAAACTAAGAATGAATAATTTCACTTTTTAAAGAATTATAAGTTGATATTTAATTAATTTTCTAGAATTGTCAAATAAACTTTTTTTCCGCATAACCCATTGTTTCAAGTATCTACGTGCGTATAATTTTATGCATGTTCAATCAGTACATATAGCAGTGCCATAAATATGAAATTATGATTAGCGTGTCTTTTAATACGTTACCACAACAATAGCGCAATAGCGTAATTCTATAGAATACGTAAAACGTGCATTGTTATAGTGTTCAAGTTTTCTACAGAAACGGGAATAAATATTAAAAAGGCTATAGTAAGTAATAAGTAGAAAGACAATAGATAATATGCTCCCATGCCCTAGCATTTTTGAGACTAGAATTACGAAAATATTAACAGGTACATTCATCTTTAATCTACTATTTTTTGAAAGCTAAAAGGATACCTAGATATGTATGCGTCATTGGCAGTGAAATACAATTATTTAGAAAGGCTAGAAGATGTTGTAGAGCTTCTAATCCATTTCGTTTTCATTTTAGGTGTATTAGTTTATTGAAGACTATGAAGAGTGTGTGCAGCAGAAAACCATTGTTAAATTCGGCAATAAATATATTTAACGTGTACTTAAAATAACGTAGTACCATTTTTACGTAAGTTTGAAAAACTCTCATTTGAAGTGTTTTTCTCCATTAAAATTATGGTTTCTGTTTGTTGTCTAGGAAGTTTTGCTTTCTCGACCGTTTCGAATTTCTTTTATCTGCAATTGAGGTCGTCGTTTTATTTAGAACTTAAATTACTTTATTATTACATCGTTGTAATTATGATTCACGAACCTCCGAACCTAGGTTAATTATTTCATAGCCTGGAAGAGTCATTTTTGACTTACTTACTACCTATTTAGTTATATGGAGCTTAAATTTTATGACTGCTCGGACTTGTTTATTATTCTTCTAATAATTAAATAAACCATCAATCTACTTGCTTTGAAAACAGACTAAAGTTAGCTACGTTTTCTTGTCGGCGACTGTTCGTGATTTATCAAAGTTTCCCCGAGCTGTTTGTTTATTTTCCGTGTTAACATCATTGTTACAAATTCAAATGAATGCTTCGGATTTGAATTGATAGGCTATGATATCGTTGATGAAACGTTTTTCACGACGAAATTCCAATCGACTTTCACCTGTTAGGTAGTTTACCAAACGCTATGCTAATCTCGTTGCAATTTGGAAAATTCTCCAACAAAAATTATTAAGCAAATAAAGATTATTATGAGAATCAGTAGTTGTTTATGAATATTACTAATGTTCCTTCTTGTTATGAATTTAATCAGTGTCAATACTATTGGTACAAATAGGTATATTGGTGGGTGGGAATGTGGGATTCGTAAATTTATTTTAATGATTTATCGTTTAAATCAATATTGAATGTATCGTTGTAACGAAATGTATCGTTTTAAATTTTTTTGGTAATATTGAACAGAAAAATTTTGTTGACAAGGTACTCTTAAATATTCCGAAAGTTCAAATACATAAAATCGTCATTAACATAAGGCACAGGTGACTCAGTATTTATAATACACTTGACAAAAAAAAAAGATGATTTTGCATTGCTGTTATGTTAATATAGCTTTTAAATTTTGTTTAAAATCAAATATGCGCAGAATAGTTGGATTGTTCAAATTAATTTATCTACATATTTAATTGAACGATCTGCCGATGTTTATTTGAGAAAACAAATTTATGGTACAAACAAATGGTATATTTTATTAAAAGTAAAACAACTCGGATAGTTCTCGATTGTATACAATACTATTTTTTTCAAAAATGTAGTAATGCAGTTCTATTAATATGCCATAATTGAGTGCACGCATACTAGCGTAGGTGTTCTGATATATTTTTTAACGAAACACCAGCTTATAGTGTAGGAATTTATAACATTTTCCGTTCATACTCACAGAAACCAAATTCAATTTTTCCAATTTTTTCAATACCAAATAAACCCACATTTAAGAATATATCGTACTTTTACGATTGTACACGTTAAATTTATTTAATTTTGCAACTGCCCATTAAACGAGCTGTGTTTAATGGGCTTAAAATTTCGATGCATTAAAATGTCACTTAAAAGGTGATTTAAATTTTAGTTATCCGCATGTTTGATTGAATGTTTTTTTAACAACACAAAATTTAAAAAGAGAATACCTAACGATTCAATAATTTATTTTCCAAATACTGTTCTACTTTTCTACTCTATGGAAAGAAAGATTAAAAATTACCGTGTATAGAGAAGTATACAAAAGAAAAAGTGAAATTAAATAAGAAAATTGACTTATGCTGTACCTACTTTGTCTCGTGAAAGTAACAATATGAATAAATAACTCTATAAATGAGTATAATCACTTCTGTGGGTGTTCTGATGTTCTTGACATTAAGTTCTGTCTCGCTGCAAAGGAATAAAAAATTGCACATTGCATTAATTTCAATGTGTGACTTATTATTGCTCAGATTAAAGTAAATCGGTTTAAACAATATTGCAGTTTGTATCTATTAATGTTATGAACGAAAATGATTCACGAAGGAATGAATTAATAAATTACATGACTAATATCTTGTGGTATTCAATTTTCGCGTTCGTTTATGTTTGAACGTAATTTAATCTTGGTGCTTAGACAATATGCAAATTAAGATATCAACTGGTATCTGTTTAATTATGTAGTGGTGAAGGAATTACTAAAGGTGCTCAATTTATGTTAGTAATTACGTTAGAGACAATTTTCTGAAGACACGCAAATATTTAATTTAAATTTAATTCAACCCAAAAATTATTGACAAAATATTTATCTACTAAGGGTAAGTAGCGAAGCTACTGAAGTAGTAAAACATACGAGAACCAATTTGAACATTTGTTTTCGGCATGAAACCTGCATAATTTATTCGAGATCCTACGCATCCGACTTGTTCGAAAACTTAGGGAAACTCACTTTATCCGATTCGTTTGATCGATACAACATTTAGTATCGAGTTCAGTTCACTCCCTAAAACAATACCGAAATCAACTCAACAAACATCCACTATGGTTAGCGTTTTATCGCCACCAAAATCAACAATTCCTCACAATCAAACTCGTTCCAGGTTCACGAAGTTGAAGACGAAGTCCTAGACCCGCCGCAGCCCGTCACAACAGAGGCGCGAGATTGGCTGAAAGAGGTCCAGATACGTTGCAGTTTGTCTTGGAACCGGGACGCCAGGGAGCTCGGAACGCTACTCAACAGCCCTGAATTGAAACACCTGGTCGAGTGTCACGACGACATCGCCAAAGCCTACAACAATCCACCGTCGGGCAAGAGCCATTCGCCGAAATTATTTCCCAACGGCATGACGGGCGAGGAGTACAGGATGGTGGGGGTGCGGAAAAAAGCCGGAGAACCCTTAGGATTGACGGTAAGTAGCACCCTGTGATCCTGTAATCAACATCTATAGTTTACTCGATAATATCTACATGTTGCGACATCCATAGCTTTAGTGAAACGTTTATAAACGTATTGACGCAAAACAATTCTTCAGGTGCAAGTGGATGACAACGAGAATCTCATCATAGCGCGGATACTCGAAGGGGGAATGATCGAAAAGCAGGGTCTGCTGCACATCGGGGACGTTATTCTAGAAGTCAACGGCGCGCCGGTGGCGACGCCGGAGGACCTTCAAACGGAAATAGCGAAAACCAAGGATCACGTTACGCTTAAAGTGCACAGCGGAAATAACCCGAATCCAGTGACTCATTCCAATATAGTCGTCGCCAACGGAAACAACGGAATCAAAAAGAAATTAACGGTAATATAATCATTCTTTACTCGAATGGTGACTTTACTCGAATAAATGACTGAATAAATGACTAAATAAATAACTGAATAACTGACTACCTGACTGAATAATTGACTAAATAACTGACTGAACAACTGCCTGAATAACTTACTGAATAACTATGTTTCCGTAACCCGAATGATAAAGCTAGTAAAGATAATATTGATAATGATGCTATTTATTTTTCGTCAGTGTTACATGCGAGCTTTATTCGAATACGACCCGCAAGAGGACACGTTGCTACCCTGCAAGGAAATCGGTCTGCCCTTCGACAGGGGCGACATCCTGCAAATCGTCGACCAGAGAGACCCGAATTGGTGGCAGGCGAAGAAAGTGGGCGGAGACGGCACCACCGGCCTCATTCCCTCCTTGGAGCTGGAGGAGCGCAGGAAAGCGTTCGTGCCGCCCGAGGCGGACTTCGTGCACACGATAAGCATATGCGGGGCGCGCATCTCCAAGAAGAAGAAGAAAATTACGTATCAGTCGAAGAGCAATTGCGACTTCGACAAGGCGGAGCTGTTGTTGTACGAGGAGGTGACGAAGATGCCGCCGTTCAAGAGGAAGACTTTGGTGCTCATCGGGACGCAGGGCGTCGGCAGGAGGACGCTGAAGACCAGGTTGATCAACAGCGATACGGAGAAGTTCGCTGGAGTCATTCCCTGTAAGTCTTGCAGTTTTTTATTTAAATACATGTCTCGTCTTTGTGTCCACCAAGTAACATCATCCCCCATCTAACTCCAACGAATCGAACCAACCCTTTCAATGAGATCATTTTTCTAAGGAGTATCCTTTGGTGTTAGGGAAGAGAGCAACTGGAGGTTTGAGGCTCAGGATTTAACACCACCTTCTCTTCCTACTACCTCTTCATTACTTATGAGGAGGTCATGGTATCAGGTTATTCAATGTAGGATGGATTGACGTGGTCTCTATGTGTTTATTCGAACCATCTGCTTGTTTTGCAAGCCTCTTAACTTCATCGTGTACGCCACAGAAGTCAAATAACTGAAAAACTTCATTAAAATCATCACTCACGAAGAATGGGTGAAGGTTTAAAATGATCAGTTTTATAAGATTTTGGAGCGTCTTAATGGTTCTAGACAGTTCTAATTAATTCTGGAGCGTTCTAAATGATTCTGGAACGTTCTAAACGGTTCTAGACAGATCTAAATAAATCTGCAGCGTTCTAGATTGTTCTAGACAGTTTCATTCATTTGGTATTTGATTCTTCTCAGGTTTATTTATGCTTAACGTGCAAATATCTCCTATACACCCATGCAATTTCTAGTAGAGTGATATATTAATAATTCTATAAAATTCATATACATAAATGAAAATCCAACGAAACATTTTTAGTGCTCTGTAGAGAGTCGAAAGCAATTAATAATTGAAAAATTTGCGTGTTTTTTATTCCAGCAATTATTAAAATTACATCACGTTGCGAAACGGTTGGCAGACTTGGTCATGCAACGTTTGCACCTATTTAATTTTTGCCCTTAGTCGATCGATATTTTGATTGAAAATTAAACGATATTGCTGTGCATCCGCATAATCATTTTATAGCGTAACTAAAAATCGAAATAAAACGTTTGTTGCGGATGAAGGGCACGAAGAAGTCACTAAAGTAGATTGTCGTTTCCTATAAGATGATTGAATTTTCTTTCAGCAGGATAATAAGGATATTAAATTCGTTATTTAAATAGTTATTTCAGTAATTAAATGGTATTTTATAGTTCGTACTATTCTATCATAATTTTTTTGCAGATACTTCACGACCTCCGAGGGTGTTAGAAGAAGCTGGTCAAAGTTATTGGTTTGCGGACAGAGAAAAGATGGACGAAGACATCAGAAATCACAAATTTTTGGAGTATGGTGAATATAATGGCCACATATACGGAACACATTTAGATAGCATCAGAGACGTTATTAGACAGGTATTTGTTGTGGAATATTGCGTACAATTTTTGATTTATTTGGCGTATTTTTCATTTTTAGGGAAAAATGTGCATTCTAGATTGCAGTCCCATGTCGTTGAAGTTGCTTCACAATAGCTCAGAATTTCTTCCATACGTGATTTTCATCGCAGCGCCCGGCATGGAGCAACTAAAAAATCTGTACGATATTGGAAAAAGCCATTCGAATTTAAGGCATTCAAGTAGGAATCTAACGGTGAGATTTTTTGAAATTTCTTTTATTACATGTTTGATGTTTTGTATTGATTGAATGTTGAAAGTTCATAGGTAGTTAGTTATTCAGAAGAAATGTTATTGAATTATTAATCTACAACGGTGAAGAGGTGAAAAGTTCTCGGCCAGACAATGAAATTTGCCGCAATTTTCAGTTGAAAAATAATATCCTTTATTAAGCCGAAATATTTAGTTCTAGACAGTTCTAAATGATTCTAGGGCGTTCTAAATGGTTCTAAATAAAATTTCAAAAGATTTTAAATGATTTTGAAGCGTTCTAAATTGTTCTAAAGCCTCCTAAATGGTTCTAGACAGTTCTTATTTGTCTTATTTGTTCTTATTTGTCTGGAGCGTTCAAAATGACATTGGAACTTTCTAAATGATTCTGGAGCGTTATAAATGGTTCTTAAGCCTTCTAAATGCATCTATACAGTTTTTAATGATTTTGTATCGTTCCAAATGGTTCTAGATAGTTCTAATTGATTCTGGAGCGTTCTAAATAACTATGGAGCCTTTTATAAGAGGACTTTTGGAGCGGTCTAGATTGATCTGGACAGTTCTAAATGATTCAGGCCGAGAACTTTTCACCCTACCCTACTGCTTTTTTGTTTTAATTTTCCAAAAAATATAGAAATCAAACTTAAGATGTTAGTGGAGTTAAATATGTTGTTTGTCTTCAAAATTTAATTAAAAGCGTTGGAATGAATGTTTTTATTTTATCCGAAATCTGGAATGCTTTTATTTATTATTTCAATTTATTTTTCTGCATGTTAGTTTGACCGACAAAGCTCGATACGTTATAGTTCAAGAAGAGCAAGAACATTGGAGTCTTTGGCTTCGTTGTACGAGGTGAGTTCAATTAATTAATCCGTCTCATACTTAATGAATCATAAATTTATTCCTACTTAAGTTCCATTTAACGAATCTCACGTCTGTTTCTTAGGAGGAAGATCTCAAAAGGACCTTAGAAGACAGCGCCAGTATGCAGAGAACGTACGATAAATACATAGATTTAGTGATTACGAATAACGATTTCGATTCAACATTCAAGCAAATCATCGAAGCCTTAGACACGCTTACCACCGAGCACCAATGGGTTCCCGTTAACTGGATCTATTAAGATTAAGATTTAGATATGTAAATAGGTATGACCGATAGTGCTTATTACATTCGAGATAACTGCAAACAATTTATTTAATGATTCATGCGTTTTAAATCAATTTCTAATCAATTTCACTCGAGATAACGATGCAATTTATTTAGGTTATCCATTTTTCTATCGTTCGCAATTATCTCGAAAGGAAATTTTTATTGATAGATATTTTACTGCCACGATGATGAGCGAACTCGCTACTGTAAGAAATTGTAGGTACTATATCAAAAAGCCGCTTTGCTTTTGATTAGCCTTTAGATTTTCACTCTATTGATTTAAAGAAATATTAAAGAAATCGTTAAAAATTAGAAAAATACTGCACTAGTATACAGTATGTTCACAATAATTTGGCGATGAGGTCAGGATCTGAAATACCGAATGATTTGCTTTGCACCGACTGTATGCATGTTTACTCGATTGGCTATACAGGGTGTCCCGCATAAGAACCGACAGAAAGAGCACTGAGCAGGAGCATGTAGGGGAGCCCAAAAGGGGGTGCCCAACTTAACTTAATAGAAAGTTACAGGCCTTCTAAATGGAGTTACAAATAAAAAAAAGAATATCTCAGTAATACTCTAACTTAAAACAAGTTAATTTGGTATACGTTGAGTGCAACAAAAGAGCATTAATCGATAGTTAGGAGAGATCCAATGATCTACTTTAAAGTGTTCATCAGGGATGATGCCCTTTTAAAATGTTAAAAATTCTGTGTCGATTCTTAAGCGGGACACCCTGTATAGTACACAAACGAGACGTCATTTTCAGTTTAACTTGAATATTGTTTAGGAGAGTTTTAATTTTTATTTGTACGAACGTTAAACGTGTTTATCTAATTGTTGAACAATCCGAAAAAATAGTACACTTATTTCAATAAATTTAGGTATGTATGAACACAGTTTTTGTACAGAAAACCTAAAAGTTTATATCCCTATAAATTATTATTGCATTACTACTTATACATCGAAGCGGAAACGTAGATCTGCTTTAATATGTAAATAGACTATTTTTAAAATCACTCATTGTAAATGAACTTTATTCTGTTTTATGTAAGTTTCCGTACCAATTTTAAGTAAAGTGAGAATAACTTTTTAGAAAGCGGCCCGTTTGTAACCGTACTATATGAATAGCAAGTTCAATTTCTAAATATGAGAAGTTATAAATTACACAACGTATATTCTGAACATTGTTATGAACATTAGTTTTATATAGATAATATAATTTTTGTTAATTGTTTTATTAATAGAGTGCTGTTTTCGTAGGTGCATTCTGTAAAATTATTTTCTTCAGTTTGGATAATTTTACAAAATGTATGCTGAATTTTATACTTAATTTAAACCGTCCACTTTGTGTTCAGGAAACATTTAAGTTAAATCGTTTATATATTTTTTTAATTTGTGTCAAATCAGTCCTTATTTCTTTTTTCTTAGTTATTTTATTTTAATTTTAATGTTAATTATAGCGCTTAGAAGAATATATACTTTGAAAAATCAAAAAGTCTTTATTAAGCAACAGTAATACATGTTCCTGTTGGTTAAAATCACAGTTTAAAAAATTGAAGCGCGCTTTACATATGAGTAAGTATATTTTCCAACGATTTTTCTGAAAAATAAAAAAATATAAAGTTATTAGTGGTAGAAAATGCATAATAAATTCTTATATCGAACCCAATATCATGTAGGATTTTTTCTACGACTGCTGCATTTTTGATTATTTAACCCGTAAGGTAGGTAAAGGAAAAAGTTGAAATAAATATGAAAAATTATCAGCAGTCGGATAAAAGTTATTTTAACACGTTGAATGCTACAGCTCTGTAAGATTAGTTTAATTAAAGTTTGGTAAAAGTTTCCACCTCCCATATTTCCCTGCACAAATTTTTCCTGCAAAAACCCAAAACACTTCAATTTTATTTTTGAAGGGGGCTAGAAAGGTTAGAAAGGTTCCTGGCTTAAAAAAATCATAGTTTGAGATTAGATTTTTACATTAGATGCACTAGTAAAAAAAATGTGCTGGGGAAAAATTTGGGCAGGGAAATATCAAAGGTGGAAAATTTACAAAAAATCACTATGTGTCACTAATTCAGTTTATTGCTGAACCTTAAGTAATGAATTGGCTGTGTAATCTGGCACTCAATGTATTTAAAAATTTTTCTTTTTCATGCATATGAACCAATTGAAAACATTTTGAAGCAAATGTGTGGCTGATGATAAAAAACCAAGCGTCTTCAATAAAATAGCATGACAATGTTCTGCAAAGGAAAGCAGATGATACATCTAAGCACATTTTTCACATTGCTGTGATCAAAAAAGCTTTCATACCTTACTTAGTTAATTTAGTTTTAACGAGGTCGTTGGAGATCTCCGTATACATAATTCCATGTAATCAGTATTTACCAATCAAAAGTGCTATATAAAATTTTTTATTCGATAAAAATCGTATAAGAAATCGATGATATATATATGGTATATTGTTAATTATACTTTTAATTTTTATCTTATCCAAAATGTTGTTTCGACGATATTCCAAATTTTCTGGTCAATTTACTAAATAATTTACAGTTTCGTGCTCATTTTTTTCCTTTTTCTATGCCCAATTTAGCGTAATCTAAAAGCAAATAATGTAACCGAGAGCTTTTGTTCTGTCTTTGGCAATTTGCAAAAAAATATTAATTACATTGCCTTACGGTGCTTAATTATTTCTCCTTTTGGTGTCATTTGCCTTTCTTAATTAATACTTAAAAAAACTCAAAACATTGGATGTGTTAAGTGCTTAATACGTTTCAATAAAAGTGGCATTTTTTATTCTGTAAAGCCCCAGCGCGCCGGCCAAAATGTGAATAATAATAATACCAATAATCGAATTGCAATTATTAATATTGGTGAGGGCTTTTCTAGGTAAGAATATTTCCTCCTTATCTTAGCAGCCATTGGCATCTGTTATAGGTAAATTATAGGTATCTAATAAGTAATTACAAATCGATAAAACGTGAAATTTAATGAAAAAGCAACCGTGAATCTTGCCTGATTGAACTTCACACCGACAATCAACGTCGCATTGCTGACCTCTGGCCGAAAGCAACTCTTTCCACAGGCATTTCTGGATCGCTTCCCTCCAGGCTTTGGCCGTGTCCACGTTCTTCGTTTTCAACTTGTACTCGACGTTCATCTGCTTCAAATTCGGCTGCCTCATTTTGTTGTAATCTACCAGTAATATTTTATTTTTCTTTTTCGGCGCTACCATGCTCAGGTTGGTCATTTGTATGCTGCCTAGATAATAGTATAAATCCGTTTCTTCTTCCTGAAAATTTGTATAATTGTCTATTTAAACCACGATTATCTCGGCTTTTTCACGACCTCCATAGAGAGCTCGGGGTTTCACTTGATGTATGTTTATAAAGACTCTATAGCTTGTACAGGTGAAGGTGAAGACTGAGGGATTTACAGAGAGATATTTAATTAAAATATCACATCGAAGAGACAGGATGTGATATTTATTTAGATTTTAGATGCCAATTTTAAAAGTTTTTTTTTGTTTTTTTGAAATTTTCATTATAGTAGGTATGGTTGGTGCTATAATGGTTTGAATTTTTGAAAAAATGTTTGGAAGTAAGAATTAAAATAAAAGAAGAAGTAAGAATATTTTTCAACGAATCAAATGAGTAAGTAATGTAAGCACATACTGGAAATTTTTTACCCAATATTAGACCGGATTTAAGTGTTCTACATATTTTTCTGTTGAAATAAACAAAAATATCTATGCAAAATAGATACATAATAAACTGCAAAATTCATGATTTTGCATTGCAAATTTCTCAAATAATTTTCCCATGACGATAAGTTTTTTGATTATTTGTCCTTATAATATATGTCCCCACAGTAATGATATTCACTTTATACAGTTTTTTTTATTATGTTGCGACTTTTCTATAAAGAAAACAATCAAGTGGTTTTGGATGCGGTTTTAAAAACTTTCATAACATACAACTTTTGTTTACAACACTATATTTAAATTCCGAAAACTTTACGTTTATCCTTATCCGTAAACCAAACAAAGCATACGGAACAAAATAATTAGTGTACCAATACAGTAATAAATATTACAGAGAAATACAACAGGTAATAAACAAAAAAAATCGCGTTCATAAATAATTATACTCACACTTGTAAACACGATGATTCTCTCAAACATGAAAACGGTGACGCTCTCCTTCTTCACCGGCCTCTTCATCTTGAACTTGTCCCTCATGATGAGCTTCCCGTAGCCGGTGACATCGAAAGGGCATTCTTGTATCGAAACGTGCGGCGCCAAATTCTCCACCTGGAACTCCTTTTTCTCGAAATTCGTCGGTTCCGAGATCAGCTGCCCGTTCATATGGCTCCTGCGGAAGTACGAAGTGAAGGACGCGAACTTCAGCTTGTTCTTGGACTTCCTCGCGGAGGTTCTTCTCAATTCTACGTTCTCCATAAATCGGCTGTCTACGCCAGATTAGCTCGTAACATTGTGATATCCTTTGCGTGTAAAAACCGTTCCTTATCTGGCCCTCCTATCTTATCTTTATCGCGGATTTAATCGCGAATGACTAAACTTCGCAACAATACTACCAATGTCTTAGTTGTTTTAAAATCGCGAGCGACATAATGCTGGCACGCCGACATAACAATGACTGAACCGAACTTAAAATAGATGATATATTGACGCAGGAAATTATTCTACGGTCGAATCCCGTTAAAAAATAATACGCGCGACGAATTAAAACGCCGCCCGCACGCCGCAATTTCGTTTTTAATAATGAATAATTATGTTAAGTAGGTAAGTAAGCACACGCCAATTTGAGTTGTGAAACGATACTCTATTCGGATTCTATTTTCTAATCCGAGCGTTGGATGATACTCAAATTGAATTAGTGACTAGACTAGGAGGGCCGGGTCGTTGATTTATAAGTATGCAACAGCAGAGCGTCGTTAGTGTTCAATGTTCATATTGGAAACTTGGTAATTTATTGATAAAATACTGTGAAGATACAGAAGCGCAGTTGTTTGGAATTTCGTAATTCTTTTATAATCATTTAAATTGAAAATTATGATGATAAAGTCAAAATAATAATTTCAAATAAAATAAATTCAAATTTCTACTAATTAATAAGTTCTGGAGTAAATTGAGGAGATTTTATTGTAGGTACAGTATTTATAGAATCAAGAATCTATAGAACTTCCTACTTAATAATTCTTAATTTAACTTTTTAGATTACCTATGAGGATTTATTTTAAAACAATTTTTTCCCGTGAATCGCTTTAATTGTTGCAATGATTCCGGCTGCAAGTATGCCCGATTTGTATTACTAATTTATTTGCCATTACTAACATTAATTATATAATTTTTTTATCAAGAACTAATATGAATCTGTACATATGTAAGCATTTGAGTAATAATAGTGTTTATTACTATGGTTTACTCGAATGGAAGTAAGTATAAAGAAAGTTTAAATACGTCGAATAATTTACTTTATAATTGTAATTATTTACAAATCTAAATAATTTTTAATTAAATAATTTATATCACAAAATAAATATAAACAAACTATTTAACAGATATGTATAAAACATTTTTACAAATAGCCCAATTGGTTCCTACTAATTCTTCTAGTACCTACTCACAATAAAATACTGACGAACCTGCAAGAGAAAAGAAATAAAAATTAATTTTTCACCCATTCTCATATAAAATAGCTTTTAATAATTGCAAAAGTACTGATATTTTATTAAAATTAGTTCGTGAATTTATCAACGACTATATTAAAAACTACTTATAAGATTACTACTCGTACAGTAATAATAATCTCCTTATTTGCGGTAGATAAATTTATATGTGCATTGATAAAATACACCCAAAAGAGTATTTAGGTCAGATTATAAGTTTTATCAAATGATTTCTCAAAGATCATAGAAAAAATCATCCGAGAAAACTTATGTAAAGTACAAGTTAATGACAAACAGGAAGGAATGGAAATCAATAATGAACAGTAGAAAAGCAGTGAAATTAATATAATGTACAATAGTTAATAAATGAAAAGAACCTATTATGCCAATAAAATAATGAGGAATTAGTTCGAAAATTACGAATGTAGATGGTATTATATGAAGAAATACTATAATACAAGGCTTTTAGAAATGATGTTCTAAATGCTGATTAAAGGGATTCTATAGATAAATCTTGTATATTATAAAACCATCTTTTAACAATTTTGGATACTTAGCAAGTAAATCCTATTCCCTTACATGCTTTGAATCTGAAACACAAACATAAAGTCCCAGGTATCCCAAAAATTGCACTAAAAGCCCCAAAGACAAAACAAATTTTACCAAATTAATTAACAACAATACCCCTCACAACATTCCTGAATAAAAAAACTAGCTTCACAACCTTTAGAGCCTAGACTCTTAACAATCAGCTGATAATCTCAGTATTTCATTAGCGCCAAGCTCCAACAACCCGGTACAAATCCAAGCGAGTTCGGCTTATCATCCTCGAGGATTTACTCACATACGAAGAGGGTCGAATTAAAACACCCCTACCGGCGAATGACGACGACTCTCGTCTTGGCTTCACCATCGGGTATCACTAGTCTGCCATTATGCCGTCGCTGTAATACATGGGTAATCAAGCTTCTAGCTAGGTGATTGGTGAAAGTGCGAGCTCTTCCAAATAGGCAAAATGCTTTGGAAGAAGACATGAAACATGAAAATAAAACGAGCACTGTAATGATCGAACGAGCACGTGGAATTGATGTGGGGAAATGATGATGTTACTGTTAGGTGAATTCTTGATTGTTTCTCACCTGTTGATTTTATTCTGCTGCGATTCTCTTTGTACTTTTTAGGGCTGTGCACTGAACTTTCTGGAAACAATTAAATTGTTTACTTGGTGTTTAATTATGCGGAATAACAAGTGTTTGTTTTGAAAATATTTAAGCCAAATGTTGTTTTCGTTCATATCATTTCAAAAATATTGGAGGAATAATAAAGGAGTTGAAAAGTTTTGTAAAAGGTAGACAAATTGTTTAATTTTATCATGGAATATTTATTTTTGAGATTGATGAAAGTAATGACTCTTACTGGAGGTACATATAAGTAAAAAAATATACCTTTCGCTTTCACCAATTGATCCCAAAGAATTTTCTCGATTTCCTCCTTCCACGTTTTCCATATTTTTTCGTTTTTTGATTCCAGTACATAGGTATTTCGACTGTATCTGTTGGGGTTCTGCTTCTTTTTGCTCTTCGTGTAATCAGTTAAATGTATTGTATAATCGTCGAACGTGGCTACACTGAGATCTTCCATTTTGATTTTGTCGTAATAGTGAAAATTTTCAAGGTTGCGCTAGAAGTTAAACCCAAACATAATAACCGAGAAGCAACCAAAATCGAAAAATATCTACCGTATCGGTTGTGGTGAAAACAACGACATTTGTGAAGAGAAAAACCATAGTAGAATCCACTCTTTTAGGTTTAATAACATTGAATTTTTCTCTTATCACGAAAGATCCATATTCTTTTTTGCTGATTGGACTATTCTCTATGGACTCAATCGCTACTGAATCATTTCCTTTCGACATTTCTTCTTTAACTATAAATAAAGCTGCTTGAACATTATAGGTGGATAAATCTAATTTATCTAGTTGCTTCTGTATGTTCTCTAAAAACAGGATGTATTTCCCTAGCCTTTGTACAGGAGTTAGAAGATAAGCAGAAAAGTCCAGTCTTTCCTGTAGGTTTTCTTGCATTTCCTACAATCGCATCTATTAATACATTCTAATGAATATTTCATAGATTGTGTACCTTAATGATATTATTGAACTCCTTCAACAACGCATCGGCCTTGGGCTTGTTTTTAAAGTAACTGGGATACATTTCGAACAATAATTGCTACAAATATTAAAACCGATTTAAAATTACATCGAGTGGATAGTCGAAGAAACGTACGTTATCGACAAAGCAATTTGCAATTTCATCGACATCATAGCTTTTATCTAAGCGCTCTTGAAACTTCCGCTGCCGTCGGTAGATTTTTTCAATATTTCCAAAGAGATATCCTTGATGAATTTTTAGCATTTGCGGTGTATGTATATCTATGTACGGTTTAAACACCTGAAATCGTTAATTTTAGTAAGAATTTTTTTAAAGTTCTGACATCTACGGATATCTACTATTTATTTAATGAATAAGAGATAAAACTTGATTGTGTTCCTTTGTACTCAAATAATACTTTATATAAAAATCAGAGGATGTTAAATTGATAAAGTATGATGGGTTAGAATGGTAGGTATCTCAGTTGTCCTTACTTTAATAACTTTCTCTAAATCGTCGACATATTTCCTTTCCGTAGATTTCAATTCAGCTACTATATATTCTAATCTGGAAATAATCAACGCTTAAGAAATTGCTATCATATTTAGAAGGATCGTATTAGACTTACGTCTTAGTAGAAGCGGCTGAGTTATTCCTGCTGATCGGCGAGGAGATGGTAGGATAACAAGCTACTCGTTCAATACGAATGACGCCATTGTCGTCGCAGAAGGTTTCCCTTCTAACGCTGGAATACACCTCTTCTTTGTTTCTGTAAACGTCGATTCCTTCATCGTCTTCGTCCTGTTGGGAACTTTCATGGGAGGTAGTCGAATAAAAGGTTGATCTGTTGAATGGATTTTCGAATTGGACTATGCTTTCCTGCGATGATTTATCTGCATCTGCGTGGAGGTCTTGTTTGCTGCTGGTCGGATTATTGGGTGTTATTTCTTGGCTGCTTCTCCCACTAGTTTGTTCGTCTTGGATGACATCGAACGATTCGTCTTCTTTTTGATGAAGGATCATTTCCGATTCCTTCAAGATCGTTTTGATGGTTTGTTTGTCGCTTAAACTAACAGTCCTTCTGTCGATCATGACTTGAACATCCACTAATTCTTCATCTTCTCTATTGTAAGCCTCGACGTAATGAAGCCCGTTTTCGATATCCAGAGAGTCACTAAAGGCGTCTTGAAACCTAAAATCGTTTGTAAATTAGACGTTGTTTGCGTAATGACCGCCGAACGGATGACAACTACGTTGTTAATATTTACATATTTTCCATTTTTTATCTATATTTCAATTCCTGTGCGCTTATCGCGTTACTAGTTGTGTTTTAAAAAATTATATTATGAGCTTATGTGTATACCACCTAACATTAACGCAACACATAGCAAAATGAGTTTTTACATTTACTTTTCGAAACCATTTCGCGTGTGCCTTAGCGAACTTATCACTTCCGTAATAACTTCTGAATATTCTCGCAATTTTATCGCAAAAATTCATTACTCAAAGTATTACAATTCGACGGCTCGGGATTTTTATTTTTGCCATTCTTATAAAAAATTCAGTGTTACAATTACAAATATTACAAAAAAAATTAAGTTCTGTATGATTCTCTAGGAAAATATTAAATATTTGTCGATATAATTAAATTACTCGAAGCTTCAATCCTGAATAAGTGGAATATTTTGTTTATGCCCATCATACACGCAAGTATTATGTGTCAGTTTCTTTATGTAACTAGGCAATGTAAATTAATGCTTTATTGGTAAATTGTTTTAATGACTTCATTGACTATGGTAGATCTATTTGTGTTTTACTCCCTACCTATTGGTCTTATTTCCTTTTATGCTCTTATTTGTTATTTCCTAATATATTATTTCCCTGAACACTGTTTTTTGAAATGAAATAATACAACACAAAATATTGATAATCCTTCAGTTTCTTCAGTCCTATTAATTCTTGTCAAGTACTGTCAATCTCAGCTGTAAAATTTCGTTCAAATGAAGATGCTTTAATTCTCCCTAAATAATCATACCTAAAAAATGCTATTATTTAATCTTATATTGACACTGAAAATCCTATCAGTAGAATTCTCAACTGATACCACCTATATTATTAACTAATATTAATTATACTTAGATGTGTACCTACTCAAGGAAAGCAATTAAGTATTATTCACAGTAGTACTGCACTTATTTTTGTTAGATATAAATAGCTGTGATAAATGCTGTAAATACTACCTACTTGCTATTTAGAATAGCCATGTCTTCATCTGTTACAAGTGTATCCTGCTCGATTGCTCCATATTTTTGTTCTTCTAAAGCTGCTGCTGATTCACTAGCATTATGTTTTTTACCACTGTTATTTTTATGTTCTCCATTAGTGAAGAATACATCATCATCTTCTTTATCTACAATGCTGTTATTCTTCATGGTGGATAAATAATTGGATAATAAAGATTCTTCTGCATCGATTTCAGTTAATGCGTTTCCTTCTTCGTCGAGAAAACCATCCGCTTTCATTTGGGCTAACTCAAGGTCCATTTCATTGATGACGCTTTTCCTGTATTCTTCAGTCTCCTGTTTGTTTTCGGCTTCGATGAAACTCCGTATCTTCCTTTCTACGGCGTTGAAGTTACGCTTCTTGATTTCGGTGTTCTTATGCAGGTTTTTGAGGATCGCAAGCTCTTCATCTCTCTTCTCAAGCGCTTTTTTAACTATATCATTAACCGCGTCACCCAAATTCGGATTCGTTTGATCGACGCACGGCGGAGACGTTTCACCGTTTTCGAAGCGATTGATGATTTCATGGACGTGACTTTCACTGTTAAATTTTCGCTGGTTGTCTCTCTTGTACTTACTCCTATTGGCAGTTCTACGGTGGGTAGTATTTCGAGCGAATAATCTGCGTCTACTTAACAACTCATCTTCGTCGTTTTTCGATTTCATTCTAGGTAATGTAACTGCACTGTCGCCGTTCGAAGCTGGAGGTTTCGCTGGCCTTTTGATCTCGAACAGGCTTTTGAACGAATGGAATTTACCGTGCTTTTTGGGCTCGCTTCGCGAATTCATTTTCAAGACATTTATCCGAAATAGGGATCTACTGTATTCAGACACGTTATTATCTTATCTTATCAAAGGCTTTCCATATTGATATTCGCGGTTCTTATCTTTGTTTTTCAATTGAGTGATGAAACCGCTGTTGGCGTTATTGTTTTCGCAACGTACCGAAAGGAGATAACCGATGAATTTGGAAAACTAGGTACTGCTATTTCCATTATTTTATTTCACGACGAATTTAAACTATCTGATAATTGCACAATAAACTGTAGGTTATTGTTTTAATTTATTTTTTAATTTGAAATATTGAAATATTACCTTAGACCTTCTAACTATGAACGCGGTGTAGACAAAGAGGTAGTGTTGTCGATGAATGAGAGAGATGCAGCTAGTTTGGGTATATAGCAATGAGAGATTGGAAAATGCAAAAGACCACGTGAGTAACTAAAGATCAAAGATTTGCTCCCAAATTAATCAAAAAATCGATCATTTGATACGAACCACTTTTGAAGCAATTCAAAAGCAAAGTTCTGCACGGTTGGTATCAGCAGAGCGGAGCTTCTTCGCAACGCGTCGAAATGAGATAACCGATGGATTTAGAAAACTAGCTACTGATGGCTATGTAAAGTGGATTTTGAGAGGAGCTTAAACTATCTTTATACAGGGTGTTAATTAATTGAGTGCCGATACTTCAGGATGTGAATATTTAGATGACTTTAAGAAGAAAAGTTTCTATCAATACAGATTGCATCATTTTTCATTGCAACATAGGCTGTGGGTGCAACAAAGACAATTTCAATTAGACACTTATAAAGGAAAAAGAAAAAGTGATATTATGTCATTGCAACTTTTCACTCTGACAACTGTTATTTTAATAATCTTTCTTTGTTCAACTCATAGAAACGCCCATGTTGCAATCGCGAATGAAGCACGGTGTATATGTCCTAAAGCTCTTAGTTTTGGAGCTATATTTTTATTTACAAAAAAAATAACTTTTCTATCATAATTTTCTTATTACTCCAGATATTTTTTGAAATTTATTTCAAATATAAAAATATTACAGGCACCAAATTATAAAACGTTTAGCAAAAAAGGCTAACAATGTGCTAATAATAGAATTGCTGAAATTGTTAACGAAAATTCTTATTGAATAAGAAAAAAGGAAAATGGATTTTAATGGACTTGGAATTTAGCGATATTGATTTCTCTCTCGATGCTGAAATCAGCCTTTGCATCATATCTTCATATTCCAATTATTTCATTTTTTTTAGTTATTTCTACAGAAGAGGTTTAAAAAAATAATTGTATAAAAATGTTTTATTTTTAAAATCTAAAATACTTACTAAATAAGTAACAAAATTATCGTAAACCGAAAATACAATGATAAATGATGAAAACAACGAATACAGTAGATATTACATTTAGCGCACACAATTAAAAAATACAATATTGAGCTAATGTTAGAAATTGAGCTGTTATTATACTCACAATTTATTAGTTACCGATTAATAATTTGCTATTTCAAGCAATTATTTAGGAATCAGTTTTTCTATTACCATTTTACATTGATAGTTTAGGAAGAAACTAAATATCACAAATTAAATTGAATATTTTTTGAATAATAAATAACATTTTAAATATCTAATTTTTTGTTAAGATAATTTCCGTACTCGTTTGTTACTAGTTAGTAAAAAAAATCTTCAATTCCCGTCATTTTCAACATTAATTTTGTTATTAAAGTAATTAATTACTACAACGACGAAAGGGAATGACTACATGTTTAGTTCAAATTAATATTCAACTTTTAAATAACATTATTAAAGTTCACTCAATAATTACATATTCACATACTAACAAAATAAGTAACCTATATACTAAGCAATATCACAATGAAGTTTGAAATGTTGGCTATACAGTTAAACAAAGTTTACTGCATCTACGATTTTCATCAGAAAATATTTTGTAATGTTCCATAAAAGTTCTACTCCTAGCCAACACAATGAAATATTTTTATTAATGCGTTTAACGATATAAAAACTATTATATCTTAGTAACAAAATTAATTAGAGAATAGAATTAAAAATCTTCGAACAACTTCAACTCAGATTCCTCCAGTGTCCTCGACGACTTCCAATCTGCCTCGGGGTAATCGTCGAAATTGCTGGAATCTCCATCGTAACTTATCCTTGGGATTATTGGCGGCTGCAAAAAGAAAAAGCTCAGTATAAATAAACATTATTGCATCCAATAATTGCATCTCAATCAGAAGGAATTAGTAGAAATGCGGAAGATGAATAGGCAGAGAAAATTAAATTTAATAACGTTCTAATGTGTGAAATTATTATGATAATAAATGAATTTAGTAGACCATGCTACTGTTCTTAGTTCATATGAAGTTGGAATATGGAGTTTTTGCTCTAAGCAACTTTAGACTTACTTGGAGCTTTCGTAAAAGGACATCTCCCCAATCGATCCCTTTGAACCATCTGTGTCTTTTAATATCATCGGCGCCACACTGAAACATATTTTTTTAGTTAAATGAATCCAATAATTACATAAATCTGCTCTAAACAGTCACTATTCATTCGAACTAATATCTAAAATCAACACTCACTTTCATATTGCCTAATCTTTTCGTCCTGTCTTGCACTAAAAGCTTTTTGATTAAATCTTTGGCTATGTTGTCTATATGTCGAGGCCATTCGATTTTACCTCCTAGAATTTTTTCGTATATACCAAAAGGATTATCGTCGTAGAAAGGAGGATAGCCGACCAACATTTCATATATTAAAACACCTAAAATATAAAAGAGTTTAATTTAGAACGAGTGATATTGGTGGAAAATTATGGAGCTGATAATAATAAAGAATATACAAACCTAAAGCCCACCAATCCACTGCTTTGTTGTGACCTTTGCTCTGTATAATCTCCGGTGCTAAATACTCTGGGGTGCCGCAGAGCGTCCACGTCCTATCAGTGAGCTTTTTGGCGAATCCGAAATCGGTGATTTTCAAGTGTCCTTCCCGGTCGAGAAGCAAATTTTCCGGCTTGAGGTCCCTGTATACGATGCTTTTAGCGTGCAAATACTCCAGCGCAGAGACTATTTCGGACGTGTAGAAATTCGCCGTGGAATTCGCGAATCTACCGGCGTTCCTCAAATACGAGAACAGTTCGCCACCGCAAACGTACTCGAACAGCATGTAGATGCAAATGTCGTCCCTGTCGCACCATAATCTGCGGAAAATGCAAGCGTTAAGACGAAATACAATAAATTAGCTCATTTTATTTGATAAGTTATAGGCCCCGCCAAAATATCCCGAGACAAATTGGCCCAAAGACAAAATTGCCCGAGATAGAACAGCCTCGACAAAATAGCCCAAAAACAAAATAGCTTGGGGAAAGAAACATACCACAGTACAAGAATTATCACAAGTAACGAATTTGTCGAGTTATTTTTAGGACAATCAGTCGTTATTTTATCGGACATCAGGATTAAAATTAAACGGATTATATGTATATTACACACATAAAATGAAATAGAACTGAATGAAAAAAAATGTCTTAGAAACTCTGAAAATATAATTAATAATTTTACTGGAACTGCTTTGTCTCAGGCTAAGTTGTGTTTGAGTTATTTGGTCTTGGGCGATTTTTTCTTGAACTGTTTGTCTTGGGAGATTTTTGTCTTTGGGCTACTTTGTATTGGGTAATTTTGTTTCTTGTAGAAAATATTTCAATAATTTTTAGTCACCCGGTATAAATTTTGTAAAGCGGCTTTTGTACTGTGCATCAGTGTACTTATTCAATATATGTCAAGATAGGAGCGTTATACAGGAAAGTTGATGCTCGAAACGGGTATTTCATTCCACGGTTCGCATTTACAATAGTAATATCCATTTGAAGCTCTTGACGGGTTTAATTTCAGAATCCATGCCTGTTTGCATTTTGGATGAATATTAAAGGCTTTCCTCGAAATACTTATTGAATTATTTAGGTTCTGTTTATTTAGGTATTGTTTACAACATATCCGTATTAATTTATGATTTTCAAACTCATTTCATACAATGAATTTATTTAGATTGGCGAATTATCTTATTTTCGGTTTTTTCTTTAGATGTTTGTTGTATAAACAACGGTATAAATAACTGTTTTTTACCGCATTTTAATTATTAATTTATGCACAATATAACAACCAATGCTTATTCATTTTTAACGTTTCCATTGAACTCGCTTATTTTAAAAAATAATTTATTTTCTTACAAGTTTGTAAATTGAAATTAAATTTTCGTTTAACTTTACTTAGCGTTGAAACCGATATGAATAAGTTCTTTTGATACCTATCAAATCAAAATTCTCTTCTTCATTGAACTACAGGGTGTCCCAATAGTGCGGTAAAGCCCATTTACTCAGTTATTATAATAGATACGAAAAAATGATAAATAGGAAAAATGTTAAGCACCTTTAGGCGCACAATTTAAAATTATTTCGAAATATACAGGGTGGCCCATAAATCGATGCCATACCAAACATACCTTTTTTTAAAGGCAATGATATATTTTTTATATCATATTCAATTTCAGCTCGTTTTCACGAGTTTCTCAATATAAGATTTCATATGACTATACTGAGTATTTAAAAAGTTATGGCCATTTTTATGTTCAAATCGACATGATTTCAAGGCCCTGTATATCAGAATCTGTATCAGATAATGTGAATTTTTCTGTGTCAGCACTTTTTGAAAATGGTCTATTTTCACAAAAAATAGTTACATTCTGACAAAATTACAATTTGTATACAGGGTGAGTCAAAACGCAAACATAATATTTACTCGCTTAATTTAAATGGAACACCCTATATTAATAATATCCAATGGGAAGTCTATTTCTTACTGAATCTTTTTTCATAACATTTCCCTATACCTAACTGTCACCGTTTCTGAGATATTTTCAGTTTTATTAAAAAATGTCCAGTTTTTGATGTTATAATTTCATTTTGATCTAATTACCAATGATGGTGTCGACCTTTTTTGCAAAATAATAGTAGAAAATGTAATATCAAATAATTAACGATCATTAACTACCCGAAATATTTGGTAATTTTTAAATTAAACTTTAAATTATTATAATTTTAATTTAATCTAGTTACCTCTATGACGTCATCATCTACGAACTATGCGAACTTTACTTATTGAACTCGTGTCACTGTAAATTATAAAATAACTAAAAATTTAGGGTACCTGCTAATGATATTTGATTAATCATTAATCGATATTTAATTTTCTACTATTATTTTGCAAAAAAGGTCGACACCATCATTGGTAATTAGATCAAAATGAAATTATAACATCAAAAACTGGACATTTTTTAATAAAACTGAAAATATCTCAGAAACGGTGACAGTTAGGTATAGGGAAATGTTATGAAAAAAGATTCAGTAAGAAATAGACTTCCCATTGGATATTATTAATATAGGGTGTTCCATTTAAATTAAGCGAGTAAATATTATGTTTGCGTTTTGACTCACCCTGTATACAAATTGTAATTTTGTCAGAATGTAACTATTTTTTGTGAAAATAGACCATTTTCAAAAAGTGCTGACACAGAAAAATTCACATTATCTGATACAGATTCTGATATACAGGGCCTTGAAATCATGTCGATTTGAACATAAAAATGGCCATAACTTTTTAAATACTCAGTATAGTCATATGAAATCTTATATTGAGAAACTCGTGAAAACGAGCTGAAATTGAATATGATATAAAAAATATATCATTGCCTTTAAAAAAAGGTATGTTTGGTATGGCATCGATTTATGGGCCACCCTGTATATTTCGAAATAATTTTAAATTGTGCGCCTAAAGGTGCTTAACATTTTTCCTATTTATCATTTTTTTCGTATCTATTATAATAACTGAGTAAATGGGCTTTACCGCACTATTGGGACACCCTGTATATTAAAACTAATAAACTAGTTAACATTTGAATGAAACTATTTCGAGCCCTATTTTGTATAATTAGCAAAAATACATAAACTGAACGAAAGGCCACCGGCATGATTATTCATCTTTCATTTGATGTGAATTAAATGGTAAACAAACCATTCTGCCGGCTGATGTTTGGGTAAGGTCAAAGAATCCCTGCGAGTACGACCGTAACTTTCATTTCATCTGGTTTATCTTCGGTTATTGGCTTCTTTCTATCGCCTAAAGATTTTTGGGCTCGTCACTTTCTCGGTAACCGTCGAAGACCAAGCAGGCCGCAGACGACGAAAAAAGAAAAAGAAAGTATTTCGGCATAGAGGTTTCTTGCACTTACACCGGTGTTTTGAGTTTCGATTTCCACTCGATAATAATTTGCTTCCAATAAACATTAATATGCATTTAGGTGGGTTTTTTTTGGGAATCGTGAATCATTTTTAAGACTATTGACCTTGTCAAAAATCCTAACCCAGACAAATTGTTTTTAAGGATATTTTGGTTTGAACCAAAATGGTACTTAGTTATTCATGAATAATTTTGTTACTATAATTACGCTAATAGCTTCATTCGGACGTTGCCCTGGGCATTTGAACTTACAATTAGATGCTAATGATTGTAAATTGGTACTGCCATAAAGTTTAGAAGTACTCCTATGAAGAAAGTATAGTAAAACATGCATAAATAGATTTATTTAGTTGAAATGTTGTTTTTTTGTGTTTTTTTGAGAAAGTTTATGTATAACTTACGTAAAGTAATCGTTATTAATTTTTGATTCCTGTGCCTTATTTGAAAATCTAGTAGAAATGTCACAATTACCTATATAGTTTTTCATATCTCAATTTCACAAGTTTTATTTCAGTTTAGTTTAGTTTAATTTCACAAGTTTTAAATCTTTTTGGAAATGTCTAATCACTAAGATTATTAGCAGGAAACATTAAGTACATTAATACTTTAAACATAATTAAAGGATCAATTAATCAATCAAAAAATGCACAGCTTAAATCCCTACTAAAGTTAGATTAAGATTGATTTCTCGTTCACTTGATTACCTCGTGTACAATTTGCCTTTGTGTTGCCTTAACATTTGTTTCAACTATCTCAAAGTACACACTTAACACAAATATCATTTTAATTCTGTTTGAAAAATGAATTACTAAAGATAAGAAATCTTTTATCGTAATTTATAATACTCACAAATTTACTACAAATGGATGTCGAATTTCCTGCAAAATGTTTTTCTCGTTTTTGACGTGTTCTACTTGTTTCAGTCTTATAATATCGGCTAGACACAGGACTTTCATGGCGCCATACTCATCGGTGTCCTTATTTTTACATAAAAGTACTCTCCCAAAAGTTCCTGTACCTGTAAAAAAAGGATACTTAATAATTACTAGATACAAAGATACGGTTTTTGCAAGGTGCACACTATATTTCGTACAAGTCGTCTCGAATTTCACCTATTTAAAATTTTATCAATATCATCTCTATCATCTTATCGCGGTAAATCATTTTTCGTGTAGGTATAAGTTTTTAAAATAAAAACTTATATTTAGAAAATGCTGGAGCGCCAAGTGTTGTGCGAATCAGACAGCTTGGCTGAAGTTTCATTGTAACATAATTTTTATTTCTGGATTAAATCGGTTTCGTAATCGGCGATTTCGGAATTGCCGGCTCGAATTTAGCCGTGAATTGCACCGAACGGGATTTTAATAAACAGCGAATTATTATTACAAAACCGCCTGGGCAGTATCAATGCGAGTGATGTTGAATAATGTTTAATATACATTAGATGTGGAGCAAGGAATCGATTTGGTTTTTAAGGCGAATGTAGGAAGGAACAAGTCAACGTTCTCGTATATATTTTCAAAGTTTTTAGCAACTGGAGCAAATGAATCGGGGCATTTATGTCTATGAATGTAAATAGGATATTCTAAAATAATTCGATATGTATATGAATTCGTATATGTATATTCACGCTACGCACTAAAATTGATTGATTTAGTTACAAACGATGAGTATTTATAAGTACATGTTTGTCGATATAACCATATGGTACAAAATAATAACATTATAGTCTAACAAGTGCTTACAGGCAATAAACAAGGATATTGTTTAATTGAAATGCGAATTTGCTGTTGTACGTTGAACTATAGTAATCGTAGTAATTTTTGCCTAACAAATCACACGTAATATTTGTTGATAATGTGCAAAATAAGATTTGTTTATTTTATTTACACATCTAATTTTTAATGAAACTGATAATAACTGTTTAACTATCTATCATGTATTTAAACCCCGAAATTTGAAAATATTTTCACTTATTTATCACATTGTTGGAATTAGTACATGTGCAAGATTTTAAAAATATAAATTATAGTGTACAATTTAAAAAAAAAGAACATAATTTTAATAATAACAGAACGGTAATAATTATTGTATTGTTGCTAATTGAATATCCACAAATCTTTGCCAAGTTTTTAGAATTTAACTCAAATAACTAGGGGATTTTAATATAAAAAACTATGCGTATGAATTTAAAATCTGCATAATGTTATAACATAATCAATAACTTGTGTTAGACGATTATGTTTCAACGATTTATTTTTGTTTATGAGCATTTGATTAATGTTTTTTTCATTTAGGTTCATAAACTTTAATATCATACACACTCTTTTAATTATGCGATGTATTAAGCTGTATTATACAATTTATTCAGAAATAATTAAGGTAGGTATAAATATCATTATTTACTTCTGGTTATAAAATTCTATTAAAAATTATCACCTGCGAATAAATTTAATTAAACTAAACGAGTAATTTTACTTGCAAATATTCTACCTAATGGACTAATAATTTCTTTAAAAGTTTTTCATGTGTGAATTTATATGTTAATTTAATAAAGTTATTTAATTATTACCATGCAGACAAAAAAATATATGAAATAATACAGGATGTCGCAAAAAGGTTGGGATAGAAACGGAGGCAGACAATATGAAAAATGCTTGATATGCGAGTAATCAATTAAGTTTTTTATAAAATTTATTAACTTTTTTTCTTTAAAACAAATCACAATAATTTAGGTAGGTAACAGTTTTGTACTTGATGCAACTACATAAGTGCATTTAACAGTGTCCAACCGTAAATCACGCTTCATCAAGCAAATGTCATCTACATATCGCGCGATCGTGAAAACAGGAAAAATTGGCAATTATTTACAGATGCATAACCCTTGTTACAAAGTTGCTGGATGCATTCGGTCGCATCAGAAATTTTTGCAAGTATATATTGGATTTTCACATCCATGCTCTCAATCGCATCCAAGTATACCTGCATCCGCTTTGATTTTTTTCAAACCCTTTTAGACGAATTTGCTGTTCTATTGAGAAGCTTTGTAAAAGCTTTATAAAGGTTTGATTCAAGTCGACGAATATTGTTATTTTCCCACGGGATTTTTTTTTTATTTTAGAGGTAAAAAAGTTTTATATGTAACCTACGCACAACGAAAGTCAATGAAAAGTGTTTTTTTTTTCGTAAACCGAACCTATTTTAAAACAACCACAAACCACTAGTGTTTCGCTCAATTTAGAACAAAACCCGACCTTGATTGGGATTGATGTTTGCGACCGTTTCGCTTTTCCACAACAAATTGCAATTTTATAAAACACTGACGTAGGTGAAACGTAACGTTCCCGTACAAACGCCATTAGTGATAATAGCACGTATTCTGCCATTTGCTGGAAATTAATCGCCTGCTAAAAATAATTATTATACACTTTATTTTTCAATTTGTTGCCAAAAAGACCAGATTCAACGACCAAATGCAAGGATGCTTTATCGACGTATCGTAGTTAAGCGTTCGAAACTTTTAATTTATTACGTTGAATCGGTTATTTAAAGGTCATCATTGTAGATATATTTTTCCATTTTATAAGTCAACGGTAATATTTCAAAAATGTAATGTACACGCACCTATAATTAGATTGAAACTTTTATTCAAGGCAATTTTGATAGCTTTACCTATGGCCGGTTATTTTTAGACTGCAATGTCAATGTCAAAATCGTAGGGAAAATAATGAATTTATAAATTGGCTGTCTGTAAAATTACGGGAATTTTCAATACAGAAATATGTAAAATTTCATTTCATGTTGTGAAATTCTGATAGTTTAACATAGTATGTTTTTGACGTGTGCAATGATAAGTTATCAGATAATGCCTTTGACAAATTTTACGACAGCATTCTGTAAACGAAGTAAAAAAAAATTGTTCTAGTTCCACATTCCACAATATTTTAATTGCTATTTTGTAATTCGTTAAAAGTTTTTTTAAATAAACCGGGCCTGTTAATCGGTTCATAAAAGAGGTTGTAAAAATAATGAAAAAGATTAAAAACTTCCTTGAAATTACACTCATAAATATTATTAGTTACTTTTATTTTGAAAGATGATAATTCATGCTAGGTAGATCATAAATTTAATTATTTGATTTTTTAATTACTTGAATTAATAAATAAAGTATGTTGATTCAGCTAATGTGAGTGAAAGATAAAAAAAAGTATTTTGAAAAAAAATTCTTTTTTCTTTTAGGACTTACAATTTAATGTACTTTTAATTTAACTTCAAACTGAAAGCATTTGTTAAAACTATTATTAACTAATTATACAAGTAGGTAAACTATAGAAATTTCAATTATGAAGAAATTTTGTTATGATTCCTTAAAAAACTTTTAATTAAAAATGTTTTTGTTTTCGTTTCCACTTCGTAAGTAATTCGAACTTCCTATGCAGACGACCATCATAAATCTTAAATTCACTTAACGATCGAAACTCTTTTACCAAAAATAAATGCGTAATCTAAATCTTGCTAATTTTGCGAAAATTACCGCTGGCAAGTTACAGCGGCAATAAAACTAAAATAATGTTGTTTGTCCTAGATTTTAAGGTATCTGCCGAAAATACCCGATCTAGTATTTAATTTTTTTGAAGATATAAATAAAACCATTCACACGTTTGTATCATTCTGCGTTTCCTTTATTCGATATTAAACGGTTATACAAACTCGGAATTCCTTGGTCATATAATGAAATGCATTTTAGTAGAAACAAAACCATTGTTAAGTATGTATGTACATAGGTACAAATTTCATTAAATATTAGCATAATAGTATGATACAGATATATTTTTAACTCCAACAGTCTAGACACATTTTTAACAAATTATTCGCATAATAAAGAAATGATTGTTCTATACATATAGATATGTAATAAATAACAAACTTTTATCTTTTGGCAACTCTATGATCTCCTTTTATTTTAGGTAACTATAATACTACATTACATTTACTAAAATTAATTAATAATTAAAAAATATTTTGGCGCAATTTTGTATTAATTAAAAATAATTTAAGAACTAACACTTATGCTATTTATAAATGGTAGGTTAAACCCTGACCTTAGCATTAACATAAAAAATATTTATGTGATATTCCGTATAAACACAGCAATAATTGCATGAAAAAGGTTTAAATAATATAGTATAAGATGTCAAATTACAACTATTAACATCGAGCAAACTTTCAGCAGGGAACCAATTTGCGTCGTATAAATCATACTTTTTTATGACATGAGAAATTCGCTGGGATAACTAAGCAATACAATTCACTTTTTAGCGATTAGATCGCTAATCTGCTCTTAGTTTTGATAGAATATAATGCTACCGACCTTGTTCAACTTTCAATTCAGCAGGAACGGAACTCCATTCACTTTGATGTCTAGTGCAAATATTGTTGGTTAATTATTTACTCAAATGGGTGTTCTTTCGACTCTTGGGTTTCGCCCGATTTTTGTTGACTTTCTCCCAACTTTTGATCGTTCACCGACTTTTATGAATTTTTTTCGTTTGTTCCAACTCTGCTATTGATATTGTCTCAACTTTTTTTAATTTTTTTGTTGAGTTAGAGAGGATTTTAACTTTTGAATAAGGAATTTACAATTTTTTATGTTTACCTCAATTTTTTTCACAATCGTTAATTTTTTGTTTTATTTATATTTGCAATGTTTGTTGATTTTCTAACGAGTCATTATGATAAAACATTGATAAGAGAATCATTACTTAGAGTCACCCCGTATATTTTTCATTGCTAAATAAACTTTAAATATATAAGATAAACTTTAATTTCTAAATGCACCAAGCTCAATTTAAGATTAAAAAAAACATCAAAATAACAAATCATATTAAATATGATTTGTCATTAAATATAAAATAAATTTTATTTCATTCATTATTTTCTTATTTTACGATCATAAAAATCTCCTAAAAACATTCATCCTTGTACAAAGCGAGAACAAAAAATACAGAATATAAATTTCCAAATTAAAAGAAAGTTTCGTCCAACATTACTTATACTACTTTATGTATAGAAATTAAATGACTGGTAATTGCTAAACATCGGATAAGCATCAATCTTCTTTTTGTACATTGCTTAATTGCCCGGTTTGTAGAGTGACAAAACGCCCGTTTACAGTAGTGAACGTTTAATTAATTTTCGTATACAGACACGCTCAAACGAACACGTGGATACGATACCTGCCAGATTGTATTATAATTGACGAATAGCGCGTTTGAAAACTCACCGTATTGCTTCCCTTAAGGAAAACGCTCCTAAGGGAGACAACAGGCGGAGATGTCGTAATTAACGCGAATTTTCCCCGGATTTATCTTTAAAGGTCGATGCTACTACGCTCATTGCGATTTACTGCAAGGGTCTTGACCCTTTTTAATTAGTCGTCTCGATTTTATTAAAAGTTGTATTTTCCAAACAATAGGAAGAATCGTGAGCAATTGGAAATCAAACGAAGGGGACCTGCGTTATAGATGAAAAATTTTTATAGATACACCTTGCTCCATTTCCGATTGCAACATGGTCATTTCTATGAGTGGAACAAAGAAAGATTATTAAAATGACAGTTGTCAGAGTGAAAAGTTGCAATGACACAAATGTCACTCTTTCCTTTTCCTTTATAAGTGTCTAATGGAAGTTGTATTTATCACACCCACGACCTATAAAACCTATGTTGCCATCAAAAATGGAGCAACCTGTATGTATATACAAGGTGAGTCAACAGAGCTTATACTTTAGCAATCTGCAATTATTTTCCTTTATTTATTTATTTATTTATTTTTAGTTTACTTTATTTTTGAGGGACATATTATCTACTTTTTTTTTCAATTTGAATGGACTGCAATATTAAACTAATGATTTATAACTAATCAATGTATGCCAAAGGAATCAGGGAATCGTTATATCGTTATTCTCACAAGTTTTTAATTAAATAATGTTTTAAGTGTAGGAAAATTTGTGAAAATTTCCTATATACATCATAACATATCGCAGATTATTGACGCAAAGTGAATGTCAACAAATAAACAATGCTTAGGCAATACATATTCAATATACATATTTCCTTCATTTTTTATTCGTTTGGAAATAGTATCAATATTATAAATTTATTGAACCGTGACCTTTAATAACCACATAAATCAATGCATTATATTTTTACTTACGCATTGGTTTATTCCATAGTTTTATACAATAAAATTGGTTAAAAAGTTAAAATAAACTTCCTGTGTGATCTTGGTATATTTACATTATTCTCAAGTTTACTTGAGAAATACTTTTGTTTGCTTAACAATTAAATTAGTAAAAGAGGGCTGAAACCGGTTGTTTGTACAATGCAGCTGGCTTTCTAGCCACTCTTTATAACTGATTTGATTGAATTGCATCAACGGGAACTGAGAATTACGCAATTTAATATAAAGTTATATAACGACAAGTTGTAAAAGATACCTACTGGTTTAAAACTTGCGGTAGAAACAGCAAGTAAGAAGTAAAACTGTGTCACTAATATAATTAACTCGACATTGACACTCGGAAAAATCAACAATTTCTATTTTACTAGTATTTTATCGTTACGAGACGGACAGATCACATATATGACAAGTGCAGTTTCTATTCGAAAATATTGATGAAAAAGGTTTAACGACCTAGAAAACGTACCGGAGTAACGACTGCGATAATAAATTAGAGGATATATCCTAAACGATGATTCTGGTCAACGTTTGCAGAAATTTCATACAATAATTGTGGCAGCATAGAAAAATATTTAATTGATTCAACTCATTATGATTAAATTGAAAGCTGAAATTTATTATCGTACCAGCTCAAACAGGAAATAATTCTAAATTTAAAGGCACGTGAACGATCAAAATGAAAGTTTTTGAAATATTTCTGAAACGCTACAATTTTTTGGTAGACTCTTTGAGTAATCAAATTTATGAACACGCCTTGCTAATTTGAAAACACTGGAGGTCATGAAATTCATTTGAACTTGAATTTGTGAAACTTGAGTCTCTCCAATTTGATCTGGTTTTTCTATTTTATCTATTTATCTGTAATCTTACGAAATAAATAGAAACATCGACGTATTGAAAAAATAAAATTCCCCGCATACTTAAAATCCCAACAAACTAGGTAACAAAGTAATGACAATTCGGTAGAGATAACGAGCCTTAAGATAACGTTCAATTATCCAGTCATTGTGAAATATCTAAAGTGTGAATTACTTCACATTCCACTGAAATATTAGGTGTTCTTTTTAATATTAAGAAATCTGCGTAACAACTCGATACCTGTAATAAGTGCTCGTCTAATTAAATTAAAAGTAGGTACTTTTTTCTTAAATTATCTTAAAAGGAGACATAATAACGTATCAAGTATTAAATTATATTTAAAAACTTTCATAAGTAAACAGACAACGTATACTGCTGACGTCTCAACAATTTTTTCGAATAATATTTATAGGTCTTCCTGCCAAAAATTTTCGTGACATTTTCCCAAAACGCGACGTTTAATTTGTTTAAAGAAAACGATCGAAAATAAAGCGCTCTAATTAATATTGCGCTGAATTTGAAAAATATTTTATTTTGTTGCATATGAAAAATACAAGGAAAATATTTGGAATTAAAATAACTATCAAACCTATCACGTTTTGATATTTTCGTGAACTGATAAGCTTGCGGGCGCGTCATAAGTGAAATTGCATTGCGAATTTTTATAAACGGCACAATTGCAAATTACACCAGTAGGTTTTTTATCAAAATTATTGCGTCAATTTGATTAACATATGCGTCGCAAAAGTACAAAAAATAATTTACCATCGTTGTTAATGTATTATCAAAAATATTATTTGCAGCTCTACAAATTTATTATAGGTACGAATAAAGTTATTATGATTTATAAAATTTCAAATGAATTATTTAATCACTTTTCACCTCAATAACCTGACCATTTTGACGCAATTACTACTAATTATTTTAATGGTAAGTTAATTTTTCATGTAAAATATTTACAGCTCGAGCCCCAATTAACGTTATATTATTGAATTGAAATATTTGTGTGCTTATCAATTCAAATATTTATCGCGGTGGTCGTTTCGAAATGCAGATAACATTTCATCAGATCCTCTCCTATATTTTTAGCAGCCTTTTCAACAATCATAATCCTGGAATTCTGAATTTTGTAATATTTATTTTTGTATTGACATTCTGATTCACTAGTTAGAGAAACATTTCGAGCTCATAAAAGTTATTAATTCGAATATAAACAAATATCATCTGCACAATTTGTCGATTTGGAGGATAATTTTAGAATTGTTGTATTACACGTGGAGTATAATTGCAATACTCCCCCGCAAAATATTCTATTTCTATAAGTTTGCAACATCATTGATTGAACTAATGATTCTATAATATTTTTGAATTGATGGTGATTTTAAGTCTTTTGGACAATGTTTCTGAAATAGAAAATTCTAATATTAGCCACTACAGATACCCTATTAAATTGTTGGAACACGCAAGACTCTTTACTAGGATCATTTCAAAGTAAATACAGAATCTAGCGAGTTGCGGAATCTGTATACAATTCGATTATAGTTTTTGGCAACATTTTAGTAAAAACCACACGAGCATTATAATAATCTTATAATATATATTACTATAGAATCTAATTCCGTCAAATCATTCTCGTCCACACGAATTGCGAACATAACGAAATCATACGGAAACAATTATGCGCGCTAGAAATTTTGCTAAGGTGCTTGCAGGATAAATGCAAATAAATCGCACTAAAGCTCAACATGCATATTGCCTACGTATGTGGTGATTTATTTTAATGCAGAAGTGTCGCAAGTCGCCTGCAACTAGTCATCTTCAACTCGTAAATACCTATAGAGCCTGAAATGATTCCGACAAAATAAATTTTGTAATATTTTGATAGAAATACAAATCAAACCGGTTGCGACTGGTTTACGCAAAAACCTCGTAATAAAATTACGTGCATCTCCATTATCTCTCGTTCGATGTAATTTACTCTATGTGACATTCCGCGGCAATTTAAATTTTATTTATTATCATATCACGATTAATCTGTTATCGGGGCAACTGTTAATAGATTTGGCAGGTGTTCAATAAATATTTAATTTTTTCGACGGCTCGGTTTTAGTGAAATAATGTAACAGTTGTGGAAATGGAAAATCACCGTGAATCGCCAACTGTAAAGTGTGGCGTAACGTGTGGATTTTCCCGTGATATTTTTCCGATTTACTTGAGGAAAACTAAACGTGCGTAGGATGTAATGTCGTGTATTGTTGAAGTTGAAAATAAAAAAAAATCAATTAAGATAACGATTTTATGGAGTATTTAAGCTCGATTGGGTCGATCGATTTTTGTGTATTTATTCCTTTTACGATTGGAAATTATTATTATTACTATTCAATTTATAACAATTAAATTTTTTTATTAGGTAATACTTGAGAAAGAATTATTTACGTATGTATGTATTGCCTTTTAAGCAACCGTTTTTTAATCTAAGTATCGTTATTTTTTATTTCAATACAATTATGGATAAATTATGTTCTAATCTAGGAAATTTATTCCTATTTACAATTAAAAAAATATTGTTTGCATATTTTATTTACTGGAACGATGTGACTTAATGACCATTAAATAGGAATTGTCTATTAAATAATCCAATTAAATGATTTTTTTGAAGAGTTTTTTTGAATCGGAAGCAATTATGTATATTTAAAACATATATCATCATATATGTATATCATCTATCCCAAGAGGTACCTTATTTGTACAGGGTAATTCAGCATTAAATGCAAACCTTACTCCCTTGTTAAACACACTGTAGATTTTATAAAAAAAAATTCAATAAAAGCAATAATACAAAGATTATTCGACATACGAGTACACGCATTATTATCATCAAATAGCAATAAAGAACTAACAGTAGATGGAGTAAATCAAGCAGCAAGCAGAAGAATCTGTTTCCAATGCAGACGGGTTCGTTGAAATCAAAACGATAATTACAAAACTGATATCCTTTGCAATCAACAGACATTCCTCGCAACTATAATCGCATGTAAATATATTATACTTACATCGAACGCACTTAACCATGATATCCAGCCTATTCATTATGTCCGATGATACAAACAATCCGGCCTGCTATTGTGCTGCTATAGCTTGTTTGTTTTTTAAACGGTGATAATTAATTTTTCTACGGTAATTAATTTCTACTAAAATCCGCCAAATCTTTAGTAGCAGCAGCATAGTAACAGAATTTACGTAAATAATGTTAGTTCTTTTCAAGCTTTTTTTTAATATATTCATAACTTCTTTTACTGTGCTTCTACTGCTTGTAGAGAGGTTTGTATGAATGAATCTATTTAAAGTTATCAGTAACTTAAATTTGTGTAAATATCTACTTCTGCGATTTACATAGAAATAATTTTGTCTATTCAGCTGCATTTTCAGTTGTGACGGAAATACCAAAACAGTATATTAATCATAATGATACCGATATGCGTCAAAATAATGCAAGGCTATTTTTACGTACCTACTTAAGCGAAAACTGATCTAAAAATAATATTTTTTATCTAAATTATTAGATGAATCATGACCAGTGTGTCAGAAGGATATCGTAAATTAATTTCCTCAAGCTTAAAAAAATTATCTAGGCATGTAAACCACACAAATAAAATGCGAAATGATAATCGTAAATATAATAATAGAATCCTGGCAATAAAAAGTTCCTTATTGGGAACAGAGCGAAAAAACCGAATTTTAATGAAATAATTTATGAGGCAATTTCACGTTTTTATTAAATTTCCATACTTCTTTTATAATCAGGAACATCTGTTCCGTCTTTCTCGGGGGAATTCAGGTGACTTTAATAAATTACCGCCGTTTCAAAAAAGGAACAGATAATTCGTAGGTGTGAGGATGAATCATTAACATCAGCAATTCTGACATTCAAATACTCGTACATATGTGTGAAATTGCGAATATTGGTTGTTGAAATTTAAAAAGCAATTAAATGTGGAAAATACTGATGAGATATTTTTGAAACAAACTTCTAATAGGTTTTTCCGGCGATGTGAATCTCTGTATTACAAGGAATTTATTCTTGTAACTAATTAATATTGTAAACAATTAATATCTAATTAAGTTTAGTTTTAATATGTGTCGTGTTTACCCAAACAAGGGATTAGGTACATGATGTTTGTAAACCAATACATCCTGTTTAAATACGAACATTGTTTTACGATATTTGCAGCGCGATTTAAGAACAAAATCATAACAAACATCTGTTGCCGGTTTCTAAGCCGATGTTTTGATAAAGGAGAAGAGAAATAAAAACCGACTTTTCTTCGACTTTCACCGTAATAAACGTTCATTTCGTTAATTAACTTCGAACGTTAAATGCATTATTGTTTTAAGGCTTCGGTCATACTTTGACACGTAATAAGTCGGTTAAATGTAACCCACTTCAGAACTTTAATAATGTAAACGCGTCATTGTCTTCGACGTATTTCTGTAAGTATTGGTAAATACAGTATTTTAATATTTTATGTGATAATTATTTTCATATTAAGTTTCGTTTATGTAGACCTATTTAAACCAACACTATTTATAAATAATACTTAATTCAATCAGTTATAGATGGCAAAATTTGATAATAATAACGTTTGACGTTATAAAATATTAGCGGTTACACACTATATCTATGTAAATTTATGGGAATACAGCGCTCCTGTAGAAATTATTATGTATATAAAAAATTACTACTTACCAATGGTTTTTATAATATTGAAATCATCGATATCGAACCCTTCTTTCTCTTTATCATCGTCCGAGTATTCTTCGCTGGTGACCACAGACGAAGTGGCCAAGCTCTCGGTGCTCTCCTGCCTGCTACGGATGCTGTAATCAGTCATCCTTGCGTGTTAATATCAATTAAATAAATTTAACCGGTGTATAATAACGTCTTCTGTTTTGCCAACTATAGTCCAGGAAAAACCATCGATGCCTAGCGTTCTCGTCGACTGAAAACATGAAAAAAAAAATTACAATTATTACAACGAATGTAAATTCTCTTTTATCTACACAATGCGTCGTAAGCTAATTGGTTTACATGTCATTTAAATATAGGGTTTACGTGTGCTAATGGTAAGCAATAAAAGTTATAATAAGTGTTGAATTGAGACCATCATTTATGAGTTGATTTTACAAAAAGGTGTAAGAGTTGCCAATTAATAATTGGCCTAAAGAAGTATTCTAGTTGATATTACTGATTTATAGTACTGATAAATATCTACTGATTTAAAATTAACTTACGTAAATTATTAATATGCTTGAGTGGAATTCGTAGAATCACATATTTTATTCTAAAGGGTCAAAAACATGATAGATAACAAAAAATTACACACATTTGTACATTTTAAATAACGTAGATGATAAAAATTAAGTTGACAATAATGACACATTAAGTTATATAATTAAAGGTAGGTTTCAATTAAAATTGGAAAATAAATACCTAGATAATTTAAAGAAAAGAAAAATCTACTGTTTAATGACGTAGATATTAAAAAAAATAATGAAATTTTGATAAACAAATTAATATCTACACATATTGTATTAATTTCGTTTGAAAATAATAAACAATAAATTGATTAAAGTACACAGTTGCATGTAGTATTTCGTATTAGAGATAATAATTTCGATATGTATGCATTGTTTGTGGAATATTCGCCGAGACTCTTGTTTTGCTGAAGGGTAAATACAAATACTATTTTATTATAACAACAAACAAGTCATTATTAATGCTTTAATTTATTAGTTAAAGGTGTCACCCAATTGTAAAACAATGATGCGTAAACAAGGATTTTTCATATAGCAAATACTAATTGCTTTGATAGGATTTATATGGGCAATAAACTGAATTGTCTTAATTCTGCATCAAGTTATTATTTATAATAAAAAATAAAAAAAACTATACCTGTAATTAAAATAGCGTTACGCTACATGTCGTGGGCACAAAACTATTTTAATAGTTTACTAAATAGCAACAAAAACTACAGCATTTTAACTAATTATTTATTTTATATAGTACCTAACTTGATGAAGTTATTACGATTATGACGCCTTAAATTTATAAATACATTTTTAACAGATTAGAATAATTACATTCTGTTTTATAAATAACCTTACAAACGCACATACCTACATATTCCAAATTCCTAATCAAACATAATGAAACAAAATTTCTGGCTTTGTTTTTTTCTATATACGACTTATAAATTGCGAAAAGCTGGTTAAGTCTGTAGCCAAACTGTTTGTCAATAAACCTACACGTGAGATAACAAAATCGTAACTTGATAATGACGGTTATTTCTCGATTGTGTTTAAAATTAACGAGCGCAAATTAAAAGTTCAACAATATAGTTTGCGCGCAATTATGCAACGAATAACGGATATTTCAATAAATAATAGTATTTAGCATATAAACTACACAGCCTAGATTTAACGTGTAAATGCACTGTACAAACGTTAGGTCAGACGAATGTTACCATTTGCACCACATGAAACTCTGCTCGTCCACGATATTTTCACGGATTCAATGGAGCTGAAATTTTTTTCTATTCAACCGAAAAGTGTGTCAAATCAACCAAGTCGCTCGATTTAATGTAATGGACGTCTAATCTGATCGAAAATAATATACATTAACCGAACGCCATCCAATCGAAATCTTTGAGATAATTCTAATAGAACTGCATATCGAACCAGATTCTTTACAGAAATTTTATCATTTACACTAAGAAATTAAAAAGATGGGTCTAGTCAATGTGTTTATTTTCTTCCAAAAATATAATTAACTGAAAAGTATAGATTAAATTAAAAGATGACTAGGTAAACATCTTTCCTCGATCTAGAAAATGTATTTTTATCTTTGACTGACAGTTATTTGGATGATTTTGTAAATTAATCGATACACTTTACTCGGTTTTCTAATTAATTTATTAATGATTTTATGTTAAAAAAATACATCAAAGCTGCAGTTAAATAGAGGAGCTAAAGATGTATTAAATGATGATGAAATACTCGACGAAATCAATTTAATACAGAAAGTAAAAGAAACTCCAAAAATTATAATATGGACCTAGAACACATGTGTACATAAGTATTGCTACAAAGAAATTGTAAATTGTGAATATTGTAAATCAAGGTGCTTCTTATTGATAATACCCATTGAGTCGCTAAAGCATTTATTATTCGAAAGAAGCATAAAAATATAAATCAGAAAAATAGGTCAGCTTATTGGAAACAAATAATATACACCAAACCGTCCTTGACCCAAAACCTCAACTGAATGAACATCCATCTATAATTTGCTAATGCACAAATTAAAAGGTTGTTTTATTTTCAAATCTATTCCCATGCTATTGAATACATTACAATATAAATTTAAATCGTTAATTTCCAGTCTATCATAAACGGAATAAATCCTACGCTAATCATCCTTAATAGAATCCAGTAAAATGAAAATCCGTGAAATAAGGAGCACAGCCGGTTTTAACACGGTAAATCTCCCACGCTGCCCGTAAAAATAAAAATTCGATTCGACGTTTGATAAAATACGAAAAGCGAAAGTTTCATAAAAGTTTTTAAGCTTAACTGGTCGTTGAGCAGTTCACAGTTTAAAAGTGAAACCTACCAACATTCGACTTCGCCTCGAAATGTTAATTCTATGCAAAATGATTCAGGGAAGTTTTACCATCCAATCTAATTTTTACTACCCCAAAATACCCTTCCATTTGTTTGCGAGATTAATTTTAAGCTTCAAGTTCGCAGTCGCCTTAGCAAAACCATATAGATAACGATTCCAAAGGTGAAACTCCACGGATACATCGCAAACGAATAAAATTAGCATAATAAATCGGTCGCATAAATTCATCAATAACTGTTCTATGGAAATTTATTTTAGAAAATCGTTAATAACTTCCACGAACTATACTTGGCAGACAAAGTGGCAGACTTATTTTTGCATTAAAAATTGACCCCGACTGTGCGTTGTATATGAAGGGTCTAGGATCTCAAATGACGCAAAACCGAAAAGTGTTAAAGAACGTTTTCGAAAAACTTCGTGCCAATTCTGCACCTGGATATTTCCAGATGTAAAAGCTCGTCTATTTTGAATGTATCTATCCAGAGAATATTATTCACCGATGTAGAAATTTGTCATTGAGGAATAACGTGACATTAGGATTAATGTAGAAGCATTTTATTTGAATACGCGGATTTGTTTTACGTTAAAAATCCTGCGTAGCAAAAATGTACTTCATAATAAACGTGTTAATAGTATATTTAATGCTCTTACTTTTCTGTAGCCTTCGTTTTTTGGTTTAGGAAGCATTAGCATAATTAACGATATTTCTAAATATGCAAATAAACTTTTAAATAAATAAATATCAAGTACCTACCTATATACATACCGAAAAATTCAAGAGGTCAAATTCAAATATTGAAACATAATGTGATGGACAATTTTAACTTCTGAAGATGGGAAGGTGAAAAAAATGGGAAAATAAAAAAGAAGAAAAACGTTTGAAATGATGAGGAAGATACAGATGAAGAATAAGCAGAAATAGTGAAAGATGAGGGAGGGAGCTTGAAGAAGTTCTGAAAACTTATGGTTCCATAGATTCAAAGCTCAATAAAAACTGTGTATATTACAAATGTAAAGTGCATTAGTCGTGCAATTTGCAGGTACATAATACAATACATTAATTTATAATAATAGCCATTGACATTCAGTTACGCAATAATTAGACAAAGTCACTATCCTTACAAATGACCTATAATCTTTAGTAAGTACAACCTGTCCTGGTAGACTCGATTATTCGTTAAGCTTTTCGGAACCAACTAGCTTATTTAAAAAATCCAATTACACACAATTGAACTTATTCCTCCTATTTATTTAAGTAATTATAATTAAAGAATACAGTTCTCTCACGATCATCACGTTAATTGCATGTTTAAAAGGCTATGTTAACGATCTAATTAATAACTAGAGTAACTGACATCGTTGGAGAAGAGTGAATTAATAAGTTATGTTGCAAAAAGGTGCATACTGGTATTTTTTTCTGTACAAAAAAAATTAATTCAAAGAATAAGTATGTACGTATGTATATTAATTACTTTTTATAGGAAATGAAACTAAATGATTGCAATTGTAATTATCGTACTTTTATTGTTAGATCTTTTTTATTGGTAATATCAAGTTATAAAATAATATAAATTGTTAGAGTTAATTACAATTGTAATTCATTCTTCATTTTTATGATAATGTTTTTATGGAAAATCAGATTTTTTTATTACTTTTTTTTGTAAGAAATCTTATTACAAATTCGTTCTTAATGTATTTATCTAATACTTTCTACTTTGGTTTTTCCATTACTATTTACTATTAGAATTATTAATAGATAAGAATTTCCTGTATACAATCCTATTATTACTTTTAATCATTCTATTAGTTATTTTAAAATTAATCAATCGATTGAATAAATGTGTGTATGTATATTTGAGCAGTATTTTATTATTTTCATATTATTATGAATGATAAAAAAGTTGAGATATTACAATATTGTTTCTAAAAAAAAGCCTGCTAAAAATATTGCGTATAAAGAAACGAAGGACTAGGAATATTAATGCAACTATTATTCCAGGGTCCGAGGTTGTTATAATCCCTATTACTTTAGTGGAGAAAATTCATTTTTGCAAATTTATTACTCTATAATTTTCCAAATTACGTACCCTCATACCTATGATAAAAAACGTAATTTACCTAATTTCTTACAGAATATTACCAGTTAAAATCGTTGAAGTACAACAACCCCCAATATAAAAATTTTCTTCCACAATCCGCCTATATTTCCACCCTCTAAACATTAATAAAAAAATACACCAACTTACCTATTGCTCAATTTCCCGTCTTCTTCACGAAAATAAATAAAATTACAGCTATTATTCCGGTGAAAACGATTCGATGGCGAAATAAAATTGTCACCGCGGATCGGCGGTCGCGACACAGCGAAACAAACGCACGCGAGCGACGAAAACGAGTCTACAGGTAAAAGTTAACCGCTCAGCTACTCGTGTCAGATGTAGATTGCGGACTGGAGATTTTCAGAAAGTCGCAGCGAGTTAATAGATATATTCGGCAGCGTGTTACCAGTTTTATCTGCGGTTTTCCGATTCCTGGCCGGTTCACGCATGCACGGGGTGCTAATGAAGTCGTATTCCTATCAAACTTACAGACGTGTATTAGACGTTTTCTCGGAAAGATTCGCTTGAAGGAGCCAAAAAATTTGTAGGAACTTTTATATGATAGGCAATTGTGTGAAGTGTATCTACATTTTACAGAGGTTTCTATTTATTCCAAACATAATATCTCATGAATATATTTTACGAAAAGAAGGGTAGAGACTTCATTTTTATTGAACTTATTCTCTTGTTTCACTTAACTTAATAAAAGTCTACCAATATAACTTTACAATTGATAAATTATTCAGGCTGGAAAATGGTGTATATAGGAATGGTAGAGTTAGTATCTCTTCAAAATTTTTGGAATAAGTCCTCTAGGGTTGTTAGTTTTCTGTGGTCTTTAATTTCTAATGGGGTAAATTGGTTTTATTATTAGGTATTATGTTTTTTCAAATTGAAACCAGTTTACACCCTTTAAGAAAACCTGAAAAAAACACTTCCAAATAATCTTCATTAGCTAATATCATCTAGGATTCTGTAGTTTTTACTGTTTTTTACCATATCTCGTACCATTATTGTGAGTATAAACAATGTAGTACTAAATATTAAATTATGTATAAACACAAATTAAGCATTACCTAAATCCAACTGCAATAAAAGAAATGGTTTCTTTATCATTTGTTTGTTTCTCTTGATGTTCCGGGTGTTTTTATTCCGGGTTCATTTGGAATATTTTTAATAGCTAGTACTTCAAATTTTGTTTGAATTTTAAAGTCTGCGGTCTTCAAAGAATTCATTAATTTTATATTTTTCTTAAGCTATTTTTATTTTACAGGCAGTAAAGATTTATACAGAATGTACTCATTAACCTAATTTCCATACGTTATTTAATATCACCTTTATTTATTTTATGGAAAATAATTATAAATAGTAAAAGTATTTTTAATTTCTCTGCACTTTTTTCTCTATAAAATATGTAATCACTAATCAGTAATAACTGAACTACATAAATAATTAGGTATATGTATGTTAATAGGTAAATCTATGTTGTTTAATAAATTGCAAAATATATTAATGAACAAACTTCAATATGTGTATTACAATAATTTTTTATAAACTTAATTGAAATGGAAAATATCCGGATATATTTTTGTTTGCATTTGTTGAAATTCAGTATTTTTCACTAAAAAAATAGCATTTTATATAGAGCTTAATTAATTATTGATGTCGCATTAGAATTTTTACGATTTTGGGAAGAGTGTTCTTTATAAATATTATAAATGATATGGTAGACTTTGTAAATATTTTTCGTTGCATATATTTATTTAAAATATGCCGATGACAGTTAAATTTCATTTTTCATACAAATTTTTTAAATATAGTAAGGTATCTACTAATTACAATTTTGGATTTACCAGACAAAAGAAAATGAAATTAATAATATATGATGTATTATAATGAACAGAACGCAAACAAATATAAATATGTTATTAAATTTGAGGGTAAAAAGAAAAATATTTTCGGTTTATCGAACTTTTATACCAATAATTTGCTGTTAGTTAAATTATTCGATAATATCTGTTGATTATTTTACATTCGATGGAAACAAGTTTGTCCAGTAATAATCAGGGAAGATCCGAATAACAAAACGGCAAACACAGTCCGATCATCTTCGTTGCCTCAAGATGAACAAGATAATATTAGTTTCAATTTTGTACTTTCCATCAGTTTTTAGCGGTATGTCTATTAAAATCTTTTTACTCCTAAAGTTTATTAAAACATCTTATATCTAGGAGACATTAGTTGCACGAGAAAATGCAATAACCTGTTGGTCGACGATCGTTATTCAAAACTATTTAAAGAGAATGTTTAGCAATTATTTGTACTAACTTAATCGTTTTCATTAAAATGTAAATTCAAGTTAAAATATTGAAATAATGTAACATAGCGACTGTGCTTATTTTAGGTATAACACGTGTAATAATATTTATTTGCAATTGAGTCATTAAGGTTCTGGGCTACTTGAATGGAATTTTTTACATAATAGTTATACAAATTTTAGTTTTATTTAAATTAGTAAGTGATTAAGAGTAGTTAAAAGTAGTGAGAAAATATCAGAAATATTGTGATATTTTTCATCTTGAAGGTATAGGAATGTTTACTACATTAAAAAAAATTGAAATTTCTCCCAGTTTTAATCCCTCTCTAATTTCGTATTCCCAAATTTAACATATTCCAAATCTACCAGTTAAAATGTAAATCTACCATTTTCCTTTCAGAATACTACGACGATGAAAAAGTGTCTGCCTATTACGATGCCGAAACTTTTAAATTCGACTACCGATCGGACGAATGTTACACAATTTACGAACCGAACGAAATTGTGACATCGTTTAGCTGCAGATGGTTGAACATATCGAAAACCGCTTGCATCAACTACCATGAAGAGAGCAATTCGTTTTCCATCCGCACGCCAGCAAACGAAACCGTGCGATTCATGCACAATTTTTATTTGGAAACGCCCATTCCGAAAGGGTGCTTCAACGTCACCCATAAAACCAACGGATCGACGCTCATTTGCCAGAAATCTTTCGATAAGTACGCCGTGGGCATCACGACGCCCGAAAATTACACTATACTATTCTCGTCGCCCTTTTGCAGTTCAATAAAAATGCAAAGGTAACTTTTTTGAAATAGGTATACTGGGTGGTTTTAGAGTTCTAAAGTTCATTTCGTCTGTGTGGATTCTAGAACTATATTATGGCGTTTATCAAACATAAGTTTGGTCATTTTTTCATTTACTTGGTACTTTTTCAAAATGTTTTTATAACAAACGCCATTCATCATAATTAGGTCTCGTATTGAAATGCACGTTAATCAATATCCTGCTGTACTCTTTTATTTATCAATTGTTTAGACTTCCTGTCTAGACAAAATTACCGTCAGATAGCAGAAAGGTACACTTGTTTTAGATACGGATTCAACAGCCTTGAAACAGTGAAGGAGTTTATTGGCAACTACAGCTTCGATCCGGATTTGAGAAGCTGCTATAAAATTTACGATGCCGGGGTGAAACCATCCCCTGAAACCTGTTCGAAAAGACGCATCGCGGAATCCTGCGTTTTCCAGTACAATTCCAGTTGCACCGCCATCGCTACGCCGCAGAACGAAACGGTACTACTCAATTGCAGGAGGAACAATGGTTGTTTTAGTATGATAGATGGCAGGGGAAATATACACGAAACGTGCCAGAAACGTTTCGATGATCGGTGTATTGGTTTGTTGTTGCCCAGTAATTTGAGCGTCCTATTCGAATGCCAGCACTGCCTTTATGACGGTAATTATCTTATAGTTTCGATGTATTCATTGTATTGATCTCAATCGTAAAGTATTATTTTGTAAAAAAATATTCATAGTAATTTGACATCTAAATCTACATCAAAAACTGCTGGAATATATCCAGAAAAAAAAACTATATTCTTACCTTTTAGAATCATTCCGACTCTCAGACCTCTCCATCGTCGTCTTCGAACCGAACACCTGGAAACTCCACAGGCAATTCGTCCAAGAGTGGTTTTCCAAAGAAAAACTACAAGACAAATGGACATTGCGGCTCACCGAGTTCATGATTATCGCACCTCGCGAAAATTTCAAATTAACCTATTGCATGCAATACAATAAGAAAGCGTACGCCTATTGGATGCCGGGTCGGGATTGCTGGGCCGTCACTCTTCCGAGTAACGAGACCGTGGTGTTGGAATGCTTGGGAACCGAAAGGCGGACGAATTGTTTCGACGTATATGGATCTGGTGGAAAAACTAACGAAACGTGCTTGAGAGTGTTTCAAGAACAATGCGTGGGGCTAATTACACCGATGGGTTACACCTTGATTGTGGATTGTTACAGAAACCGCAAATGCTTCGATGGTAAGTATACAGATTGTCCTTGCTAACATCACACAAGTTCTTGAGCTTTGTTTTTTTAGAATTAATAGAAGAACACAAGAACTTATTTAAAAATTCATTAGACAATAAAAATTTTAAATTGGTGCCTTTCGTACCTTCCTGCTACGAGGTGTCTTATCAAGAACCAAACGATTACACTTGTATGTCGCCAACGAATTTCAGCAATTATGCTTGCGTTGACCTCATTTTCGACGGTACAGAGTACTGCTGGGGTCTCGTCACACCTAAAAACGAAACCGTCAAGTTTTTATGCCACAAAGACCGATCCACCGCAGTGTCGTTCTACCACGCCGATAAAGCGACCGATTGCTTCGAAGTCAAACGCCAAGACGGGACATCCGAAGAAGTTTGCCAGAAGAAAACAGGGGATTATTCAATCGGATTTACTACGTCCCAAAATTCATCGATTATACTCGCCTCGTACTACTGCGACCTATTTTTCTCCGAGGAACTCGATTTCATGAAGGAGTTCGTTCGGAATTACACGTTCGATGCAGCCCTAAGGTCCTGCTACAAAGTGTACGGACCCGAGCAGGTCATCTCGCCTTATACGTGCCTCAGCAGGGCGATTCAGGATGCTTGCCTGCGAACGCTGCGCGAGTTCGGCGACTGCGAAGGGATTATCACGCAAAATGGCGAAACTGTGCTGCTGAATTGCAGTGGAAGGGAGCCCGTTGAAAACGGGTGCTTCGAAGTGTACTCTTCGGATGGAAGAAGACACGTTGCGTGTCAGAAGAAGCTAGAAGAGCGTTGTGTTGGTATCACTACTCCCAGCAATTTGTCGGTGCTATTCGAATGCCTGTTTTGCAAAACCGAAAGTAAGTTGAAATGTTTATGATCTCATAGTAATACAACAGTAAAATTGTATTCTAAATATATTTCCTGCTATGTTTCTGTTCGTAGGGATGTTGTCGCAAGGAAAGTCCTTCTTAGTTTTCGATCGGGAAGAGAGAAAAAATACCCGCGACTTCATAAAATCTACCATGAGCGATGTTAATAATGGCAACTTCACCGTTGACATTACATCAGCGGAATATCACGCTTTCAATCCGGGCGATTCGCCTCTCGATGGACTTTGCGGATTAGACCAGAAGATCTATTTTACCCACGTGCTGTACGATCATTCTAATAGTACCGGATTTAGGACGGTCGGTTATGAAACGATAGTCTTGAAACGCCCCGATGATGCCACTTACGGGAAAAACGGATGCTTCGATGTGTTTACTCCAATCGAAGAGTGTAATGTCAACCCGAAGAGAAAGGTAGGTAGGAGGGCTAATGAAGAGGTTTGATGTTGATTTTTGCAGAAAATCTAATTTAAACGTGTTATTGCAGAAATCGGTGCGTTGCGTGGAGATATTGGATGAGTTTTGCATTGGAATTAGAACTCCTAGAAAATGGACTGTACCCTTGGTATGCACAAATGCGTGCAATTAATATGTAACTAATTTTGTTACTTTATAATAACACTAGTACAAAAATTTTACACTTTTTTTAGTACATGCTGTAAAGTCAACTTTTTTTAATATATTTTGGTGCACTTATTCTAAATATGAGGTCAAAAAAATCAGCACGTCCTGTTTCTTTAATTTGTCCAACATGGTCATCATTTCGGAGCGTTCTAAATGGTTCTGGAGCGTCCTAATTGATTCTAGACAGTTCTAAATGAGTCTAGAGCGTTCTAGATTGTTGTAGACAGTTCTAAAAGATTCTGAGGCATTCTAAGTGGTTCTAGAGCGTTCTAATTGATTCCAGGCAGTTCTAAATGATTCTGGAACGTCCTAAATGGTTCTAGAGTGTTCTAAATAAATGCTTGGAGACTAGTGTTGGATATTAATATGCGAAACCAACCCAAATTTAACCAAAAATACATCGCTCTCATTATCCTAAGTTCTTTGCATAAAACCTTCTATACTCGTGTAATTATTAATTAGAAAAAAACGGGTTCTTTATAAAAGCATGATGTGATCTTGGAACTTATGCAACCAGCCAATATGCCAATAAATATTATTTTGAAAAGATGTTAATGATCAGGCAGTTGGTAATAAAAACCATGTTTTACAATCCAAATTTATTCGACTACGTTCTACAAAAAAAATCGCAGAATATTTTTTGATATATGTATAGTATGTCTTAACAAATAACACATCATATAACGCGAAGAAAAATTCTTAAGATTAATTGTTCGACACAACGAATAAGACAACTCTATATTTTTTGTAATATCGGAATAGAAAGTTTTCCTTTGCGTTTATGACAATCAAAACTCTCAACAACGAAAATATTTTCCTACAGAAAACAACAATAAAAAAATCAACAGATGTTTAAGTAGATAATAGAATACTGCATCGGATAAAACTCGCCCGAGTACATTTTCCTCGTAGAATGTATACACATGTTTTGTTATCTCGAATATAAACTAAAAAAAACTTTACAAACACTATACAATATTCTTAATCTTAATGTTAACAAAATAATTTCTGCTAATTGGAAGCTACACTACCGTCAATGGAAGCTCTAAGCTGAAATCATCGGGGTTTTGTTAACTTCTATTTTCTTTTATTCGTTCTCTTAAAAATTTATAAAAGATTAATACGTTTTTTTTCTTTGTAAGCTCATATCGATTGTTTAGATTTTAGAATATCTTTCATTTTTGCTAGCTAAAAGATATGCATTTCCAAAATTTTGCTATACAATAAGAAATTAGTGTTTCGCTAATATATTTATTATTTACAATTTCACCTGCAATGGCTGGTCTTATTTTTAATGCAATTTTAAATAACAAGAGCTTCTGCAAACTTACATAAAATACATAACGTTATTTTATACAGGGTGTTTCTGAAATAAGTGGTCAAATTTTGGGAGTGGGAATTTTGACCACTTATTTCAGAAACACCCTGTATATTAGTTTACAAAAACTCCAGTAACTCGAAAAATATTGTAATAAAATTATTGTTACATAACAATTATTTCGGATTATATTCAATATGCATTTCTATTGTATTTTTTTATAATTTAGCATACTTTTCTAGTTAAATAAATGATGGTTCTTTTTGGAGTTGGATATTTAAAACGATTATTAAAAATAAATCTAAGCCAGGATTATTAGTAAACTAAAGTAAGCAATTATTGTAAGAGTGCTGTTTCGAAAGTCGAAAGTATTTAAAATCAAAATATAAAAAAAACTATAAAACGAAACAACCTCGTTATTTATAAGTACTTACAACTTATTGTATAATATACTTAGGTCCCTATAATTGTCTTTAACAATCACAAATATTATTTATAAGGATTTTTGTAGTAAATATATTATTTGTAAAAGAAAACGTAAAAACGTCGCATATACTGGGTATATATTATTTTAATTTGATTCACAACAACCACAACTGCAAATTTTTATAATACAGTAACAAATCCTTATAATTTATCCTATTTTTTTTCAAAAATACGAACGAAATGTAATATAATATACAATACTCTATTTTGAACGCCGATAATTAACAAAAGAGCAGTTTAATTGTTGGTGTTACTGCTTTTTTAAATATAAGCGTTCACATTAGAATAGTATATGTATATAAATAAAATTAATTCAAAACACTTTGCTGAATGCACTAAATAGATAATTTCAACCAACAATAACACATTTTTCGTCATTAATTAATATACGTTCGTTTACTAAACTTATTCCCGAGCACTGACAGCCAATACATACTCTAACTTCTACTTTAACAGTTAATTAAAATGTTTTAAAAATTCCAAACGGTAAAAACGGAATGGATTGTGTAAATGTAAACCAACATTCAATGTAAATATCACAAATATTACGATTATGCAAGCATTTGAATTCAGGAATTATGTCTGAAAAGTATGCCCTTCGAGTGGATTCCCTTAATCTATGATTGTTAACAGAGTTGCTTGCATAAATACTATTATGAAAGAATGCAGTATACAGGGTGTTTTGTAATAACATGCTAATACTAAAACCTATGTTCTAAACGTCTTAACTTTTGAGATATAGGGTGTTAAAGTTTTAAGAAAAAAATCAATTTTTTACTCTCATTTCCATACCACTTTACATATTTTTATGAAATTTAGTGTGCGGCGTTTATGCGTTAAAGAGCATTTTTTGACCTAAAAACATTTTTTTATTTCCAACAGTGGCGTCCGTACTGACTCAGGCCTAATATTTTTAAGGGTAAAAGTGGTGCGCCTCTGCTTCCTCTTGAAATAAAAAGTATTTTTGGAGTCCCCGTTCAATTTATAACAAATTTGTTTTCTTGACTTTTTTTCGTACGACTCACCGTTTGTGCAGATATTAGGTATATAATAATAAATTTTAGCTTTAGGTCATACGTTCATATGAAGTTTTTTTTTCTTAAAATGGGTCCAAGAAACACCCCTTTCAGTATTATCATGCTATTAAAAACACCCTGTATAATGAGGAAATTAAACCAATCTTATATTCTATTCACAAGCAAAAAAACAAAGTCTAATAGGAACAATCCGTGTCAGTGCTCGTATTCTAAAACTACTCATTCTATATCCAACATTAACATCGCGTGTTTTAACTCACACCTCCAATAAAAGCCGAATTTAACTAATTTTCTTGTCGATTCTTTTGTGTTTTTCCGAATTTCCACTCTAATTGAATATTTTTGAATATTGGCAAATTTACACCAAGTGCAAGAAAGTCTACTAACCCTTATGAAAACAATTGTCATTTGTAAACAATTAAGTTAATAACTATTTTTTTAATAGTCATATTGTCTAATCTACTTTTTAAGATGACAATTAAATGATCATTTAGGCTTTCTTGCACAGTGTCTCGACAAAAACCATAAAATAATTTTCTTGCGATTCATTAATATAGTGAAATGAATATGTGCTAATAAGGTGTTGTACAGAGAAATCAATAGAGAAATCAGGAACGAAAGTCGTTAAGCAAGGGTCCTTCTAACGCTGATATGATTTAGATAGAAAAATTGTGCAAATAAACGAAAATCAATCACTTCTCTTAATCAAGGCACAATTGTATTTCAGTACTTTATTGTATAAATCCATTAATTCGAATTATTTGATATGATTACGGATATTTTTTACAAAAATAACTAGACCATATCCGCTCAACGCACAGATATTTTTCGTTCAAACACAAAAAAAAACACAAATTAATTTGAAGAATTTACTACGAAGCACTGAAATACATACTAAAATTATATAAAAAACTATGTTTTTTGTTCTTGAATTGGACCCTGCCATTTTCTGAACACCTTGTTTCTTTTTCTACGCATCATTTTACAGCCCGTAGAGATAATGCTAAGAAAAATAAGATTAAGGTAGAATGTATATTTGATTCCGGAACCATCACTCGGATACGTCCAACTCCATCCATTCCACTTGCGCCCAATCGGGCAGCTCTGTAACGTACTCCCATCCAGGACCCTAGAAACACCAAACAAACAACGATATGAATCTCTAAAATTACAGAACAACCGCGTATTTACCCTGTATTTCCACGCGTGCAGATACATGACCAGATCCTGCGGCTTGGGATCCCTATATCGCACTTTGCACTCGTAACAGTGTTTGTCGACCGTCATTTTCTCGTGGTTGAAGGCCAGATCGGGAGCCTCTTGGCCGGTCTGCGTGGCCACCGTCACTTTCACGTCGATATTGTTACCACTACCACTACTACAACTACTGTTATTATTTATAGAGTCTACGGGAACTTTAGATGGGTCCTGAGATGCTGCCGTCGAATTGTCGCACGGTTCTTCGCAGGGCGACGCCTCGCGCGACACCGAATCAGCGTCGTCGTCTCCCAAAACACGTTCTGAAACACAAAAATTAAAGAATTGGTGATTGTTTCCTCTTAGTTCGTTTGGTCGTTGATAACGTTGACAAAGAATTGTAAGGAGGGCTACCAAAAGGTGGATATACTTCAGTATTCTTCTTCCAAAAGAAATTATGTTGAGGAAAGTTTGTACATTGCAAGGATTTTTGATTGAAGCTTCTTGTTACTCTAAGGCTATTGAAAGTTTAGAGTGTTAGAGGGTTCTATCTGTTCAAAGGTGACAAGACTCTAACGGGGCGTTAAAAGACTCTAACGGGGCGTTAAAGACACTGAAGATATAACTGGACAATAAAGACATTAACAGGAAAGAAAAAGAAAACTCAGAGCCTGCAAGAAAAAGTTTATAAATACAATAAAGGGATGTTAAAGACACTGAAGATATAATTGGACAATAAAGACTTTAATAGGATAAAATTAGACAACTCGGAACCAGCAAGAAAAAGTTTGTAAAGACACTAAATGGGTGTTAAACACAGTGAAGATATAACTGGACAATAAAGACATTAATAGGACAAAAATAGACAAATCAGAGCCTGCAAGAAAAAGTTTCTAAAGACAATAAAGGGGTGTTGAAGACACTGAAGATATAACTGGACAATTAACAGGACAAAAATAGATAACTCAGAGCCTGCAAGAAAAAGTTTCTAAAGACAATAAAGGGGTGTTAAAGACACTGAAGATATAACTGGACAATAAAGACTTTAACGGGACAAAAATAGAGAACTCGCAATAGGGTCTCCAATAGTTTCTAAAGACAATAGAGTACTATAGATAGAGTACTATTTGTCTCACATTTCAATACACTACGTATATGCGATAATATAACGTAGAGCAACGTTCTATTGTCCGTTGTAGTGCTTATTATAATTGTTGTGTGGTGCTACATATTAAATTATGGGGTATCAGATAAAAGCGCAATAACCGCAACCACACATTATGCCCGACCGAATGAGAAAAGTAATATAAAACCAATTTGAACTAGACGATAATGTACATGTTAGGGATCCAGATGTAGGTCAATCCTGCGGTTTCCAATGCAAGACGACTTACTGCGAACGTGAGTGGACTGTATCACGCTAGTTTATAATTATGATGAAACGCAGAACTGACCGCAGGAGCGTGACAGTGACAACTGGCATGTTTTTCGCGAAATAAGACGACCGTTGCAGGACGACGGTCGAATTAATTTCTCCTGCGGATAGTTTGTATAAAATTGTGCAGTAAACAGCAATAAATATTAAAGCAACAAAGGAGATAAACTTTCATCGCGCTTTTCAAGAGACGCTGACTATTAAAAAGGCAATTTAATAATGCGCTTTGTTTCACTGAAATTGCTTTTTAATTCCCGTAAAGTTTTTCGAGGGGCCGAGGTAACGAATACAAGCAAAGTTGTCGCAACTCGTCCGGGGGGAGTTTTTCGAAACTTCCAAAGAACCGGGAGACATTCATTACGGCTAAAGGATGCATTTAGCTAGCGGCGCAACTGGTCAAACCAAATCGAATTCTCCGCTATCTACATCCCGTTCGACGGACGGGAAAATTCACAGCAAATATTTGCGAAAAAAAATCTACACGACAGAAACTCGAATTAATCGAAGTTCGCGTTACAAGCGCGCAAAGTTCGGTTAATCAGAGCGAACTAAATAGTTAATCACCTTTAGGCACAATTGGTCCAACTAAAGATTCATCTAAATCGGATTTTCGACTGTTGAACATCGACAGCTCGCTGTCCCCGTCCATTCCGAGCCAATTCTCCGCGTTGTGAATGTGGATAAGATCTCTGACGAGTTCCTCGTCGGTCTTACCCCCGAGGTCGCCGCCTTTGCCCTTCAAAGGACCGAACACCTCGTGATTGTACAAAGGATCGTTAACTACGGGATGGCCTGAAAAGTTAACGAAACATTTACAATTGAGATTGTTTTTTTTTTCGATCGAAAGAGACGCTTACCTAAATACTGGAGGTGGACCCGTATTTGGTGCATCCTGCCCGTCTTCGGTTTGCACAATATAACGCTAGTCTTGCCGTTGTAGCCAAGTTTTTGAAATACAGTCATGCAATCTTTACCTTTCGGCGAAACTTTACAAACTCCTATTTTATAACTAACCACTTCTATTGGTTGGTTACATTCGATCGTTTCGCTATAACAAATCATTCAAAAATATAGAAACAAGATGCAAATATAATAGAATGTGTAACTTACTCTGGGAATTCGCCTTCCACCCTACAAACGTACTCCTTAGATACTAACCGGTTGCGGATTTGGTGTTCCATTTGTCTAGCTTTTTTCGGCGTTCTACCGAAAAGCAGAAGGCCACTGGTTAATCGGTCTAGTCTGTGTATTGTCCGAAGGTTCTTTAGATTGTACTCTTTAGCTAAAATAAAAACTACGGTGTTGTGTCTGTACCTTCCGCATGGATGTACCTGTAAAAACAGTTAGTATTTTATTTTACCCGCTCGTTTACAAGTGTTTAAATAACTAACAATGTAAATTTAGACTGTATTTAAATCGTAGTAATTTTTATTAAATGATATATATTTTTGTGCTTTGTACCGGAAGGTTTATACCAGTGTCTAATTGATACCGACAACAAACTGGACATTAAATAATAAAACATTGAACTCTACATGTTCTACCTACTAAATATAATAAGTAAACTAGAGAAAAAGAATCCTTTAGGTGATTATTGACTTTCATATCCATTCTTCTAAATTTTAGACAATAGAAAATGTAAAAATACTAGCAAAGGAAAATATTATCATTGCTAAAACATGTAGTATCCAATATTTATTGATGATCATATAAACATTATCTCTTCCTTATGGTCTTGTACTTTAAAGAGAACAATTCATTCTCGTGAAAAATCCAATATTTACAAAAAATGATTTGTTTCGCTTTTTGGTCCAATTCAAAATAATTTTAACGTGTAATTTTAATGTGTAACCGCTATTTTCGTCTCTACGTAGATAAAGTTTGCATAATTATACAGTGTGTGTCACGATATAGGAGGGCATAGTCTATGGGAGTAAGTTGACGATACGAGTATCTTCATTAAATACAGAGCTTTTTGACAACTATTTGTGCACACTTCTTCAAATTACCACAACTTTTCCCTTTACTTTCAATTGGCCAACGTCGTGACACACCCTGTATAACAAAAAGATACCTTATAGGAAGTGCCCTAGGAAGTAAATACTACATAAGTTTATTAATTAAACTCGTTTATTCCACACATGAAACCCTCGAATAACAGTTCGCATGGCGCTCAACGTGTTTAATAAGACATCTTGAAATCTGATGTTAGAAATCCTAAAATACCCGGCCGGTAATTAAAACGGTAATTGTTCTGCATCACTTCTTTTGTAAATCAAGTAAATTACAAAGTTCTGCGAGATTTATGGGACAGTTCGCGTTGCGTAATGACTTGTGGGATTACGTTTATGAAGCACACAGACACAATGACACAACTATTATGAACCGAGATTATTTTATACGGTCAAAAGCTCAGCTGTGTTACCAGTACAGCTAATAAGCTCTATCGTAATAAAAAATTAATAGCAGCAATGTAGTGAAGCTGTGCTGTACAAACATATGCAGAGTGTTTACAGTTTACGTTGCTTAATTGATGGATAGTCGAATTAGACACACTTGTATATAAAATTCGGATTTAATTATCGATTTAGCAGAACCATTAAATTAACGTTAAGTGCCTTATGTTAGTGAAATTCGTCATATAGAGGTGAAAAATAATGGTAAATCGTGTTTGTTGAGCTGGTAAGAATAATTAAAATACTACAAATTATTAAATTTTTAAGTGATTTTGTTGAGCTGTCAAGTTGACTAGGATGAATATAAAAAATTTTAAATGCGCCTCAATTTGACGAGCGTCAAAGCAGGAGTCGGCAAAAATTTCCTATTAAACGTTTTCCCGGTGGAACTAATAAATTGTTATGTACAAAGGGGAAATTTAATAAAAATGATATTTTTTAATAAAACCATTAAAGCGAAACAACTCATTATTAACTTTTATATTGTCGACGAGAAAGAATTTCGTGAAGCAGGAAATAGGTAGCTAATTTGTGTGTGTTTCAATGATGCAGTGCACCAACAGTATTCCAGTATAGGATAATAGAATTCGATTTATAATTTAAAGTTAATTACAGGACTAATCGGAAAAGGCAGATGCTTTTTATACACGCTCAAAATACATTCAATAGCACGTAAATACACATACAGAGTGGTCAATTAGTGATTTATTTTCAATTTCCTTTGAATTTACTACTAACAAACCACTCTGTTTCCCACATAAAACTCGACGATGGGGACATTTCTATTCAGCTAAAAACAATTACAAAATATACTTGGAATTTTGTGACGTATTGTAGTTGTCAATTTGGCACCGGATCACACGGGTACTCACCGGTATCGAACAAGGTTTATCCAAAACAACTAAATCCTCATCAACATGTATTAACTTGATCGGGTTCGATAACACAGGGGTCTCGTGTCTGTAATGAACCGATAAAAAAACCATCATAATGTTACGTCTACAGACGGCAACGCCAACAGAAAGATGTCTTGTCGCTTTCTGCCTCGAACAATCGCTATTAATTAAAAGTTACCCTATTATTCGCCTCAATTCTAGAAGCGTTAAGTCAAGCTTTATCGCAATTGTTCTCAAACGCGCGCTTTAATTAGGCACTAACGAGGCGCCAAGTGCTTACACGCACTTTTTAAATTGTTCATTTCGGTATTTTGGAATTTTATTAAGTGCGAAAATCTTTAAAAAGTGACTCTAGTTAAGTTTCAAATATACGAGGATATCTTTTCACAATGAGCATAATTGGGAAAATTGTGGTAACACTATAAAAATACATGTGTTTTATTATAGAAAATCACAATAAAAATTATAGAAAAACACAAACACACCTGTTTAAAACTACGAGGTTAGCGCATATACATGGTGTTAATTCATTTAGTGCTGATACTTCAGGATGTGAACTTTTATTCAAATCTTTTAAATACTCACATTCTGAAGTATCAGAACTCAATTAATTAACACCCTGTATGTAAAACGCTATGATTTGTACAATGTTTTTATGGCCTATTAGAGCTAATTAAGACATCGTAAAATACATCAAACGGTATAAAAACCTAACAATTTTTTTATGCGTTTGGACGCCGTCGCGGCGCTTGGCATAAATAAACAATACACGACAGTCGGGCTAACTGACGATGATAGTTTTATAGCTCGGAATCGTCTTACGAATCGAGAACGATGTGTTTCGCTAGATTTTTTTTTATTCTGACAAACGACAAACGTACACCTGTTCGATTTATTTCCGGATATTTTAAATCTTCACGTGTTTTGTTTCGCGTTAAAATTATACCAGACACTGGTGTTAAGCGTTGCCAACACTCTTTTATTGATAATATAAACCTTGCTTTGCTAAGGGTAATTTTTAGTTTAAAATTAATTTATTGGATATGCGTTGGTATCTTGTGCAAATTTGTATAGATAACCAATATTGCTTAGTTATGAATAGGGCGGATTTGTCTCGACAATGGTGTGGACTCGACCTTTCTCTCTGTAATACTATTTATCTTCCGTTTGATAACGAACGGACACCGCCGATGAATGGAATTTCTCATTAATTTGGAGCTTTGTACGGTTTAGAAACACCCCCGCGAATTCGACCAAGAACTATATAAATTTTGCAAGTAATTGGGATAGTGGTTTTATACTTCTACGAGTAGTTTAGACAAGGTGAGATATGTGGAAATTTTATAAAATATTGAATTGGTGTTCAGTTTTCAAATAATAAATTTTAATAGCTTCGATATGAAGTAGTTTTGTGCTAGTTGACAGTAAAATATAAGGATTTTTCGCTCAATTTACAGTATTACCACAACATTATTATATTTACTGATTTGTTAAATTTCTTATTTAAATATTTATCAAAAGAAAATATTACAAGTGCAGATAAAAATACCGATTTTTAAAATGTACACCCACTATAGCTTTTGAAGTCTATAAAAAAGTTATTAATCTTTCGGAATGCTCACCTCTTTAGCGGCGATTCTAACACAATGATCAATAGATCGGTTTGTTGGGGGATCGGTACAGCTTAATAGCATATAATTTACTGTCAAGTTGTAAACCAAAGAACCGTTATTAATCATTCGGAAAATGGGTTTCCGCAGATTTGTTTGGAGTGGATAAAATCCTGTCTTAAGATTCGGTCAAAAGTTATTTTGCCTAAAAGCAATCCATTTACTCTCATATAGTATAACCCTTTACTTACTGACGTTTCTCATTCGGTTTGCAAGAAAAGGGAAATAATGTTTTGGGAAATACGATACTAAAAGCTAATAAGATCAACTAAAGTATTACTGATCGATGGACATTTATGCTTTACCTATAAAATTGCGACGTAATAAAATATAATAGTAAAACTATTTATAGAGTAATAGAATGAAATGTGGGTAGTAAAAGTCAATTTAAAGACCAACACGTAAATTGTAGAAACAATTTGTTTACAAGTGTTTTTATATTTGTAGTACTATTTATGATTTTCGAAAATTTTCATTAGTTTATTGAAGAAAAAAATGAATAACCCCAGTTAGCTTTGTTTCAATTTAAAATTTTCTCCTCGGTTTCCATTCGGTTTTTTCTTGAATGCCGCAAAGAGCTCAATTTCTTAATGGATAAGAACGCGTTTTCTCTAATGACGAGTATTACGAATGTTATGTTCTTATGGACGCACTTTTATAAGAATTATAATAAGAACTATGCACGTAATGCTTTATGAACATTAAAATATGCCTACAGTAAAAATCATTTTCTTAAAAGCACCAAGTCATAGTAACTCTTTGATCTTATCTATTTAAAAATATAGATAATTGCTTTTTGATACAAGTACAAAAAGTTTAATTATGATTAATTCAACTGGTATTCCGTACGTACATACACAACAAATTCATGCAATTTTACCTTAATTATTATATAAAAAGGTTAGGTATCCCATAATATTTCAAATATTAAAAAAGATTTGTAGGTTTGGACAATATAATCTTTTAATTGCAAAATAATTTCAAATTTCAAATGTACTCTCATCAGTATAAAGTGTCACAAATATGGCGAATAACATTGATAAAATTTATCCCACCATTTTTTGAAATAGCTACGATTCGGATCAAAAAAAATGTTAAAGAAATATATTTATATCTCCTCGTTCCTCGATTCGTTCATTCATGACCTAACAAGGAAATTTACGCCAATTAACTTCGAATGGTATTTTTGGGAATATTCGTCTTTAACGAATCAATAGGCTTGTATCAATTAACGACAAGAGAATGATTAAATATAATGACACTTCCTTGGCTTTCGCTCATTAGCAAGACAACTTGTATGCGGCGTGTAAGATAAGATGTCGAAACCTGTTGAATGTTTCAGAAGCATCAAATAATGAACGCCGAAAGCATTTGCGTAATCAACTTAATTGTGTTCGGTTTGGTGGAAATTTATTTTACAAGCATTTACGCAAAAACAATTTATAATAGAAATTAGCCGAAAATTTGCCCTATATTATTTTTAATAGTATTTTTTTTTCTAAAATTGTAACACCCTGTAGCTCGAAAACTAAGAGGTTCATGACATATATTGATATAAACATTTCTTCTTAAAATCGTCCAAATATTCACATCCTGAAGTATCGGCACTAATTTAATTAAACAAAATATTCAAATTGTGTACCACACGTCTCTGTGGTAATTTATCACAAAATAATAAAATTTTAATTATTCCGAAATAAAACGGATAAACTATACGTATTTCTTTGAAGTATAATTCTTGAATAGCATCAAAAGCAAATTACAACTGAATGAGAAAACAGTTCGTGTGTACCAATGCACGTTAATTACCGGAATGCCGGGAATCAAACAATGAAATATCAACAAATGCAGCAATCATGTTTGTCAACTGGATTTACAATCACAATCTAATGGCAACGTATACGTAGGGCTCTAACTAAGAGGTAGTAGAATTTATCTTTGCAGATTTAGTAAATAATATTCTATGATACACGGAATAATTTAATATCACTGTACCGTCAGATGATTTATTGGTAGGATAATAATTATAAAAAAATAGATTTACAACGTTGAAAATCGAAGGGAATTAGTATAGGTAGTCGCATTAAAATAATACTACAATGCAAACGCATTTAATTATTGAAGCTGAAACGTAAACGAATTGCAAATATTGGCATTTCGTTGTTAAAACATCCCCTTTTATTTTTATATAATTCCCGCACATTTACGATTGCATTTAACTCTAAAAGTTTAATCCCATTAAACGGAGTACTTCAACATATAAACCCGACGATATAAAACGCCAAAATTATAATTTAAAATTTCCCCGTAACGCAATAAAAGAAATTATTCGAAGTTCTAATTTAATTATCAAACTCTTTAGGCTAGTTACCGCTTATTGTTCCCGATGGGAACGGTGCAAGGTATAAAAATTCGAATGATTTACATTTCATCTCGGCTCCGCCATTTTTGCGAAAGCGCTACTAAAATTTTATGCATATTTTCCTGCTTCACGTGAAAAAACAAGATCCCTTAACAACCTGTGCATCAACGAAATATTCGTCATGATTAATATTTGAAATATTGCGGATTACCCAATGGATGGCAGTCTTAAAAGCCACTTACAGGTATAGAGGCAGGTTTGTTGACCACCACAATATCCTCGTCCATGTGCACAATGGTGATCGGTTGACTAGTCACGGGCACTTCATGTCTGTAACATACAGGTACGTCCAACAGTACGGAAAACATGGAATTGTTAACAGAAAAAGTGTTAGTAAAATAATGTAAATGTTAGATTATTCCCAAGTAAGAACAGCCAAAATTAATAACAATAGTTCGAAACAAATCGATTCAAACTCCCACGCCTATAAATTTCAGATCTATACGTTCGTAATTAATACAAATCGAGTTGGAATTTTACCTGGTGGCTAAAAATAAATGCGTCCCTATAGAAAGAGGCCGCTATCCTTTTTCGTTTCAAAAAAATCCCCGCAAAAAATTAACCCTCGTCATTTCCCGCGTTCTCCCCTTTTTCCCGGTCAAACCGCATGTCTTTTAATGGAAAAAAAGTTATAAGATCAACATGGAACATGTCAAACGTATGCTTTATGCGATGTGTCAATTTAGCACAATTTAGGTCAACTCGACGTGGGATAAGTGTAGAAAGGAAAGGCAATAAAAGCATTACCCTAATTTCTTCTCGGAGTCACGAGCGTATATCCTAATTCAGATGAATTGTCGAAGGAAAAAAGCAGCCGCTGTTAAGTTTATTGGCAATTAAATAAGGATTGGCAATTTTATTAAAATCGTTTGTTGGCGATTTGATAGAAAAGTAGAGCAATTGTATTATCAAATGTCCACATATCAATTGAAATTGCAAACAAGAAATTAGTATCTCTATGCGCTAGTAAAATCGAGCTGAAGAAAAATAAAAAAGCACAACAAAATAAGGGGCTGATTCAATTTAATGATATTATTCGTCTTAATAATTCGTGTAATTGACAAGCAATTTTTCCTCTAATATAGGCGTTAAAAATAACGATTTTGGCTGATCTTATATAATTTTTTTATTCAGAAAAAATATTCTAACGGGGCCTACATTAGTCGGCATGCATGGAGGTATGCTCGCACGTAAACAGCTACAAAAATTATTAAAAATTCCCAGAGGACGAACACAAAAGCGCATCCATATCAAAGACATTCCCGCAGAACGGAGAGGTTAGGTACTTTTATCTTCCGTTTTGTTAATTTTTAAATAATTTCGAAACAATTTACATGGGAAAAAATTACGGTATTATGTTACACGCTTTCAGGAGGTTAAATTTCAAATTAACGTTGTAAGGAATCTAATATTCAAAATTACGCTTTTCACGTTAATTATAAATGCGGAATTCATATATAAAGAAGAAAAAACGGAAAGTAAGTAAATAATAAACGACTCCTTTAATAAATTTTCCCTCACCCATAAAATATAGGTGCAATAAAACAAACCTACAAGTTTGTTTGCAAGACGTTTTAACGAAAAAATCAAAAATAATTTCACCAAAATATTCGCAAATTTAAATACTACATAATGAACAATTTTTTCATCAAACTATAAGCCATTTCCTACTAAAATAAAAGTATAAATACTCGACGATTAAAAATCTACTTCGTATTAACTAAGAAAAAAACTTACCTATGTACAACGTTGGCCAGCAGATCGTTATGTTTAAGTTTATAATCTGTTGGAACTTTTTCGTAATTAACGGTCAAAGTTCCCGCTTGTATGCACCGCTCGTATTCCTCGGCAGGATGCGCTCTGAACTCCTTAGCGAAGATGTCGAGGATCTTCTCGCCCACCCAGCGACCTTTCGTGAACGTTGTAAAGGTAAAATAATACGGATAGACTTTACGTAGACCTGTAATCATTAATGCCACGTTTAATATCATCAATAAACATTTTTGTGTACGTGAATATTTTTATGTAAATCCTCGGTAATTAATCAGAGTCAATTCCAAGATGTTTTAATTCAAAAGATTTCTTTTTCTGTCCAATTGTGTTTAATTTGGGCAATTTTATTGGGCTTTTTTGTCAAGGTATTTCCGTAAAGCTTAATTGTATTGTAAAAAGGTATGAACAACCAGTTAAAATCTGTTAGGATATATTTATAAATATCCTGTATAATATGAGATTGCGTATGTATAAACATAATCTAATATGCGGCAAACTATAGATTGTGTCTTGCAACTAGTTAATTAAACGCTCTCAACTATAACTTATTAATTAATTATTATAATTTTCGAAGTATACCTACTCGATCAAATTATATTTTGCCTCTCCATGTCGTTTACCAATCAATTTGCAGATATCCAAATAACTTGTTTACAAGTGAACTTGATATTTAATTAAAATTCTCCGGTTGACATTTCAGAAACAGTTTTCTCCTCTGGCTTTCTGCGAAGTTAAAATATACGAGATTTATGCAGCAGTGGACGCGCAGTTCCTGCTACGAACTTAATTAGTTTTACAAGTAGGTGCATAATACCCGGTTTTGAAAGCTTGAGTATATCTGCATTCGACTCAAGAAGTATATATTTATTTACTAAAGAAATATTCCAAATTAATGTGGAAGATGAATTAAATTTATACTATTACGAGATTTTTTTGTTTGTTTTAACTTCGTTTATACCAGGAGCAGAAATTAGTTCGACTAAAAAATATTTTGGTCGAACGATTTTGGACATCAATTAAACTTGGTAAAACCCAAACGATATAAGTTTACAATTTTGAAAACAAAGATAATTTTCTGTGAAGACATAATATTTTCGAGAGAAAAATTATTGGCCCATAAAAGAAATTCAGGTTTTAAGATAGTATGGTTTTTGTCCAAAGAAAACAGGCATTAGTAGTTGATTTAATTACCATTGGATTTAATGAATAGTAGCTCAAAAAACCATGAACCTTAATCGACAAAATAACCGAGTTTATGCAAATTACAAGACACACTCTTAATCTAATATTCATTATTTGGCGCCTTGAGAAAACTCCCGGCAATTTGGAGGCGCGCTGGAGAGCATAAATTCAACGAACCGGGCTAAGTATGCAACGGGTTGCATCGTTTCGCATGCAGCTACGCTACTCGATTCGAAAATATTTAAAATACCCCGATAATCCGTAATGGCCCTCTTGAGGGCGGTCGTTTCCTAAAATATCGTTTCTTATACGAAACTTAAATCGGGGCGTTTACGTTAGCTGAATGTAATTCCACACGCTCCTATCAAATTCAATTTAAGGAACTCTGTAGGTATGAATATACGTATAGAACTACCTAGTTGAAAGTAGGTACAGATCGACAGGAATAGTTGTAGACGTTACATTCGCGATCCTATTTCATTATTTTAGTCTAAAGAAGATCGGATAAATGTATCGGAGACTCAAATGGTGAAAAATTTTAAAACTTGGGACTTTTTCCTTCTCATTGGTGATTTTATGAGCATTAAACTTTTTTTTAACATCGAACTTTCAAGTTATAGCGTTGCATTGTATACACTAGTGGAATTTAGACTTTAGCCGACTATAAGAATTTAACGTTAATTTTCCCTATTATGCGTGAATTTATTTCCAATACTGTATATAAATAAACAAGTAGATGTTATTGTAGAGTCAACATGTTTTATTAGTATTATCCTTGTTGGAAGCTGAAAGTAGGTAATTTCAGGTAAACGTTGTTTTCCATCGTCAGCCTCGTATAATAAACTGAACATAAGAAAAGTCCATAAATTAGAAGTTAGCAGAGCTAGCAGTAAACTTTACTGTCTAGTTAGCAGGATTGTTTTAACCACCGAGATTTTCGCAGAATCGGATTTTCGGATTCACATCAAACGTTATGAAATAAGTCATAAAAAATACACAGTTCCTTACTATATTTTTGTTATGTACTGCAAATAAAAAAAGACTTACCGTTTTCAATGTAATACGAAGTCTCGTTATATCGATCATCGGTGAATCCGGGACGTTTGGCCTTTAAAGCTTTAGTTTCGAGCTTCGCCTGAAAAGATAAAACCCAGTTGTTTTAATATCCGGTTTGATAATTATCTATTTGGAAATTTGTAAATGGAAATTCTATCACAAATAACAGGCGGAAATTCGAACTTTGAGCGAATTTTTCGAAAATTCGCCAAACAAATGTAACGCGACAATAATTAAAATCGTGAGAACAACACGTGGGACATATGATTTAGCGAATCCGTTATAATTTCATTTCGTGTTTCGTTTTGTTGGCGGAAAACAAATCGCAGAGCGTGCGAATGCCGATATGAAAACGCCGAATCGGAGAGTAATTAATTTCATCAACGAAAATTCTCCCTAGGGAAACACCGGTAGTGGAATCTTTACAGTGGGGCGGTTTTTTTTGTTTCTAATTAATTATTTTCTTAACGACTCCGCGCGGATATGAAAAATACGTTTCGGGATATTAATTTTATTCAAATTTCAAATACGGTGATTATAAATAAGTTCATTAATGTAATTTAAACGAAAACTAAGAGAAAAAAAATTAAATATCCAAAAAAAAATTGTAAAAAGGTAGAAAAAACACTACGAGTAGGTATACTTGAAGAAATAAAATCAATGAATAGATGAAGGAATCCGGACGTATTTCTTTAAAAACTTACTTATATGGGTGCCTACTAAACTTGTAATATTGTAATAACACAAGGCTTAGACTGTAGAGAACGGCTAGGAAACCAATGTTAATAAATTATTTGCAGCCTATAGCGAATTTAACAAACGGCTTTTCGATAACAATCACACGAAGTAGGCAATATTTCTCAGTCGCGACGTGCTAAAGAAATATGCGTAAGTACGAAAAAAAAGCGAAAATCCTTTTTAGTACGAAAAGAACCCTTTGACAAAAGGCGAGAAATACATTTTTCTTTAAGACGGACGAGGCGACGTGTTATGGCCTACGCGATAAATTCCCTTCGCCCTATTTAATGCCAATACGCACCCGCACTTGTACGCCGAATTGAAAAATGAAGACAGAGACTTAGAAAAAAAATGTCATCATAAAGAGTTTAGCAAAATGAGATTTAAATTGCTCCGCGATTTTTAGTAGAACGGGTTTTTTTCGCTGAGAAATGTTCCAAACGATTTTTATAGAACATAATGACAAACTTTCAAAATATTAAAGAATTTCCGTCTATCAGTGGATGTTCATTTATTGATAATTAATCGCTTAGAAGCATGTATCTTTTAAACTATAGGCTTATTTATGCTCGACATACTCGCGTTCTCCCAACTCATTCGTTATACCGCTGAAACTTGGAAATGTTTGATGCACCGCCGTGCGAACATAATTTAGAAACTGCCAGTGAATCGCAATCGAGTTTAGTATCAGGAAGTTCGATGCTATTCTGAAAACGCTACGAACCGAGCAAGCGTAATGGACAAATGCTCTGCGAAAAAGAAGTATTTTGTAACAATAAAAATGTATGTACATAATACATAATTTAATTTAGAGAAGAAGTGCCAAAACAAACAAAATATCTAGTTTGGATTTGCTTATCCAAATGGATCTATATAGTCCTGTTTCCATTACTCGAGAATCTCTGTAAATGAAGCACTTCTGCTCAGCGTAAGTATATAGGAATTGATCAATTTATCCGACTATAGCAGTATAGTAGATCTATGTATGTTTGCCACCAAGCGACATGTACATACATTCTAGCTATTTCGCTGCTTATGGAACGTCGATTTTACACTAGACGATAAAAATTACAATGTACATACTAAAGATTTATTTCGCTGTTATTTATAGCCCGTCATCATACATTTTCATTTATGAAGCAGTTTTCCACTCCTTTACCGTGTAGTTATTACAAGGCAGAGTTGACACTCCTGCAACGTTACTTAGTAGGAGTACATTTTAATTTATTCGAATTTAAATAGGTGGAAATAAATTAGGAATTTCGAGATTACTAGACGCGATTTACATTCATTTTCGTACAATTTAATTAACTATGCGACATAGTTAACACCGTTGGAGTTTGCTATTTTTGGTACCGGCTTTGATGGATGGATTTCAATTTATTCTAGTGTTCCTCCATTAAGAATCGACACAGTGTCGAAAAGCAGTTAAAACATAATAATTTTAAGTATACTATGTGTTCAAAAAGTAATATAATATAAAAAATTGGGCACTGATTGGGTATTCCGTGTAGGTTCTTCTGCACGACGCCATCTATAATGAAATATACAAGTCTCTTTTGGGAGTAGTGAGTAAACCTTCTGTGAAGTATTAAAGATTATTGCTAGTAATCCATCTTAACTGTCAACGTCTTGTAAATTACGTATCGGAAGATTTATCTACTATGCGTTACTGTGAGCCTAGTTCTCATACAAAGAGCCGAAGGAAAGCTTAAACATCGCCTAACTAACTACATACACATACACACACATCGAATGTGGAAATTATCATGATCCGCAATAAAACGTATCGGCACGCGATTACAACGTTCTAGACCCATCCCTAAGTTACAGTTTGTTTATGAGCCAGTGATCAAAGGCCTCGATTACCGATTTATAATGTTTAACCCTTTGGGAGAGCCGTACAACGGAGCCGTTCTGCCATCAGATATTCGCCGCCAAGGGGAATAACTACATTGGTGGACGGCTGATGTGCGATGACGTTGATTACGGGCATTGATAGTGTCATGTTTAGGGGACTCGATCATTCTGGTTGGGCGGTTTCGGGGTCAAAGTCACGTACTTCGATAATGTCGAGGTACGGTGCGTTAAATTTGAGGTTACGTGTATTCGAACCCGCTCTGAGCGCCCCATTCTCTATGCCTATAAATTGTATTAAACGTTTTATTGCTACCAAACAAATGAAATAAAGCATCGGAAGAATTTGAATGCAAGTCATGTAATCAATCCTGTCTATAAACACTCATTTTCTATACATACATTAATACATTTCAGTATCCCTGTTAAACGTTAGGTAATAGATTCTTTGATTTAGTGGAAACTTGTTTATCCATATAGCAATGAATGTAAAATTAAAGACTTATTAGTTAAATAATTACTAAAAGAGAAAGAGCTGTGATTTCAAAAACTTGTTTACCAAGTACCCACCTTAATTTTCATCATAGAATCACCCCTTAAACTTTTTCGGTATTATTTTGTATAACAATCATTGATTTCAAATAATAGGTGAGATACGTGCAATGCCCTAATTCCACGGTTCGTTAAATTATCGCAAAACTCCTACAATGTGTTGTTTCATTGTGTATTGTTATACTTTTAATGCCTAATAATGAATAATGGCGACCATTCATTTCGGTAGACGACGACTATAAATATACCTTTTATACAAAACGCACACAATAAAAGAAACGATAATTTTATGCTTCTATGACGTTCAAAAAATGTTTTCATGGCGCACACACAAGACCTTTTATGTGATAAAATGCTCGGACATTTTCCATATTTCCGTTTGGATGGGCGAAAGCTACTGGGAAGGCATCGGACGGAAAAGATGAGTTTATCTATAGAATAAGGAAATACGGGGGGCGAGCCCTAAGTATCAATCTAAAAATAGAATCTATACAAATGGAAGAAAAATGCAATCATGGAAAAGTATAAATACAAATCCACGCAGGTGTAGCAGCTAAAAATAAATTGTTGTAGCTAAGGAAACGTTGAATTAAACGTAAATTACCGTCTGCAGCTCGAGAAAGCCTTTATAAAAATGATTCATGAAGGAAAGCTATAAAGTTTAAATTGGTTCCAATTTAAGATATGGGCTTTTACTTAAAATTGAGCAACTGATACAATTCTATTTTCCGTTTTAAATCGAGTAGGTACATTTATGTTATGATAAATAAGAAATATGATTTTTTAACAGTTCCCGTGTATACCTATATGTTCTTTAGGATCCAGTTTTTTTCCAAAACATTTCCACGCATTTTTTTTTGTTCTTGATGCCAAAATCAGCTTGCCAACTTGACGCTGGTTCACTTAATATTTATCCTCTTCTTTAAATTTGTTATTGTCGCTGTTTACCCATAAAACGCTTCTTCGCAAGCATTATTACGTGTTAAAAATTCGCTTACGTCATCGCTCAACGTGCAGGAAGACATAAAAGCAGCAGGAAAAATGGATGAGCATTGCCTAATAAAAAAAATATGACCCGTTACAATGTGCCAAAATCGCTTACGACATGAAACGCACATTTTTATGCAAAATGATAAACTTAATTTGGCAGCAAATTTTATCCAAAAATTGTCGATAAAAGTGACAATCAAAGCATTTCCGAGTCAACAAAACAAGCACAAAGGTTAAAACAACAAACACGCCGAAAACTTAAACAACTTTTATTTCCGTAGAAGTCCAACCCAACAAACGTTCTTCTCTAGGTAGATCGACTTCCGAGCGAACTCCTCCGAATTTCCACCGTTAAACTTTTCCCATAGTCGCATGGTTGAAAGTTTAAACGTTTTGACATCAAACAAAACAAAATTACCAAAAACGAACTAGAGCTCTCTTTGAAGCGGTCGCGTACCTGTTGCAAAAAATACCTTACTACTTCGGATATAAGTACATTCGCCAGCACTTACTCGGGCGATTTCAACCGAGAGAAAGAATATTTGAATAAATTTCGAACCCAAAGGCGTGTAAACGGCCCAAACTATGCACGACTTTTATACATTTAACGGGCGCTGCAGCTTACTAAAAAAATTATAACAGTAAGCCGGTATTTTATCCAGAAAGCGAACAAAAACCATTAAGAATTGAATTGATTAAGTTGCATAGAGAAAACGTTTAGAATTTTCCAGGGGATGATTGTGTTCAATAGTAATTAAAGAACGTATTAAAGGAAAATAATGAAATTATTCTACAAAAATATTATTATACAAAAAATACTAGAAAATAATCAAACGAAAAGTAACAGTTATCAGAATTATAAGGAAGGAAAAAAACTGCTAGCTAAACTGTATATCCAGACGTAAAAGAGAATAAAAAAGTGGCCATTAAGAAAATCCGATTTGTCATTCAATTTCATGCAAATCATCTGTGTATTTAGATTAAGAGAAGATTGGAAGTAATGAAAAGAATCCGAGCAAGGCTTATGTCGTCAAGAAACCTGGAATATTCGTTGCTTAATACTCGTCAAAAGTAAAATACCCAGAGTAATCTGAGAGTGACTGCCGCTTGACAGGGTATAAAATAAATTTCTGTTTGATCCAGAAAAATATAACGCTTTATCATGTAAGCGAAATATAGTAGCAAGAATTCCTGCGGGACAATGAGACTTAGATATTTCATAAATAATAAAGTAGGTCGAGCGAATGAAAAGAACATAGTTACATTTATATTATTTGCGAGGAAGAGAGCTAGAATAAGATGCCTTTATTTCGTTATCCATACTTACCTATACATATAATAACATATATTATACCCCTTTACATTTACCCCACATTATTACTCTAGATATAGAGTTCAAAAATTACTGTTCTTCATTATAGCGACTCCCTTTTTTGAAGCCTTCTAAAATTAACTAGAGCCAAGCTAGAGATGTGTAATTTTCAGATACATAGAGTCTCATGTTAACAAAGTAGCATCATCCCCACTCAACTCCAAGGAATCTACATCTACAACCTCTTCACTGCTCCTGAGGAGGTTGAGGTAGCGTGTTATTCTGGTTAAGATGGATTGAGGAGTACTCTATGGCCCGTAAACAGGGCACCTTTGTAACGGAAATCAATTGTTAAAGGAGTCTCGTTAAAACATAAATATCTATCTATAGTTATACAGGTTGCTCCATTTTTGATCGCAATATAGGTTATATAGGCCATGGGTGCGATAAAGACAACTTCCATTAGACACTTATAAAGGAAAAAGAAAGAGTGACATTTGTGTCATTGCAACTTTTCACTCTGACAACTGTTATTTTATTAATCTTTCTTTTTTCCACTCATAGAAATGACCATGTTGCAATCGGAAATGGAGCAAACGATATGTATCATAACAACAATGTACAACAATCGAGTTAACGATACTCTTTAAACAATTATTGATTAGCGTTAAAATGGAGCGCTGAATACGGGCTTAAGACTACGATATAAATATCGATTGGATCTTATTCTTATAGCATATAAAATTTTATGCCGATAACGGCGATAACAGTTACCTACCAACAGTAAATTATTGTTAAAAATACAAACCTTTTGTTTTTCTACGCCATTGTCCTCCTGAATGCTCTGCAACCACAATAGCAGATCTTCGTCGGTATCAGTATTGGTGCTTTTGGTATTAATTTCGAGATCAGAGTTTAATAAATTTTCACACTTATCAACTGTCGAATTATCATCATTCACTTTTAAAACTTTAATAGTTTTTTCAACATTGTCAACAATTTCTGCAGCGTTTTGATCGTCCAATTTTCGTTTATTCATTTTTCTATCTATGTTTCCCAAGCAATTTAGAATTAATACTATGTGTACATAAGTATAATCTCAGTATTTCTCAGTTTGACTTTTCTTGAGACTTAATAGAAATATACTGTTATTAAAATTTAACAATCCTGAGTTAAATTTCAATATTAGACTCAAAATTATGTGCCTATAAAAAATTAACTAAAAATTTTAGATAAAATAGGTAAAATTCAAAAATTACATTACCAAATAAATTTAGTAAAAAAGTCGATAAAAAAAGTTGTTTATTTGATCCCAAAATAATTGCGAAAAATAAAAATCCCTACGCCTCTGTAGTTATCCCTGCTGGAGTGTTCACTCTAACCTCACTTATTTACGTCAAAACTGAGAGAGATTAGTTTTTGATCGTTTTAGCATTGTAGTAATTCTAAAGAGCTATTTTAAAAAAGAGAACCTGAACAAAAGCGATTCGCTGTTAAAACTCCTTGACCTATTTTTCTTGTACACCAGTCAGATTTACTTCCCCGCAATATTCTGTCGATAATACAATGACCGGCTAAATTCACACGCGCAGTTCTCGCAAACAAACTTGCAACACTATCGTAAAGCCTCGAATGTATTGCGAACTTTAAGCTCATTTAACTACCGAAAAATAAAGGCTTTACGCTTATTTTTAATAAAGAAACGAACTTGTAAACATATAAACCACAGCACGCTGTCATTTACGAACATGTGGAAGTTAGTCCACGTTGCCAAATCGCTCGAAACAGACTGGAAACGATAACGTTTTATCGATCCAATCCGAAAGTTTTAAATTATGATAATGCGGTTATACAAGACAAAAGTACCATCAGACGATATAAAATGAAGTATTTAATGTTCTAATACCTTTAAATTTCTATATTACGACGGAATTGAATCGAACTGCTGCTGTTGAATTTGGTCGATTTTATTCAATTTGGCAACTTCGCGCTCGGCTCCGCATTGGTTTATGCCAGTTTAAAAGACACATAGGCGGTGCGTAACGGGTTGGGACACAAATTTAATAATTTTTTATAGTTTTCGGGTATTTATTTCATTCTAATTAAATTGTAGCTTATTGATTATATTTTTGACATGTTATTTACACAATGTTATGTTATTTATTTCTTTAAAGTGATTTTTTAATGCTAAAAATGAAATTGTTAATACTCACAGGCTCATCTAGAAAACAGGAAAAAATATTGTATAATATATTGTATAGATACCTACATCCACCCACAAAGTATTTTATAAAGCAATATTTTTAAATAACTCATAATAATAATAATTTATTGCCTGTGGAGTAATAAATCCATCCTAAGATAAACCTCTGGCTATGTAAAATTATTCATATCGTTTATTTCTACTTAAATACTTGGTTCAATTAACGTAGCTGTACCGCATGATAATATGGTTAGATAAAAACGAATATATTCGCCTGGATCTAAAACCCCATTCTCCGATTCGGAGGCACCAGCACAACTTCACTTAAATTACCTTTTAGTTTTAATGATAATTGTCTAGTAGAGGAAACTCAAATACTTGCAAACCCAATATCTGTTCCGTAATGTGTTACGAAATTTAACTATCCACGTGGCCTGGCTTTATAGAGCTTCTCCAGTTACTTGTTGATTTATTCGCACGACCGAATTTCATACAACATCCATTAAGAGCAAGAAAAACTCAACTATGATAATAGTTCCCTTTATTTATGCTAGTTATGTAGGGATTTCTCAATTTTCCCAATTTCAATATCGGGCAGATACATACATATACAGGGTAGGAAACGCCAAATGGAATTTTAATTATAAATTGACATTTTTTAACATAAGGATGTGATCCCTACCTTTAATCTCCTTCGAAGGACCGTTACAACCCAGAATTTTTTAAATGGGAAGGGTAGGCTGGTGATATATCGTTTGAAAGGTCTCTTCATTATCTATCCAAAAATGTTATCTTTTCAAGTTTATTATTATATCGAATTTAGACCATCAGATGATTACATCTTCTTTAATATTTCTATTAAATTTAATTTAATAAATGTAAGTAGTACAGTCCATTTAAACGTTTCCCTGTTAGGGAGTATTTATATTTGGAAGCGATTTGCTGGTTACGAAGTGGAGTAGATACTTTTATGAGCAATTTCGTCTGAAAAAAATGCGACTTGCGGATATTGCTTTTGAAGAAAATCGAGTTTCGTAGATTTCATCGCGAAAAACGCAACGAATCGAGAAATATATTAAATGAGGAAATTGAGCCGAAGTTCCGGAGAAAGGTAAGATTTATATTTCCAAAGTTTTGGATTGGCGTTCTTTCGGGGAATTAAAACATTAAGAAAGCTATTTCGGGTACATTTAATTGCTTTTTTGCCAATTTCCTAATAGAGATTGCCATTTTTATAATGATATTGCAACTTAAACAAATCACTTTGTAGAAGAAACAATATAAATAAATCGACTTCTTAAGACTGACGACAATAAATAATCATTTCTGCATTAATCGCAATTAATCCCTTTGTGTTCTAATTCGATTTACCTAAATATATCGACGTCATTTATTTTAAGGCCGCTCCAGAATAAAGATGTAGCAGGATTGAGCAATGTGCTTTCCTGCTCGTGCAGTTTTGGAGCTCCCAGGAAATTAGCGGTAGAAGACAACTATTTTAAATTAAATCGAACGATTTGTTTTTGTTAGAGGTTTGTTAACTAATGAATTGTATAAACAACCGAATGATTTATTTCCAACGATAGATTTTGTTCCGTTAACATCGTAATCGAATTAATGAAATTGATTTATTAAGCTGTTTTGGTGTAAACAGTTGTATTGTAAATGTATTGTTATCGTGTCGTATGCAGTAAAAATAGGAAAAATATATTTATAGGAAAAAAATGAAGTTAAATTGCAGAATAACAAAAGTAATTCAGGAAATTTTAGAATCTAATTAAATAGAGGGAAAATGGAGAGGATAAATAAAAAATAGAGAAATAAAATAGAGAACACTGACCACTGCAGAAAATCAACCTGTTCGCACATACTGGGGGTGCATGTTTAATTACATCTCATTTTGCTTTTAATTAGTTTTAGTTGATTGTTCGTCGAAAAGATCGGGGATCGTTCCCTTTACAATAAATTTCAATTCGTTTTAACGATACGATTGGAAACGAAATTAGTTCATTGGCAAATTCAATTAAAAGGGAAAAAACTAGAAAGACAAATGTGTACCTGTGTTCGCGTTTATTCGCTTTTGGCGTCGTCGATATTATCCAACAATAAATTATTCCTTACCGAAACAAAACCGTTTAGGTATTTACTCAATGTCTGCCTGTTTCTATTAGCTTCGTTTGCCGCTCTTCAGACCTGCACTCACCTGTAACAAAGAGATTTTATGTTATTTTTACGTTTTTTCTGCACGTAAATCGGGAAACTTTTGACGTCGTATTTGTTCTTCTAATCGTAAACTCGCCTGTTTTACTGACCGTGTACAATGGTAAGTACATAAAATTAAAGTTAACTTTATTTTAACTACCTATAAAAGTGAACTAGGAATACGTAGATATACAAAGAGAAGGTTCTGAAATAAAATAAAATACCTTTTTTGTTTGAGGGTAATTGTTTAATAATTACAGAAGAAAATCTCGTAAAACAACTATAATAAATTAAATTTCATAACAATTTTTTTAAAGAGGGATATAATCGTAGAAGAACTAAAAGAGAAGAGTTTTTTATTTATTTAATAAAAAATACCAAAGTCTACATTTAAAAATTAACCCAAAATGTCTTGAAATTTTGGAACATCAAGAAACATTAATCTCTTTAAAAATATTTGAAAGAAAATCATTTAAAATCAGTAAAAACCCACTTATAATTATAAAAAAAAATAATAATTTCGAAGTTTTTAATGTTGTATTTTAAAAGTTAATTTAGTAGGTAATTTATTAGAGAAATTGTCGATATTGTGGTAAGATTAGGTACATTTTTTGCGAGCAGAAATTGCGAGAAACATAGTTAAACTGAAGGAAAACTCGATTTCAAAGAGGCGAATCGAAATGAATAAAATAACTCATTTTCTTTGTTACAACTAAATGTTTCGCTTTCCATCCTGACAATGCAATTAATATCACTGCGATCTTTTCTGTGTGTCTTTCGGATAAAATTCGTTTGCTTCGGCTATTCCCTTAGCTTTTGTGTTGAATTAAAAAAATGGCTTCCTATAAAATCCATTAATCACGGATAGTGCAATTTAATGTCTGGCTTAAAAATTTATTTCATTTTTAATGAATAATGAATCGATTATATCCAAATAAAAAATGTTTTAGGTTGTAGTAATGAAAGAAAAATATTAATTAATTAAAAATATATAAAAAAATCGTCAGATATGGAGAAAGCGTGCTCAACAATATTTTCATAAATTCACTTTAAAATATTGTTATAAATCTTTAAAAAAATGTCAAATTGCTGGTAAAATTACCACTTGAGCTTCCCAGTTGTGTGAATAAAGTTAATAAAAATCGCATTAAAATCGAAACGTGATTTATATAATCTCTCTCCTTCCACGGGAGACGACCCTAAGAAAATTGTCGAAAAGCGGACAAAACTTATTCAATGCGGACCGGAGATTCTTAATAGACATTTATCAAATATTCATGAGTCGATGAAATCTTTGGAACACGTTCAGGACTAACGACGGACGTTCATTCAGACGAGCCAACTTCGAGGAGGAGCCGTAAAATAAACCCTACGGTAGGAAAAATTACTGAAAGAGACGTATTATAAGTACCTATCGATAGGTTGAATATAGCGACAATCGCAGCTCGAAAATATCTTATTCCCGTTTTATCGCCACGATCTCGGAAAGACCCGCAGAAAAAAAACTTCCGTTATTTAATGAAAGTCGTTAAAAAATGAATGTTTTTTAAATTGGGGTAATATTTTTTACGGGCGTAAAATAAGGGCGTTTTGTTGTAAGATAGTGCTTAAAAAAGATGTTTTTAACGAAACACATCAACATAATGTTTTTTGTCGTTCAAAGACATTATTAATTTCACAAATGTAGGCTGTTTCAATTATACATGTACTACACACAATACCTCTCTCCACATACTCGTAATTGATATAATTTGATACACAGTAACATGATTCTCTTGAGGATCTGATTTCCGAGACAAATAGGCCATTAGAGTTATAAAAACGAACCCTTTTCGCTTGTTCATTAACGAAAGTATCGATAAAAACTTATCCAGTATCCAGAGAGCATCGGAATTGAATTGCCCCCTTTTTTTGTCGCGCTCCCCGCTCTCCCTTAATTCGAGAGTAACCAAACAGTGCAGCAAATGGAACGACCCGGAAAAGAAAACAGGAAACGCGATATACATTTTATTGACGTGTACCGAAGGCATCTGATGCCCTTACGGGGAATTAGGGTCCCTTCTTTTTTGCAACACAATAAACTCGATAGAGAGCAAGCGAAAGCGAAAGCCAACCCGTCATGGTCCGGACTTTGATTCGCGGAGCTAAGAAATCAGTTTAAAAGTTGAAAATTCGACTTGCAAATTTGATTTGGGTCTTTGATAGCTCATCTGTGCTTTCAAGGCTGTTCAGTGACCTTCTCTTTTTGGTA